CCCGAACATTCACCATGTTCGTGGTCATGGCACTGGTTAGGGATGCGCCCTTACAAATTGATAGCTGCTAATCATTGTTAGGTAACCACTGTTTCGACTACGCCCCTGACCAGATGGCTCTACCCTGTGTGGTACCGTCAGAAGGTGGAAAAGTGGCGCCGCGGCGAGATTGACTGGGACGGAACTCCCATCGCCACCGAGGCCCAGGCTTCTGAGCACAAGATGGAGGAGGCTTTGGACAAGTCGCAGACCAACCGGGTTATTCTGCACCTTCGCCTTGATGCTCTGTCTGGCCTGTTCAACCTGGTTTCTCTTCTCGGAGGCTCTAGGAAGGCATCCAACATTGCCCACCACGAAGCCGATGATGAGGGTTCAGCTGTTGCATCTGCAGATGACAAGCCACGACAGCCGCCTCGTCGCCCTCTCGAGGTGCACGGAATCCGTCTCATGGAGCTTACCGATCGTACATCGTCAGTCATGCAGTCTACCGAGGTTGCCGAGTTTACTTCTCGTGATGCCGTCTTCTCGGCTTTCCAGACCTTTTCTCGCCTCAATGGTGTCGCTGTCGCTGGCCAGGTTTCGATCATTCCCACGTCGGCTTACGCTGAGACTCTCGCTAAGTGCGCTGAGGAGGCCAGGTCCGACTTTATGCTCATTCCCTGGAGTACCTACGGTGGTCTTGCCGAGGAAAACTACGGTGGTGCGCTGTCCGATAATGATAACCCCAACGATCGTTTCTTCAACAGGACCTATATCGACTACGTCCAGAGCGCCCTTGAACGATCAACCTGCACTACTGGTGTCTACATCAACCAAAGCCGGGATGACAACGCCCTCTCCAAGAGGCCCACCCTTACCCGCCGAGCTCTCACCGGACTTTCGGTTCATAGTGACCACGGCGGCCCTACAGTCCAGAGCCCGGTGGATCAGAACCAGCACATTTTCGTACCTTTCATCGGTGGCGAGGATGATCGCGCTGCTCTGCTCTTTGTTCTTCAGCTTTCCCACAACCCTCATGTGTCCATCACTGTTGTTCACCTTGGCTTCAACGAGGATGAAATCGACACACACAGCCCTCCCGACAGCCATCCTTCCAGCAGCAACGATATTGGCAAGGGTGTCATCGGCATCCCTTCTGCAAGCGACATGGATCTTTTGAGCACCGCCAAGAAGAACGCTTCTGGTACCCTCGAGGGCCGTGTCACCTTTATTGAAGTTTCCGTCGACTCGATCCGCCAGCTGCCCGACCGTGCCGTCGCTCAGGCTCGTGAGGTTGTTGGCAAGTCCAGACTCAACGTTGGAGACCTTGTTGTCGTTGGCCGATCCCACCCCTTCTTTGACAATCTCCTCGTCGACGACCTGGGTGTTGAGCGCGAGTTCCAGCGCACCGTGGGTGTCCTCGGTGACCGTTTCGCCCGTGCCGGTATTGACGCTGGCCTGTTGGTTATTCACGATAAGCAAGCCAAGGCTTGAATTACTGCATTTCGTGCTACATTGGATATGATATGAAGGCGTTTGGATATTATTCCTGGCTTGTGGACTTGGGCACTTGCATAGAGTACAAGGGTCTCGCATACAGGGAAGACTGATGTTGACTGGATTGGATTGGATTTTAGCATATACCAGATCTCGATTACCCCCAAGGTTATGAGCTATGAATGGATTTATTGTCTATCAATATGATGTGGTGAAGTGGTGGGTGAATGGTGATAGTGTTGGATCTTTTGAGATCGCCTGTCTTGATGTTTCTCTCGCTTGTCCGGGGTAATAATGTCCCCTGGTAGTACGGAAAGCCATCGTGCATAGATGTGTGTCTATAAAACAGCGGGTGGTAAGATGTGCGGCACAGATATATAATGAAGTTACCGAATGCCAGCTAGCCTGACGACGGGGCACCCCCAACAGAAGGCCATGACAGGTGGTTAATGATTTATAGCCTAGGTATTGACTGCTTCGTGTGATGGGCCAGTAACTCCCTCACTCCAGCGAGAAGGTTTAGCCGTATGCCCCCGTTCGGTTAGGACCAAAGCAGAGAGCCTTGGCTGGATTCTTGAGGTGAGGAGTATATATAAGGGAACATGATGTAAAAAGCCCGGCACCCGGGCGAAGTGTAGAGCCCACGGGATCCGTCATCATTGCAACTGGAAGACGTGGTGAGGAAAAATCACCCTCTGGACGTCCCGCTCCAGGCTTTTTCATGGCCATGGAGGTGATTTCACCAGCCCATCTTCAAGTTGGCCCAGAGGACGTCCTGAGCCTGCGACGGGGTTCAAGTCGCCACGTGTGGGCTTTCATACTTGAAAGTGCACGCTGGCCATAACTGATGCCCTTTGTTGTTGCAGAGAAGTCTTCGTGGTGACCAAAATTCCAATGTGCTAAAAAGAGGTAAAACGGGTGATGTTGATTATATATACATGCCGGTGGTCGCAAGTCAGGCCTGATTAAACATACCCAAGTTTATAAATGATTTGCAAAATTATATAGTAACGGAAGAGAAATGTCTAGATCGAGCTGGGTGATGTGGAACTCGGTACTCTCAACAAAGGGAACGACTACAAAGAGCATCCACAATGACTGAATCTTGAAAGTCGTGATGTGGAAGGACAATTGTCTTGCAGTTCCGTGATGGGATCCCAGGGTTCTGTATCACCATCAATGTAGTTCCACCCGCTCTTCCCTTTGCTATACCGTGAGATGGACCAACCACATTATCTCTTGGAATGAGACTGCGTCAATATGATAGGAAAGTTGCTGTCGTCAAAGGTACACGAGGACCAAAACTAGTTTCCTTCATTAAGGCAGCGCTTCTGGACATGATCTGTCTCCAAGGTGTGCCGAAGGGGGTCTCAAACGGCGACGGCAGTGATCGACTTAATGTTGCGGTCCTCGACACCGATACATTCGTCGGGAGACGAAGCTTATGTAGGGCGTAGGAAGTATAATATATAATAAACCAAGTGGCAAAGAGGGAGCGTGTTCGGGATTGAACCTTTGGTCGACCACCGCACAACATTAGGGGGTGTGGTACTGATTGAACAGAGTGTCTGATCCGTGAAAGTTTGTCAGTTGCTCTGACTTTCATTGTGACGCTAAAAACCGACGACAACGATAAACACCCCTTGACTCCCGTACCTTCCGCCGGCGGCGGTAGGCATCCAGTCAAGTTCGCTCCCTCGCTCTCTCATTGCCCCCCCCCCCCCCTTCATCGGGGAGGTGATAGTTAAGCCGATCGGTCTCACATAGTATATGCTGATACCAATGCGGTGACCGATATGTTCTCAGCCAATGTCTGTTGTTGCTATCCAGTTCGGTCAACAAACACCAGTCGAGGTGAACACCGCTTATGACATCTCCGTTGTGAAGTTTCGAGATGGGGGCATCATTAGTCGTGTCCATGACTAGGAACCCCCAATATAGGGCTCAGACAAGGACACAAAGCTCGGTGTCATTGTACGCGGCTGGGACGTATATACGGCCTGCCACTCTTCCTATACCAGACACGCAAAGGGAACGAATAGGAAATTGTCGCTCTGTGTAGGTTGCGACTCCAGCTCCTTTGGGGTCTGTGCATCCCTGTAGGCAGTATATATAGAGATGTATTTCTTTTTCCTTGACGGCATGCAAAATTAATAGAGAGGCGTCCGCGTTGGAGCACGATCCATGTCTCTTCTTTCAGTCGGACGCCAGCGCCCAACGCGTTGCAGCCTCGAGGGTTTCTACTTTAGTTGGGTAGGGTTCCTGATGGGCCAAATGGCGTTTTTCGCATTGCCCAAATCCTCTGTCATTATCCACACTGCAAGAAAGACCGGCTGTTACCCTTTTGTTCGGTCCATAGCTAGTAGCGTTGAGCACTCCAAGTTGATGCCCCCTGTGATTGTGTCGAAGGTCGGCTCCGAGGCTGGGAACACCCAACTCTTAGTGTTGGAAGTGTTGTAGAAAAGCGCTGATTTCGCCGACCTCCAATATATATATATATATAGAATGCCGTTGACTCCATCCACGACCCGAAGGGGGCACGTTAGTTAAGACGAGCGCCTCATAGATTGGAACGCCTCCGGCCAGAATCGATGGCGATGTGCATTCCTCTTTGGAGTATATATAGGGGTGTCTTTCCCATTGGCTGATGCCACGTAAGAACGATAAAAAAGCATTCGCGTTTGATGGAGATATATTTCTCTTCATTTGCTGGTCCTCTGAAGCCCGCCGCATTTGAGGCCGAAAATTGCTTCACTTGACCGAATGGCTTGTCGGTCTTTATCTGGAGCGAGCTTTTCCACGAAGAGAGCCCTGGCTCGAGAGGAAAGAGAGGACGTTCGTTCCATGCACAACGCGTTGCGAGGGTGTATTAACCCGCATGGTGCCTCAAGGCAGTCTACCGGATATAATCGGTGGTTATGACAGATGCCTTGATTCGTTGGGCGTCCACTAAGTTTGCAAGGATCTGTAGCTCCGCTGGCGGTCTTCCCACTCTCTGTTGGTCGAGTCGACAGACAGTAGACGAACCGGTGCGGATGTATATAGCGGAATAGCTTGAAGACTTCGTGGAACCAAAGCCAGTGCGGGTAATAAAGGATGAATACCTCTAGGGACACAGGTGGAATGGGGTGCTTTACTCTCCCGCTGTCACTGGTAATCAATCCCCTTGGCCTGTCGATTCTTGGCTTCTTCGATATCAGTCCATACGATGGTAGCCTGTACGGCTAAATATATAGGTATGGGATCATAGGGGTGGGCCTCCAGCGAGCTCTCGAGGTGATTTCTGAGTTATATAGGTAGATCTGGAATCCCTATTAATGGGACTTGTGGGGACAAAGGGAGTCCGATTGATCCCTTTCGCGGTAGAGAGCCTCATGGGAGCTGCCCGGGTCTAACTGCGGCGACTGGCGGCTTCATAATCTCAGGGACTCGGACTTCGCTGTTGTATTTCCCCAGTTGTTGGCGAACAATAGACTGTATGTGTGCTTCGTTCGGGAGAAAACGGAGGTACTAAGATGGACCGTTCAGGCCCTCAAGCACAAAGAGGCCATGATATCATGACCAGGGACCCCCGCTGACGAAGTAAGAATGGGGCCCTGAATAGACGTCCTGTCGTCATCATTATGCTCGAGCCAGAGAGTCTCGTTCAGTCCATACACTTGGTTGCTTGCAGTTAATTTTCATAGCAGCAGCTAGAGTGCCTCTGCACTAGTTTATATAAGAAAGAGGAGATGCAATATATTGTGAATCAAGCGGTCCAAGAATGATCACGGTGAATGAGAGTGGCGGACACACAACGGTATGACTGCTCGATCCAGGTCCGTTGAGTTGAAATGAGCCTCGAATGGGCGAAAGGTGTCAAGAGCGCTTGCCTTGGGAGGCTATCGACACGAAACCACCAATCCAGTGTTGCCTTTCTGTTCAGCTCACGGCCACCAGTGCTGCCTTCTTGTGGTGGATGCCCCTTATCATTCCTCTCCTTGGAAATTGGGAGATGGCAGGTGGCGAGCGAAGGGTCCAAGGCTGGAGGGTGATGATAGGCACAACTGGCTCGACGACCCAAATCGAACGAGACCGTTTCGAAAAACGAATATGCGTTTAGATTAAAGACCAGTCGCTCTTGTGTCAGGATTTGAGACGAGCCCGCATGTGCTCCAATTTGTGACTATTGCCAGCCTGTATATAGGTTGTCGTTTCTCTCCATCCAGGACCAGAAAGGAGCATAGATGAGCCATCACGGGCTAGGTTGCCCCCGCCCGGAGTCCGCGATGATCTTTCGTTGTCTGTTCGCATAGTTCTCTACGGAGTATATATAACGGCGTCTTTCATTTTGCTGAATGGCGCGAAAGACTCATGTTAGAGCGGTGGGACATGGAGGGGGTGTGGTGTAGGAGGTAAGAACGACGGTACGACCAGTCTAGGGCAAGTTAGCAGGATGTGAATCGGGGGCGATTTGGAAAAGTACCTGTGGGTTCTTCTTGTCCAGATCGGTAAGGTGCTCGAAAATTTTGGACCTATTGTATACCTTGGCTCCTTTGTCGTAAAAGGTAGCGCAGCGCTGACCATAGAAGACAAGGATGTTCATGTCGGGAAAACAACTCTTTGTCTCGATGTATGTCTGGACAAGAGAGTTGACTGGTGCTGCAAGACCTTGACGCAGATCGCTGGGTGGTCTTTATAAAGAAAGAGATAAGCACCGCTTCGTGCAAGCAAGTCTTCGTTGCGGATCCCCAGTGTGCTTGGCGTGGGGAGGTGTTATAACAAGATATATAGATATGATCGGGTTGTTCAGATCTCCAGACATAAAGGTCTGCTCATTGCAAGATCTATCAGGTTGCGAAGGTGTTCGCGGATGTATATATACCTATGGGCCTGGGTTGCTGTTCCCGGTTTCACAGTCGGTGGCGTCGTTGAACGTCTCGTTATGACTGGAAAGACTTTACTGAAGACAAGAGTCGAAGACGGTCCCAGTCATCGACCATCCATTGCCCGAGAACACTGCGCGGTGTTTACTTGGTGGGCGAAACTACCACGGAGGACCATCCAAGCGAATGAGTCGGACTGTACCCAGAAGGACTATTATGGTTTGGAAGAACAACGCTTCACGTTCGCCATCTTCGATCCGCTCAGGAAGGTTGACCTCGCAAGGCAGCAGGTCAATGCCCCCGACGCCGAAGAACCCAGGACGCCAACAGACCTACCCCCGGTATCTGGTCGTCTTGGCCAATCTTGTAAACAGGTCGCGAGATTGATCAGCTTGCTCGGTGGGCACGCAAGTCCTGTCTGACTCCAATTCGTATGGTTCTTTGGCCTTCCAGCGAAAACCCCATATTGAGTCCCGTGCCGAAGGGTACGGGATCATCGCGGTTCGCAAGCAAGGTATATATATGGCGAGGCTGTGTGCGTCGCCTATGCGACCAAGTTCAAAAGCTCATGCAGTGCATGGTGCCCATGTCAGATTGGTGCTTCGCTAGGCGGGACCTCTTTGCACATGGGCTCCATCGTCCATCTTCATCAGGATCGGAATGTTGATAGTCCTCGGAGCGAGTGGTCATGGTAGGCATGATAGACCACTGGAGTGCACAGTTTAACTAGGTCTTTGGCGATTTCCAGGAGGGTATCTGATTGAGGCGAAGGGCGTGAGCAGGTCCTCCTCACCCAGGCCACAACTGGTAGGCTTGGGAGGAAGCGAGTATATAGTGGTTTGAGACGGAAAATACCCTGATTTCCACTATCCACTATCTCACCGCGTGAGATGGGATCTGACATGCTAGACAGATTTGAAGTAGTATCTAGAAGACCGCTCAAAGGAGACGTTGTCGATCAACTCAGGGTCGAAGGGCCAGGTGTCTCGTCTGAGCCGTCATCAACAGAGTGGGCGGGAGAGTGAAAACATGTGACAGGCCACACTGGAGAGTTTTCAACGTCAGACTCCTTACGTCGAACACATCGTTTCTGGATATTATATATAGAATGGGAATGGAATGGGTGGGATGAAGAAGAGGACTGAAGGGGGCGAGATGTGACCTTTATACTTGGCGATGTGATAGTGTTTGTGGTTTGGATTCATTGATTGAAGCCCAAACACTTGGCTGTGACATGTGGGATGAGTGTGCCTCAAATCATGGGACCAGCCGTAGGAGCAAATGCCACGTGAGAATGGAGCATCAATCAAAGAGGGACGATGCTGTTTTTAATGATTGCAAAAACTAACTGGATCGAGATAACGTGGTAAAGCGACAAGTACAATCCATCCCCCTTCCCTGACACCCGAATGCTTCGCTGGCTTGTACCTGTGTGAAATGGCCGACCAAAAACACCAAACGCAAGTCCCAAACTGATCAATGAGATCCCCAACACTCAAGCCAACCACCCTATTCAGGCCTCATCCTGCTCCGGCTGCAGCTTTCACTTCTCACCTCCAGGAGGGGCCAGGATGCTCAGAACCAAGGCGCAGGTATCCACAACTTTGTCCACCCGGAGATTGGTCGCGGCGAGTTCCTTGTTGGAGGTCTCAATGTCGGTCTTGAGCTTCTTTCGAGTCTTTTCAAGTTCCCCGCTGGTCTCCCGGAGCCGCTTTTGAGTTTCCTGAAGTTGCGCTTGCGTCTTCTGTAGCTGTTCCTGAGTGTCCTTGAGCTTTCGATGGAGAGACTCTACATCGCCGGTAGACACAGCTTGGTTGAGCAGGGCTGGAGCGTACTGTGTGACAGCTTCGATGACGGATGGTCTGCCAGCATCTTGGATGGCTGCTTTGAAGCCCTGGGCCCGACGTTGAATCTTGCAAAGAGGTGTAGGATTCTCTGGCCCTCCGTGGAAAAGTGCTTTCTGGCGCTCGGTGGGTATGCCAGGGGGCCAGTGGATGTAGTTATCCGGGAACTGGACTCCCCAGAGGGCCTCCATGTCCTTGCGGATTGGTGCCAGGGTCGGGTGGTACACACCGAAGGCCGCAGCCAGGAAGAACCAATAAGGGTAGTACAGCTCCTTTTGGCTGCGTTCGATTCCCTGCATCCGCTTGTAGTAATCGTGCTCAGTCGGCGGCCCTTTGAGGTTTGAGCTGACGAACTGCTCCCACGCCTTGGGCAAGAACTCGGCCAACTCGCGAGCAAGCGATCTTTCCATGTCCTTCTTGATTTTGTTGAACGTAACAATTAACTGGACAGCGAGAGTTCTACCGATGGTCGACGACTCATCAATGAAGGTAGAAAGAGATAGCTCGACCGAGCTGCCAAACTCTGGGCGAGAGCTTGAACTGGCGGATCTGTTTGCAGGAGGCATGATGAATTCGGAAAGGCTGAAAGCGATAGGTCAGCTCGCGCCCCAGGGGCATGCTCCGGCAGATGCGATGGCCGTGTTGAGCCAAGCTCTGACGGTGGTTGATAGGTGGAGGAGATTCGTGTTTGCGAGATGATAGATGCTGATCTCGTGATCCTAAAGATTGATGATGATTATGATTCGTGATCCTAAGGATTAATGATGATTATGATTCGTGATCCTAAGGATTAATGATGATTATGATTCGTGATCCTAAGGATTGACGATGATTATGATGCGCGACCAGATACGTATCACAGCTTTTGGTCAGTGATTGTGGCAGAGTACAGGAGGCGAGTGCGATGTTTGTGCAAGGCGCTTCTTATTTCGGTCGTAAACATCAAGCTAACCCTTCTAGACCTGGGCAATACATGCTTGCGTTTGTAGCCAAATAATTTTCTGGAAGAAGCCTTGTTGTTTCTCGGCAGATTGATGACCTATCATAACAGTTGAACCCGCACCATCCACATGGGACGGGGTGAGGACCTAAGTGAAGAAGCGGGCACACTTCTTAAAAAGGAAATAGCCCTCGATACTTAAATTACAATAGCATTAGTGATATGGGATTTTTAGCTACGAGAATGTTCAATATTCATGATGAAGTTCAGCAGCGAGGGACAAAGATGGAGGGTCGAGTCAGCGTAGAGTTGCCTAGAGGAACGGATGGAAAACCATCTTGTGGCTCAGTTATCCTATCAAGGGCCCAACTTCAGGCATATAAAAAAGATGAAAATATAGTATAGCATCATATTCTAATGCCAACGCAGTGACAGACGGGAAAACGTTTTGACGAGCGGTGCGTGGTCAAAAATGTATATTGACTGGCCGTCCTCGCCACATCCATGCGATCAGTTTTGCCTCTCAAACAGTGTTGCTGTCTTACCGGCACCAGAAGTACAACTCTTTGTGTGAACTGGACGTGTAGAGCGAACTGCGAACGAATGCTTCGTTCATTGACGGTTGTCTAGCGCGGAGACACGGCGCAGGTTAATCCGAGCCTCTCACCCTCTTCTCCCCTTTCATGGTTCTTTAACCACTCCACACAACGTCCTTCACCCACGGTGTATGTGACAGATACCATTCGGGAAGCACTGAGCATCACCTTTACCGGCTACTCTACCTTTTCTTTTTCTTTTGCTAACCCGCGTGCGTCTCTATCAGAATGTTAAAGATATCCTCGCTCAAAACCTGTTTCGACGAGATCGAGGAGACCAACAGCGACGATGAGTGTAGGGCCTGGTTAAGTAGAGTTTTCGACGCCAAGGTTGAACTAGCAACATTTGTTGCTGCTCGCCGGGGAAGAGGCAAAGCCACAGAGTATGTTGGCTTCCTCAAGGGTTCCTTCAACTTTGGTTTCCGTTTCAGGTTCAGTGATGAAGGGCCAGATGCCATCATCCGTTTCCCAAAGCCAGGGCACACAGCTACTTTTTTGAGGGATGAAAAGGTTGCGAACGAGGTCCAGGCCATGAAATACCTTGACCAAAACACCACGATCCCTGTCCCCTTTGTTCACAGTTGGGGCCTCACTGCCGAGAGTCCCCACCAGTTTGGTCCGTTTATCATTATGGATTACGTCGAGGGTACGCTCTTGTCGACGATCCTGAAGCAGCCGGCGGAAAGCAACCAAGGGGATATCATCTTGGATCCAAGCATCGACAACTCAATATTGGACAAGATTTACCGTCAAATTGCCAGCTACCTTCTTCAGCTTTCTCACCTTACCTTTACCCGCATTGGAGCCATCTCAAAAGACAACAGCACGTGGTCTGTCAACAAAAGACCGCTGACTTACAATATGAATGAGTTAGCAACTGTCGCGGGCTACCCAGATGATCTCTTCCCAACCTCAGCCTTTGATTGTGCTAGCGACTACCTCAAATCAGTCGCGCACGAGCATGTAGCCCACCTTAGGACTCAGCGTAACCTCGCAGATGACTCGGAAATAGCTCGGGCTCGATTCATCGCCCGGCACCGGTTCGTCCAGCTTATCCCAAGGTACTGCATCGATGACGATGGGCCATTTATACCCTTTTGCGACGATCTAAGGCCTTCCAATATGCTTGTTGATCCAGAGACGTTTCAGATCACAGCGGTCCTCGATTTTGAGTTTACAAACGCCATGCCGGCGCAGTTTACGTACGACCCGCCTTGGTGGCTCCTACTGTCCGGTCCAGAAGTATGGCTTGATCGTGGCTCGATAGAAGAATTCAGGAACCTGTATGAGCCCAGGATGAAGCAGTTCCTGCAGGCGTTGGAGCTGGTGGAAGAGACGTCGGTCCCCGGGGGGCAGAAGCTTACTGAACCACGTCTTTCCGCTCGGATGCTCGAGTCTTGGAGGTCTGGTCGTTTTTGGTTCGATTACGCGGCCAGAAAGAGTTTTGAGCTGGATGCTATCTATTGGACCGCGCTGCATGACGGTGATACCGGTGCTGAGCTACTTGACGACGAATCTCGCGCAGAGATGGAACAATTCATAGAGAAGAAGATGGAGCAGCTGAGGGTGTATAAGGAGGAGGTTACTGCCCGCTTCTCTCAAGCAAGCGGATGAATGAGGCTTTCTGATATTTAGTTGCCCCCGAAAGGAGGCACTGGCGGTTTCCATGCTAATTGGAAGGCATCAAGATTATTCGCGATGGGGTTGTCTTTTGATCATTTTTGATTGCGGCTGCTGAGCGACGATGAATGTGACACCCCCAAGACCGGAGGGGGCGCGTGCAGCGGACGTACATTGTTTGTTATGAGGCTGAGCTGATCAACTGAAAGTGGGGAAGTTACAGGATCGAACACCGCACCCGTACTGTAGCATTCTAGAGACAACACTTGTTCTTACTTTCGACAATCGGCACCATGAAAACCCCTGTGTCCCTGCAGTCGGTTTCTCGTCGCTCTGTTAATACAAGAACACTCTCGGGACTCTTCCACACCTTTGGCAAGTCCCTCTACCGCACCAGACTGCCACCGCCAATCTCTTGCGAGCCCGATCAGCGTCATCTCTCATTCGCAAGAGCCCCAGCAATCCATGCGCGCACCTTTCCAAGCAAAGGTTTTCAGTTGTTGCCAGCTAGTCGCAAGCTAGAAGAAGAGACACTCCCAGACTACCGAGCCGAGAGATTTTATCCCGTCAAACTGGGCGAGGTGTTTGCATCCAGGTACCAAGCAGTCGCCAAGCTGGGCTTCGGTACAACATCTACCGTCTGGCTGTGTCGTGATCTCAGGTACGCTCTCAAAAAAACAAAAAGAAAAAAAACGCCTCGGTTGATATTTTCCTAACCCCGAGATTGTCTCACGTAGGGAAGATGCGCTCGTTACTCTCAAAGTTTGTACCACGAGACAAGACGCAGCCCAGGAGCTGGCCATATCCAACCACATCAAGGCCATCGACGGTTCAGAGCATCCTGGCAAGGAAATATTACGTGTAGCATTGGATAAATTCAAGGTCACTGGACCGCACGGATCTCACCAGTGCCTCGTCTTTGCTCCCCTGGGATTGACGTATACGGATTATCGAAATCTCTTCCCTCAGCGGTCCCTCCCCAAGGACGTTCTTCGGGTGACTTTGCTCATGGTCTTGCTTGGCGTGGATTTCATGCACCTAGCCGGGTGGTGCACACCGGTAAGTGCCCATATTTGTTGATTGCCGGCTCCTAACAAATGGTTTGGACATATCACCAAACAATATCCATCTTGGCGCCAACGACGCTGCCATTGCTAAAGTAGAACGCGCCGAGCTCGACAACCCATCGCCGCGAAAGGTTCTTACGGATCGCACCATCTACCTTTCCTACAGAATGCCAATCACCAGTGACCCACTCGTCATATCCGACTTTGGCGCTGCAGTCCTGGGCCAGCCTGGCCAAAAGCATACCGGGGATGTTATGCCTGGGGTTTACAGAGCGCCAGAAATTATTCTTGGTTTGGAGTGGGATTCAAAAATCGACATTTGGTCAGTTGGGGTTATGGTACGCGAAGACATCTCTTTCCCATGCCGCAGCACTGATATGGAGTATAGATCTGGGACCTCTTTGAAGGAGGTCGACTTTTTCGCGCTGAGAAAGACGGCCATTTGAACGACGAACTACACCTTGCCGAGATGGTTTCCCTCCTGGGGCCACCCCCGAAAGAGTTTCTCAAACGGAGTGACAAATGCCGTCTGTACTGGGACGCCGAAGGTGAATCACCCTCTTTTCTGTTGCGATAGCTCTACTAAAACCAGAAGGGAAATGTATTTCTGAGACACCCATCCCCGACCAAACTTTCGAGAGTCGTGAGACGCGTCTTGAAGGGAGCGAAAAGAAACTTATCTTGGCTCTTGTTCGTAAAATCTTGCGCTGGCTTCCGGAGGAACGACCTTGCGCGGAGACGCTCATAGAGAATGACGAATTTCTCAATCAGTAGAAATAAAAGCAGGAGACAGATGAATGCCTGTCACATGTTATGTTGTAGGTAAGCCTTCATCGAGTTGCAACGATTGATTGCTCTCATTCATCTATCAGTTATGATCTGAAACAACGTCGCTCTTGCGCATGCTTGGAGCCCGTTTTGTATGGATGGTGGTGCCCTTCACTCATGGAAGCCCGTTATTTGTACAAGGTTCCAGTGTATGTATGATCTATCCTCAGCAATGTGTACAGGTCAAAACTCCGACAAATGCATCCCTCAATCGTGCCAACCAGATCCCGAACCACGCAGCGAATCTTCCCTTCATATAGCAACAGCAAAGACCTTTCACATCATGTTGAGATGGGCATCGGCTTAGAGAGGCGAAACAGGCGACTTGGCCTTGCGCTTTCGTAGAACCCTGGGTGTTGCCGGAGTCTCGGGCGTCTCGGTGCCGGTGTTGGTGTTCTGCAGCGCTCGGAAGGCAAAACGCTCAGGCTTGAGGTCCCTCTTGACCCATTCGTAGCTCCTCCTGATACGACCGGTCGCGAAAAAAATCTTGGGATCTCCTTCGATGAAACCCTTGCCGGCCATGGGGCCCGTCGTGAATTCGCCGCCAAAGTGACGATACTTGGCTGGTGTGGACATGTACATGTCGCGTACGAGGTCGACGTCGAAGCCTGGGTCCTCGACCCATTTGACGTTGTTGTTCATGTTGCTTTCCTGGAGGAGTTAGCATTGAGGGCGATGATCATGGGATTCAACATACAATAATCTCAGCGAGCTTGGCGTGTCTTTCAACGTGTCGCTTGAAAGCTGCGCGACCGACGATACGAGCCTTGCACTCGAGGCACTTCCTTCCGAATCGTGGGTTGGGGCTCGGGACTTTTTGGATGTGGTTCATCTTGGGAGAAGCCATTTGATTGATGCGAGGAGATTGTTCGGAAGCACGGTTGGTGTTGTGAGGTGGATGATATGCAAGAGGGTGAATGAAGGATGAACAAAGAGCAGAGAAAAAGGTGAGCTCGCGAACAAAGAATAGAGAGTGGATGAAGAGATGAAAGGAAGAAAGAAATAATCTCTATTGTTCTGCTTTAGGAGCATTATTTGCGATGGAAACTGAGGTGTTCGCTTCGGTCGATGGCACTGCCGGCTGGTGACAGCTGTCGGGCGGACGATGCAAACTTTTCGCGGAGACATGATTGGGACAAGATATTGATGAGAAAGGAGGTTCAAAATTAATGCTTAGATACCCATTCGAAACTCTCTAGAACCTGCGGCTACGGCAGCGATAAAAAGCTCCTTCCTCTGGTAGTAGGAGACCTCCTACCAGCTACGTGGTGAACGAGGCCGCATGTCTTACAAAGTGGCACTGAATTGAAAACCACCGCTGTAGTGGTGGAATACTGCGAATGAATACAATAGCGGTAGGGAGAGTTGATTCGGTCTACAGAGGAGTGTTATCGTCGATGGGATAGCTGAGCCAGAAGGCCGTAAGACCTAGAGGACTCTACACGTGTCGTTGCAGAAGCATGCCTGGATGGAAATGCTTATTGGAGGGCTGATAACCGGTTGGGTCGGTCATTGGTCTCGCAATAGAGGGTGTGGCAGACGCGCATTGCGATATCTGCACTTTTGGAGGGCGGGCACCAATATAAGGTCGCAAACTCTCCCCCTTCTCCTCGACCATTTCGAAAACTTAAAACTTCACTGAAAATTTCTGTGCCTAGTCTGGAGAAGCTACCAGCACCATGCCTCCTCCCCAAACGCGAACGCCGCTTCAACGCAGTCGAGATCTAGAAATTGCTAAGCGGCAGTTCACCTTCCTTGTATCGATCACAGCCACTATCTTCATCCTCTGTCCTGAATGCCTGAGGATCTACAGGAACCTCTGCATCGTTCCAGCCTTGGCGTGGCTCACTGGGTTTGCGTTTGACTTGATCAACTCCCTGAGCAACACTTTGGACAATGCCCCGACTTTGTTGAAATACTTCATCCCCGACATGAACATTCCCATAACAGCTCCTTTTGACCAAATCTGCACTTCAGTCGGCCCCATAATCTCCAAGGCAAGCTCCTATGCCAGGCTCATGGCTCTAGAGGCAAAAGCTCGAATCGTGGCGTTGAGGCAGGTGGTTCTCCTCGTTCTGGCTAATTGGTTCTTGCGTCAACTTGGGTTAGGTGAGTGCTGTCCAGAATGACTCGATATAAGTATCCAAACTCACTGCAAAGATCCCATCGGAGAGAATTCAGGCAGAGAATCTGAGGACGGTGCACCGGGTCCGGCCCCTATATCCGACAGGTGGTTTGGCCTTCTTGTCATGACACCTCCTGTCCACGATTACGGATCTCTACCCCTTGATCCAAAAACTAGCGAGAGATCTCAACCAATTCCATGGGACAGTCACGAGACTTCATCTATACCATCCATCTCCCCCCCTTCAGACTTTCGAGTCCATCTCTCGTTCTGCCTCGTTCCTAAAACGATTTGGGAGTCTCCGGAAACGACTCTTGCGGAGAAGCTCAAGGCGGGCCTCTACTGGGACATGAGAGGAGAAGACTGCGGATCTGACGGCGAGATCTGGGCACAAGCACGCGTGCAGAGGATCACTGGCATTGAAATCCTGGGGCTGGTCGACGAAGAGCAAGACACCGTCAACGCCTGTCATGCGTGTGAGTGCTACCCCCTAAGATGTAATCAAGTCACCAACTTCACAGAAAGGCTAATTGCTTCAAGACTTTGCCTCCTTGCAGCAGGACTGGAAGTATATGAAGATCTCCTGGAACGATGTTGACTTTGCAATCATCCTTGGATTCCTCAACACGGGACCACAGGTCACCCAAAGAATGAAGGAACTGTTTGCCTGCTTCTCAAGACTTCGTATTAACCAGGCTCTAGCTGCTAGGGCTAATTTGTCGAGAAAGGGGTTCTTAGCTTGCTGGTGTGTGAGCGCCACAGCCGGGGCTGTCACATTTCTCACAGGGGGGTTGGCGGCTCCTATAACAGGGCCGTTGTTTGTTGGCGGCTGTTTTTCAGGTTTGGGGGTTGGACTTGCGGGGGATTCAATTCTTGCACACGATATGAAGATGTGGAAGAGACGGATCGAGGGGTGCCAGGATCTTCAGCGGCGGTTCCCTCAGTTGGAGGAGATTTTTCAAGATGAAGGCTGAGCAGTGGCGGAACTAAGATAGCATTGAACCGGTCACGTTAAGTGCTTTTAAGAGAAGTAACCAACAGAGATTTGATTTTAAAAGACGTCCTAGTTTGCGCTGCCGTAAAGGCTAAATTGACTACCAAGGCTGCGGTGTCTTACAGTATTGGGATTTATTAATGCCCTCATGCATTGATAACTGCGTCTTTTACTAGTAGTTTGTATGAGAGGATATCTTAGATCTGTCCTACAATAAAGACGACTCTAGCCTTCCTTTTACAGACTCCGACCCATACGCTATCCTGTATCGGCTGCTGATATTCGCTAAGCCGACCGCCGTCGTATCAGTCGCTGCTCCACGATCTTACACTCAGCGAGGCTCTCGAATGTGTTGTCCACAAGGGCGCGCCGGATCTTAGGTTCGTCGCGACTAACAAAAAGTACTCGGGCATTCGGGCCAATGACCGCATTTCAAACTTTGCAGACGAAGCTCTCGACCGATGCATTGCTATTGAGCAAATAGACACATTCATCAAGGCCATCGGCAACAACTCAACTTGGGCATTCCGTTGGTTGAATTGAAAAGCTTCCCATCCTTGCTATCGAGTCCTGCCCTAACTCATTTTCGATCGAACCAAGCATCAGCAACAGCATCGCTTGCCACGATCCTAAGAGACGGCTCAAACTTCAACATTCGTTCGACCAGCTTAGCTACACTCGCAATATCCTCCCTCGTGAATTCGACGCGTTTATTGTCATCGAAGTAGATCTCTTCCAACCATTGTGGAAGTGTATATCCACCTTCATCTTCAGGCAAATCGTGTTTCATGGCTTGCCATTTGACCTGCCACCGTGTTGGTAGCCTGTCAGTGGCGAATTCCATCATTTGTTGAACAAGAATAGGGGGGGTTAGCATGAAGACGTCAAAAGGAGGTTGGCCAGTGACAAGTTCAAAAAGCTAGATACAACAGTCAGCGTGGTCGTCAGAGAACTGCAATAGATCATTTACTAGGCATCCCGCACTCCACATGTCCACTTGATTATTCAATGGGTCTCCGAAAACGACCTCTGGTGCGCGTACAGACAATGGGGTATGCAGTGTGTTTGGAGGGTTGTTGTTAAAAAACGCCTCTCCATAGTCAATAATCTTGACAGAGGGAGACGGTAGGAGCATGTATCTTTTCCAGAATTGGGCGGGCCGAACCAGATAGGATGGGACGTTGCGTTCCAGAGACTTGCCGTCCAGTCTTCTCACTATACCTGTCTCAGGTATTCCAAGCCTATCCAAAAAGTTGGATTCATCCAAAGAATGCAGTTCGGGCATTACGATAGCAAGATTTCGAGTGTGAAGATCTGAGGATAGAGTCAGTGCGACACCATGAAGTTAGCTGAGGCCCACCTACCGCCATGGCCAATGTCGTGGGATGCGAGGAGATCAAGCCCTTGCAGAGTCTGTTTAGCAAAAAGCTTTGCAAGCTTGGCTGGAAGCCTGTCATCATTGTAGTACGATGCAACAGCATCCGCCACGTTTGGGCCAACGAGTTCTAGGACGAGACAATCATGGGTTCCATTCGGACCATCCAAAGTAAAATTGTCCAACATATGGTTCAAGTGGGGCCACCCAGGATGGTGTCTTGGAAAAGCTGATATTGCCCGCAATACGTCAAGCTCGTGTCTTCGTCCCATGTCGGCGACTGAAATCTTGACAGCGACATATTGGCTATTCCTGCAAGATGGTTAGCGTTCCTCCTTGTATACCCAGGAAGACATACTGTTCGTCCTTTGCCGCCCACGTAGTAGAATAACTGCCCCAGCCTAGCTTATGGAGAATCCTGTATCGTCCATTCTTTAGAACCTGCCCCAATCTGAGAGGATGATAACCCCCGGGTTGATACCGGTATAGTGGCTCGGCATCAACATCGCATCTGTATGGTTGCTCTTGCATTTGAAAATTGCGACAAAGAGTTCTGTTGGAAGTGTGAAAACGATGAAAAATACTTGATTGAATCCTTCCTGAAGAGAAAGGTGCCCTCGAAAACCTCGGCCACACCATGTTGATTGCAAGCCACAAACACCTCAACGAGGGATGCCAGGTGACCCCCGACAGGTCTCGGATTAACTGCACGTGACCTCGCCGGCTCGCGTCTCTTCCCGTCTTGAGCATTGCATCGCATCCATGAGACAATCACATCACAAATGATTCTGATGCCTTCGGCGCGCCGTTCAAATCAGCATTAAGAGCGCAGGTATCCAGCGATATCGCCTGTTTCTTACCAGCCGCATTTGGAATTCGACAGCCTTCACAATGCCGAAGAAACAAAAACCCCGAGATACATGCCCCGAAAGTCTTGTTATCAACAACTCCCCGCTCCGACGTTTCCTGACTCTTTTGGGTCTCAAGACCACATCGCGACTCTTTCGTCGCCGGGGCGCCTGCGTGCCCATCTCGAAACACTTGATTGTCAAATCGGATAGCTTTGTCGATTTGACAGAAGCAGCAACCATGAGATTTGTCGCCACCAACACTTCCGTCCCGGTACCGAAAGTCTGGTGCTCTTTTGTACGCAACGGCCGGGTATACATTGTCATGGAGAGGATTCGGGGCGATTGCATTTCCACAGGCTGGGACGAGCGATCTCAAGAGTCAAGGAATAAGCTTTTGGCTCAGCTGAAGCTCTTGATTGAAAATCTTCGCTTGTTGCAGCCGCTTCCTGGCACAGGGGTTGAAAGCTGTACCGGTGGGTCCTTGTTCGACAGCCGTATAGCTCGCTCGGGTGGTCGCTTTGGCCCTTTCAAGACGATACAGGATTTTCACTTGTGGCTGAGGGACAACCTTCAGCCTTCCGAGGTTGAAAAGCCTGAGCAGGCGAGTCAGGAAGATTGGAACGACGTCAAAGAGATGGCCGCTAGGCAGGACGGGGTTTGGCCTCAGCCAGTACTCACGCATGGTGATCTGAACCCGTCCAATATACTCGTTCGAGGGGACGAGATCGTTGGTATTATTGATTGGGAGTTTTCTGGCTGGTATCCGCACTACTGGGAATATACATCTGCATGGTGCACCCAGACTATGAGTACGGAGTGGCAGAATCTCCTTGGCGACTTCTTGGAACCGTATGTTGAAGAGCTGAGAATGGAGAGAACCAGACAGAGATGGTGGGGAGAGGTCTGAACAGGTCAAAGATTGTCCAGTACCATGCTGCTTTCAATCGTCAGTCGACTTCAGGCTAAGCGCCCATGTATGGTGAAACGGGCGCCATTGGCCTCGGCCTGGCCCGGCCTGTCTATGAACATGTCAGAAAAAGTCACGGCATCATCACCCAACAGAGTTCCAAGCGCCGTGGCTATTGACCACACAGGAAGTGGAGCTGTGCAATGTACGCACCACAGGCAACCTGCTCGTTCGCATCCTCATAGCCAAGGTTACGGACGTCGAGCGCCTCGCAAATATCTTCCGCACTGTTCCTATAGTGCAAGATGATCCTAACTGGAGGTATCGCAGCTGGGTGGAAAATGCCCTGGTAGCGCTGAAGGAGGACGGCAGAGCTGTGGGTAGGGCAGAGCTGGATTGGGGGACTATTGAAACCGTGGCGAGGCGGTATGCTGGCGAGAAGACGGAGGCCGGTCGGTTTAGAGATGTTGCATTAGCTAAGATGCCGAAACCGACGTGGGATATGCTGGAAAACAGAGAGATTGTACCTTAGACCGTACAACTCATACGAGTACAGTTGGCGTGAGGTGGTGGCATCATGTGACTGGATGAACTTGGCTCACGGCATCAGAGGCAAATCATGGTTGTTTAAATAAAAAGACGGAAAAACCTAAAACGTAATATGGCGATAGAAGGAGAAGGGAAGAAAATACAGAACAAAGGCTACTCGAGTGGGAGTATGGGTGACCTTGTCAGCGATTACCTCTCCACCCTTTCCTCATCTTCCTGGACACCGTGAAGAGCTGTGCTTTATTGAATGCAACACTTTGTTGCCATCTACTGTGCCCTTTGACCTGTGACGTCGGATATCATCAACACGTGGCCACTTCCATTCTCAATGCGCTGAACGCCGTGACTTTAACTTTTTCCTCGTGCAGCGGCATCCCCAACCGACCCCTCTCAAAACTCTGATTCTGTCATTGACGTGGGATACTTAAAGTCCCCTCTTGTCCCGGTCCATGTTCCGGCCATCTGTCTTTTCTATTATTCCCAAATAATATCCTGTCTCATCCACCTACCATTTCACATCCCCTTCAACCATGGCTACTGTCTTGTCACCGTCGACCTGGATACAGGTCCTACCTGTCAGACTCCAGCGCCTCCTCGGAACCCAACAGCCTTCATCTAACTCCGATCAAACTTCAACACCCAAGAACTCGACGGAAAGTACGACCGATCACGACGACGAATGGGAAGATTGGGTCATTCCGACGCCCGAATGTGAAGAGCCAGTGAGGTTTGCGCCAGCCTTGACTAGAAAGCCGACAAAGGAAGAGATTCTCGCCTTGAAACTCCCGTTTGAAAAGTTGATGGCTCGTCAACGGGCCATTGTGGCCAATGCTCAGCGGGATGAGGTTGGAGACAAAGAGGGGAAGCCGAGCCATGGAGAGGAGGAGGACCTGTTCCACCTCGAGGGAATACACGATGGAATAAGGATGCCCCCCCATACGCCACCCGACTCTGATGATATTCGGAGGCGCGGTCCTTTTATTTTGACTATTGATGCGGACAGGTGGCTACGACAAAAGAAACTAGGCGAGAAGCAGATTGATGGCTTCTGGTACTTCTGAGAAAGTCTCAGCGTCTGCTGCCACATACTCGCAGCGGGATCGTGCTTCAGTTGGGTTTCTAAGCTTCAATACCGCAACCCAGGCAACAAGCTTCGTCGCACTCTAGCGGCACTGCTAATAAAGTATACGAATGAGACAACCTCCGTCCCCCCCGGTGTCTCCGTTATCGTTCCCCTCGTTGTTACCCTGTCCAGTCTCGGTGTTCTGGGTGGGCTCGACGCCGTAAGTGTCCCAGTCGTACCGGGCCTGGTGCACGACCTCTAGGGTCTGGGCAGTCTCGATGCCGTCCTCGGCATGGTACGGGAACCAAAATCGGCCATTACGGCTGGCCGCGATGGGCATGGGCCTTCCCGGGGTGAATGTGTCGCCGTCCTCGATTGGTCCCCGTAGGATCGTAGCGTTCGGGACGGTGGGGATGCGGTGACCGGTGATCCGGGCGCCCCGCGCGGCCTGGTGGCAGAATTTGGAGACACACCGGTTAGCCACTAGGGATAGGAATGCATCCCCGAATCTCAGGCCGACACAACCGACACGGACATCAGACAGACACAAGGCGATCGAGCACGACGTCTACCATCGAGCTAACAGTGCTGTTGGTCAATGGGAGGCCCACACAATCATCACCACTTTTGAGCCTAAGTGCGGGTTTTGGGTATCTGTACGGAGCGACTGGGACTCGCTACTAATTCTATACTCATGTATGTCGCAATGGCAGAAACGACAAGACATTCGAGAACATCTGCGCTGAAAATGGGCCACGACCACGAGAGGATGAAATTTGGCATCCCGCCTGTGGGCTTAAGGCCAGGCTAGCGGAAATTGAAATTCTACTTTTCTCTGCTGTCCAGTACCTTCGCACAAGTCATGGTGAACCTATTCGTCAGGCAAAGAGCGTTCTCTGTGCTTGACTTTTACATACAGGGCCCACAGAGACAAGCAGCATGAGGTTCCAGCCCCCAACGCTCCTCTATCGTAATGTACTGGGCACATGAAAGCTGATACAGGGAGGGGACGACTCATTGCACCGACGACGAGGTCTACAATGACATCCCTGCTCCTTGTTAGCTGTCTATAAGGCAGAACCCGGCTGTCACATCTTCTTCTTAGTCCACCGTGGAGTTAGACAATACTTTACTAGCTGGTGGATAGTTTTGAAGAGTCGCGCTTTGCCTCTAAAGTAGTGGTTTTACCTGGATACTACAGAGGCGCGTATACGGGGTCCTCCTCAATACGTACCTGGTTGTGCTAATGGAGCAAGAGAAGCACTTGTTAAACAGCCTATGAGAGATCAACAATACTTAAGGAGAAGATGACTTAGTTCTACTCCCAACCCCACTTTGCCTTCAAGGCCTTTGACTCGGCTAGTAACCTGTCCGTCTCAGTTTCATAGAGCCCGTTCTCCCTCAGATACTCGGTGTAGCGCTCACACTGTTCCGCCCGACGTTGGGCCTCCAGCGCAGCCACTTGATTCTCGTTGAAGAACTTAGATACAGAATCATTAAGACTCTTGTCCAAAATTTTCGGGGCCAAAAAGTCTTCGAATATCTCGGTAGCGTCGGCAGGACGGCGTAGAACATGAGCAACACAGAACGCCATGTCAGTCTGATCCTTCGACTTTCCATCGGCCGATTGGCCATACCATTCCTTTCCAAGCTGCTCCCAGAGGCTGTTTGCCTGGCTATTCTCGTCCAGGACGCTGCAGAACTCGGCGTGCATCTGCTTGTTCGTCTCGATCGAGTCATGGCCCGTTATCCATGATGGCGGGGTGAAGACCTGACGTGGAACCGTATGTGCGAATTCCCAGTCAACTATGCCCTGGATTGTTAGTTTCTTGTCCACGATGATGTTGGCCCCCCGCAAGTCTAGGTGGTTCAATACGAAAGGTCCTTTGTCCAGTTGAGAATCGATAACCTGGCCAAAGATGCGCTCCATGCAATGCAGCGCGAACATCTCCTGCTTGATGTCGTCCACGGTGTGGTTGCTAACAGGTGGCGAGAAGAAACCTGATACAAGGCCAAGTTGGTACGCCATGTATTTCCTGGCGGAATCAAATCTTGACTGAGGCGGCGGCAGCCGAAGCGTGGCAGCGGACATGGAGATGACGGGGACCAAAGAAGGCTGCGGGCTGCCGTCAGGATTTAGCATCAGAGAGCCTATCAAGGGGAACTCAAGTTGCCTGAGCTCGGCCAAGATGTCAATCAACTGAGAAAAGAAGTTTCTCCTCTGCTCCTCTTCAGCCTCAATTAGGAGCTTTTTATCCAGCGGCTCGCCCCGGATGACCTCTGCGATGAGAAACGCCTGCGTCCCTGTGTTAGTTTTGGTCAACTCAGCATCACGCCCATAAGCGTGAACGTGAGGGACCGGAATCCGGGTGTTCCGCTCCAGGTATCTATACATGCGTGAGCGGTAGTTGAAGCTGGGGAGATTCTCAGCGCTTACTCTATAGTCGCAACCTCACTCAGCACTTTATCCCAGGGGTTATCGAGAATGGGCTCGATTGGAACCCTGACAACCCACTCGGGCCCATCTTGCTCAAACTTGACAAAGAAGCAAGCATTAAAGCTGCCGTTTTTCCTGTCTACAACCTGGCACGGTCTGCCATCATTGTACTTTGATGCCAGAGCGCAGATGGTATCCAAGTCTAGCGATTCGATAAACGTATTTTTGACTTGAGCGTCTTGTTCTTCGGTGGTAGGAAATTCTTGAACATTCGATACACGCGTTTCGACCTCTGCCTCATTGATATTCGAAGTGTTGATCTCACGCGACCTGAACCTAGGGACATCCGTGAAGCGAAATAAATAACCCCATAGCCTAGAGAGATACGAGCGTCCATGGCGTGAGTACTAGATGTATGAGAGCGGACAGCATGGTTAACCCAATACTGAAGCTGCAGTGTCAACTCATTCAGTCGGTTGTGAGCGTCGCGGTCGCGTACTTGGCTGTGTGCCTGAAAATAAGAGGTGGCCGCTCGGTGATTTGACGCCTTTCCTATTTTGATGGTCTCGAGACCCACCTTTCTTACATCAGCAGCCTTTCTTTCTCCCTACCCGGGACTCCTGCGTTCTCTTTACGGAACTTGGTGTGAATCGAATTCCTTTTTCCATCACGTAGCTTGAAGATTAAATAGCGAAAAAGAGCAATGAATCGAAAATTCCGGCCAAAACGAGGTACGAAGTCTTTGGGGGCTTGGTTAGCATCTGAATCTGGTTGATGCAGAGTTTGGAAATTGACCTTACATATCACACGAATCGCTCTGGAAATGGGGTAGCTGAGAACCCTTCTGTAGTCAACATAGGCAAAAGATGGAAGCATAGTAGGAACGTGTTTTAGATTAAGATGATACTGACACGTTATGCAAAAACAACTAAGCAGTTCAATCCCGGCTCACCTTTGTGTGTTTCCCACATTAAAACCTAGGCTGCTAGTCCGCAGAAAACTTACCATCTCACTTCTTATCCTTCCCATCCTTGTCCCCCTTATTACGAGCGTCCTTGGCAGCATTGCCAGCGCTGAGGGCAATGCTCAGATTCTTGGGGTTGATAACCAGTCCTTGCTGGGCGGTACCAACATAGGCGGGGGTGGTGTCAGGCATGGTGAAGATGAAATTTGTTGTGAGAGTGGTGGTTTCTGAAATGCGGTGCTAAGTAATTCAGAGGTGAGAATGCGGAATGAACCTGGAGTGATGATCTTAATTGAAGTCAGATGGATGAGTGGATTTATATCCATGAGTGTTGCAATTGTGTTCATTGTCTGGATGAACATTACTTCACACAATGGAGCCTTCGAAGTGAATGCCCTATAATGAACATGTGTTTTTACTTGGAGTTAGGTGAACAAAGCCAGCCGTGGGTGGTCGTGTCAAGTTTAATCGAACAACAAGTGAATTCAAGCATCCATTGTCACTTGTTATGCCCAAGGCTTTGTGTCGAGTGTCTAAGCACCATTGTAGATTTTACATCCGAGTATTGAGGGCGAAACGGAAAAGGGGCGTTGGGGATGTTTTGCACAATAGCTTACCTACCTACTTCAAATGCCATAGTGGCATTATCTTGTCATGAAGAGCACATGAATTTTCCAAGTTCGCGATGCGAGTGAGAGCTGCAATTTGCTTCAAAGTTTTCGCCAATTTTACAAGTGCCATTGAGTAAAATCATGACGAGGCCTTCATTGCCATTCATTATGCATTGTCATGCCCATATTCTATAGACCTGCACTAAATTTCCATCCACTGATGAATTGCCGTGTAGAATCCGCTCCCGATAATAGCCTCTACTGAAAACATCGGCGCCAGACTTTAGGGCTTAGGGTAAGTGAGGATCTTACGAAACATGTCCAAAGAGCTCAGTACGTATCATCTGCTATTTTTCTTCCATCTGGTAATGAAAACAAGGCTGAACGTATGGAACAATGTGTCAAGAACCCCCCTGGCGGACAACGGTAACATGCCCTGTCTTGTCAACAACTTCTTGTCGACGGCCTCGCCGGTATTGACTAAAAATAGCAGAATACGACTGGTCACTCTGCTTTAGTTGGATGAAGGGTCGGCGAATTTCCTCCCAAACAGCCACGCGAGCGCTAATGAAACAAACCTGAGATATCTGCTTATGCAGTTGTGGCTGGTTTCGATCACATATCACCCTTTCCTAAGGCTGGCGGTAATTATTTGACAGCTGAAACAATGTTCCAAACAAGGCCGGTCTAAGAGTACAAACTCGCGTGGCTGGGTCTTTGTTGGTTGCAGGGGCATGTCTCGTGGGATTCAAAGAAATGTGATCATGTGACGACAATGAAATATGACAGACAAAACTGTCGAAGAAAAAATCACAGAATGAAGTATTAGTGAGACATGGCCTACAGCGAGACCTGCGACATTTTCCATGTCATGAGCTCGGGGAAAGCCCCTGGATTAGCGTCACTCGTATGAGCTCCTGGGCTGCGCACTTGTTTAAGACCTGTCCTGCGCTTTAGATCAGACTATTGATTCATGCATCAAGTTATCATCCTCATCCCAACATTCATTCCCATCTCAAAAACCCTATTTCTCTCCTTTTGAGCCCTTGAACATTGTTACGCCCTCACAGTCGGTCATGGCACTTCCTGAGCATTCCCTCCTGTTCTCCCTCATTCCCCAGAACCTCGCTGCAGAAACCGCCATCGGAAACTTGGGAAACAAGCCGTTTGTCTCAGAATTACCAATTCCCCGAGGACAGAATGGCAGTATCCGAGTCGTTTGCGTCAGATCCAACCCCTCAAGCGCTTCTGGCCTGGAACCAAGCTTCCCCGGACACCGCAACGGGCCTGATCAACCTGATAGAACATTCCGGTTTATTCTAAACAAGAGGACTGGAGAGGTTCTGCTTGAAGACTTCTCCGATGGCCAGGCTTTCAGGTTCACGGGTCCAAATGCTATTCCTTTTCCCAACCCTCCGCATCCTCGCAGGCTCATAATGGATTGTCACCACAACCTTGAGTTTGAATGCCTTGAAGAGCCTGGTAGCTGGAGCAGGTGGGCTGTTTTCTGGCACCAGACCCCACCCGCACACCCTCCCCAGCGGCCTGCCTCGACTATCCTAGCTGATGACGATGGCTCTGAAGTCTACACGAAATACAAGACAACCCCTAATTCTGGAGGTGACTTGATCCGCTATACTGACCGGGACTGGTCCTTTGCGTCAAAGTTCGGCGCTCCCCGGGTGGTTGTTGATATTGGCACCGGCCAGTATCTAGCCGTCAGGAAAGTCTCATATCCGTTCAAGATCGAAGCCCGTCGATCTATGTTGGAAAGAATCATCAGTGACAGCAGGCTATCACATGTGAGAAGTTCCTGCACCGTCAGTCAAGAACAACTCGCTAACACAGACAGCCACACATCATTACCTACTTTCAGGTCCAGGAAACCCCTACCAGCATCGACATTCTCATGCCCGTGCAAGAGGGAGACCTTCTTTGGCTCATGGAACACTACCAGAACCCCACCGACAACTTCCACCCGCTCGTCAATACCGATGAGATGGGTCAGCTCCTACTTGGCCAAATGCTTCTGGCTCTTGATTACCTGGAGTCTAAGAGCGTGATCCATCACAAGGTTTGCCCGGGAAACATCCTCGTCAACATCGGCTTGGGCAGGGGCGAGAACGCCACCTTCCAGCTGTCCAACTTTGAATACGGAGGCTTTAAAGGCACAAGCCTCTACGCCAACGACCCTTGTTTTAGGGCACCAGAGGCATGCGGTTTGACGGACGCCCGAGAGTCACCCCGAACGGATATTTGGGGTCTATGCGCGACTATGGCATATTTCCTCGATCCCGATTTCCGAGGCTTTGTCAGTAGCAAGCCTTTAGATGGTCTTGTTGCCAACGCAGTGTGTCTCGCGTCTGATATGTTCTTCGCGCTGAGAGGCATGGGAGAGTGGGACGCCAACAATCGTCCTTCGGCACGACAAAAGCTGGAGGAAGTTTTCGGCGAGGGTGTTGAGGGTTGAGTAAATGTAGTCAAAGAGAGCATGGCACTGTGTGTCATGAACAGCATCGAGCTGGTCTTGGAAACGGGGAATGTGTAAGAAGAGCGTGGGATGCGGCAACTGTACTCTTTGCATTTGGCTGGCCAAATCGCTTTGAGAGGAGAATGGATAGGAGGTGACGCGGCTTTGAGAAGCCATTAGACACTGGGCCATGAAAAGGGGACGGGTTGAAGGAGAGTCTGGGAAGAGTATGAACGTAGAATGTGTATAATCAAGATCATAAAGCCAATGCACTTTGTGAGATTCATTGCCACGTCTTCTTTGTTCCCGTTTTGCTGCGTAATTGCAGCCTAAGATGAATGCCACGTCAGTATATTGTGGGTAGTATTGCTTGCACTATATGCATATTTGCATCGTCCCTTTGAGCTAGTTCTTTGAGCTCTCGCCGCTCACCGCTCTTGTTAGCTTCTTCCATTCAATATTGCTGGCACATGACTCAAATGACATGAGTCAGGTGAGATCCAAATCTTTGAAGACAACTTCAACTGCATGCAGCTGCTTGGAAGTAGACGGAAGGACTACCTCAAAGGACAAAAGCAAAACAAAATCTACAGAATGAATGAAGTGCTTAGCATGCAGAAGGATCCTCATAAGCAACACGTCATGTGGGATTCTGGGTGAATCACTTGTGTATGCTGCAACGCCTCAGCTCTGGGTATTTATACGGGACGTGGTCTTAGACTTTTGGCTCACACTCACCATCACCGACACTAAAAAGCCTATCCCTTCAACAGACCTACACCAATCAAGACCTACATCAACCACAAGCGATCGACATCACAGACAAACAAGCACTCTACTACACTACTACTTCGCCATGTCTCACCGAGTTACTCGATCGTCGGCGAAGGAAGACTGCCAGAACAAATCACTTCACGGCCAGGCCCCCTCCAGCTCTGGCATCGGGCAAGCCACCTTTGGAGGGTCCACGGATCTGACTCCGCCCTGGTCTCCGAGAGATCAAGGCAGGGATAACCAAGAAGACCGAAAGGGAACCAGTGTTTCCCAGACGCCTCCCAAGCCCCATCCAGCTGACGCGAAAAGGAGCAGCGCCCCCCGAGCTCCCTCGATCAGCAGTAATGATCTTACGAGACGCTTGACCATGGCCAGGGCTCCCTGGGCAACTGGGAGCGTTTCCCCAACTCCCTCGCCTGACGACGATATCCCGCCAACCCCCGAGATACCTGCCATGACGGCTTTTACTCGCGAAATGCAACATTACGGCAAGGACGCGAACAATTTCTACGACGATGCCGACACCGATAGAACGGCCGACTACCCCACAACTCCCTCAGAGAGTAGCAGTGGTTTCAGCAGTGTTTGCAGTAGCCAGAGTAGCCGGAGATCGCGGGGTGACACGCCGGCGTATGACCAGGATGGCTGGCGGTTGGGGGGTTTTCTGACGAGCCCACGACGATAAATCGGGTGAGGACAGTAGTGGGTTTATTTGAGAACTGCAATTTTCCATTTGGGTGGAGGCGAGAGTTAGGAATGAGATTTGAGATTGGATCATTTCCTTGTTTTGGTTGGCGCGCTGGAGTTTTGTTATTCTACTTGATTTAGATACGGAATAGATTGGCATGCTGAGGATTGGATTTCAGTGACGGTTGTCTTGAGCCTTTCTAGCCTCATAGAGCCTTCTTGACCTAGGTAGTAACTTAGCCTTAGAGTTGGTACCTAAATCGCTATTGCTGAAAGTTCTCATTAAGTCAAGGCCTATATCATTCACAGGGGCTCAATTCATTGCTCTAACCTATCGCCTATCTTCTATGGCTACAAGCATATTTCTCAAAGAAAAGCAAGGCTCTGTTACCAATTTTACAAGGTGCCTACCGAATGATCCTTTGATAGGGGAAGTCCAGCTACCGCAGACAAAGAGGCCATACGTAGAAACAGCCACCTGTGACTGACACGTCACTCTATGTCTCGCTTGTGACGAACTTTTAAGTGTTGCATCTTTATTCTTCTGAACTATAAGTATTTATGGCAGACCTGGCTTCAGGGTTCCGACTCAACATCCCACCAACACCAGCACCACGAAAGCTACCTGCCTATCTTCTACATCAACAACATTTATCTCAAACTGGAGAAATCAAGAATCTCAACAGACCACTACGTCGCCATGATTACCTTGGCATTCATTTTGCTGATCTTTCTCTATTTCCTCTTATATCGAGAGATGAGAGCGGAATCCACCAAAAAGACACTGTCTGGCAATCGACCTCGAGGGACGAAACGGAAGAGGGGGAATAGACACAGGCGCCATCAACCTTTCTCTAGCGCTAACACTGAACCTGTCGCTTCTGAAAGACGGGCTAGTGAGACCAAGTCCAAGAAGCCGGGGAACCAAGATGAACAAGAACGATCAACGGCAAGAAGTTTCAGGACCTACTCACACGACACATTAACCGACTACGACGCTTATTATGAAGATCTTCACCGTGTAGTACCTGAGGGCAAAGAAGATGATGAATCTCTTTATCGTGCATTGCACGGAGGAGACATATAATGGATCCTACCATTACGAGAAGGACGACTACCATGTCTACGACGATGACGACACCTAGCAAAAGATCAATTACCCTGAGGATCCTGAAGATGATGAGGAGAACGAAATTCAGTGGGAATGGGTATTTGAGTATCAGAACTGATGGTGAAAATGGTTTTCGGGAGCCGCAATGGTGGTTTAGGTGGCCTTGCCATCACCGCGAGGTTTCGCTCATGGGTGGTGAGACAAGATTGTTTCCCATTATTGATTAGGGCATAGGAACTTTGCTTTTTCACTCGATTTAGATATGGGAATAGATTGGGTTGCCAGGACTTGCATTTCGGTGAGACTCGCTAGGATTTGCCGCCTAGCGGAAGAAATATTAAAACATCTTGATAATTCCCGTATTAAGAGCATCCCATCCATTATGGGATGAAATGAATTCCACTTCGTCGTTAGTTGCTTGATTTCCTAGGAGTTTGGTTATGCGGACCTGTGATGAGTAGGTAGCCGATGTGTGGCTGGCAATATGTGGCTGGCAATATGTGGCTTTGACAAGGGGTTACCGCTGGGATTCGGAAGAAGTAAAGGCCGACCAACCTCGTTCCTCTCTCCCCTTGTCTTTCGAGATCAAACTTCGCGTCAGCAACAAAAACCAACCTCTTGATTCCCATTTGAAACCCAACTACACCACTCTTGTCCGTGTCTTCTTTGCTAGGGCTGGCTCTTCGTCTCCGGTCAAACGAATATGCCTCGAGGCCAAACCCTCAGCGGCATCCAATCAGCCACCACGATCAGCCATGTCCAAGAAGGCCTCTTTGCCCTGCATGCTCAAGAAGACGAGATCCTCTTCAAATTGAACGCGATCTCGGATTGCCACAAAGATGTGGATCGCGAACTCAATGTTCTCGATGCTCTGCGCACCACCCTCAACGCCCAACTGATCGACTCTCACAAGTTACAGCACGCTATGCTGGCTGGTACGGCACACAAAGCCGATCGCGTGTCGAAACGTGTTCAAGAGCTTGAGACCGAGAGAGAAAAGGTCGAGGACACACTCCGGATGGTGGAGCAGGTCATGGAGCTCAAGGCATGTGTCGCCGGTGTTATCGGCAGCATGGGAGCCCCGCAAGACTGGGAAGCTGCCGCTCAATATCTTGTTCGGGCCTCGAAAATCCCCGAGGATGTTGTCCTTGGAGACTTTGCCGCCGCGGTAGTACCGACCATCGAAGCCCCTGACCCACCTTGGAACACCCTTGAGATTGCAAGAGAGAGCCTCTGTGCGCTATTCTTGAGGCAGTTTGTGTCCGCCGCAGAGGATGAGAACGTCGATCAGTTGACTCGCTTTTTCAAATTGTTCCCGCTCATTGGTAGAGCCGAGGTCGGCCTTGACGTGTATGCACGATACATATGTCGAGGTGTGGCGAACGCAGCAAGGGAAACGCTGAAACAGGCGGGCACGAGTTCCAGGGACGTCTTTTTCTACGCCAACTGCCTCACCAAGCTTTTCGAACATATTGCACAGATCGTGAATAGCCATAGTGGTCTCGTGAGACAACATTATGGAGCGAGCCAAGTGGTCAAAGTGATTGAGAAACTACAAGCTGAGGCTGATATCCAGGGAGGTATTATTCTCGACGCATGGGCCGATGACAGGTCTGTGGACAGGATGATATCCGACATCAGAAGCTACCCGTTCGTATTTCTGGTCCAAAGTATTCTCGCCTGGCGACAAGGTCAAGGAGTGAAGGTCGAAACTGAAGCCGACCAAACAAGTATTGACATGAGGATGATGGACGAACTTGTGAGTGAAATGACGGCTATGCTGCAGCAGTGGTCGCTATACTCTCGGTTTATCGCACGCCAGAGCCAAGTACGTTACCGAAAGGGCTGCTTTTACTATTGCTGCACTATTCCTGACCATTGTAGGACGCTGATTTGCCAGACGATGGTTCCTTAGCCATCCCTGAGTTTTTGGCATCTTGTAATTTATCCCGCAAGGTCTCTGAGAAGCTGAACGCGCCTTACGGTATCATGGCGACCTTCTTTGTTCGTCGATCGGTCGAACAGGCATTCCAGACAGATCTTGCTCCGACTGGACTGTCATTGACCAAACCAATCAGCGGCCAACCACCATTCATCATCCAAGCAATTGACGATGTTATGTATGTGGTAGATCTCGTCTTGCAGAAAGTCATAACTGCATCGAACCACGCGGTGGCGGCCTCGGCCATACCGGATATAGGACGTGTTCTCGAGTCCGACCTCATCGGCATCATACACAGACGTATGCGGGATGAATATCATCCCGGCTCGAATTCTCAGGGAAATTTGACACTGGAAGACAAGGTCGTCAAGTTCATCGTGATGATCAACAGCCTAGACATCTCAGTCGAGTACCTGGGCAGACTTCTGCGAGCCCGAGCCGGCTTAGAAAGCGTGGAGCAAGATCGTGGGCGCGAATCCCCATCGCTCAAGGACAGTTTTCCGTTCAACCGAGAGGCTGAGAATGTCGCGCTTGCCCTGGACCGTATGAACAAGGCCTTTTCTTCCAAGGTAATCCCACTCCTTGATGAAGGAATTCAGGTACTCTTGGATGAGGTGGTTAGGCTGGGTCTGCGACCGGTACTGGCCACCACATTTCGGGATATTCACTACGATGAACTTTCCGGTGACGAAGGGATCGACCAGTTTGAAGACGATGGGACCAACGGACCACTGCCCCGGGCTCTCGAGCGTTTTGAGGAGGGTTGGAATCGCTTGATGAAACCATTATCAAGAATCATGACCCCGAGAACATACCAAGCTCTACTAGCGTTAACGGCAAAGCTTGTCGCTCGAATTCTAGAGAAACGGCTGTGGAGCCTCTCAGGCCGCGTAAGCGCATTCGGCGCCGTCAAGATGGAGAGAGACTTTACTGGCATGATGGATGTTGTCTCCAAAGGCAATTACAGCGCTCGAGAGGTGTTTACCAGAGTGCAGCAGATATGCATGGCTGCGAATATGGATGACGATGAGTGGGCCGAAGTCATGGACGAGGAAGCCTGTGATATTGACTGGGTACTGACGCGAGACGAAATGAGGAAAGCTCGACAGATTGTAGTCGTATAGTTGGTTTCAAGCACTGCTGCGCTTAGCCCATTGCTCTGTTGCAAGCCACAAGTTCTTAATAGCCACAATTAGAGCCCATTGATACTTGGTCCAATAGAGGCTTATCGAAAACTATCATGCGTTAGAGGCTGGAGGATTGGGTATTTAGGCCGTTCTCGTGCTCACGCAACTGTAACTCTTGGCGAAAACCCAATTGTTTACGAGGAGATAAACGACAGATCCACAATCAGGCACAATTGGGCAGCTCCAAATGATAGAAAATAGTTACAGCACGATGATAAACTTATTCCAATAAGCTCCGATAACCATCACTGTGCCTATCTTTGTATCAAGATCCTTCAACCTTGCTGCCAAGCCAATTGCATTCCTCCGAAGATTCGGCCGAATGTGATCTGACGTTGGTGTTTGTCATCCCTGGCGGCCAAATAATGAGCCGACTGCATATGCTCTTTGCTGGGCGCCGGAAACATATTACAAAGCAGGATCGGTTGGTGGGGACTCGCTTGCAAGCCATCATACGATGCATGATCGACAAGGTGTAGATATAAGGAGGGGAAGAGTTCATGATTTCTGACAACTATTCAAAGACAAACATATTCGATTATGGCTCCGACGAAACTGTTTATGTATGTCTGCCTTCATCAACGATGACAACGTCGCACTAATACCATGGTAGCACCGGAGGCACTGGCTTCATCGGGGGAAGCGTCCTCGACGCCATCCAATCAACTTACCCAGAGCTGGAAATCACAGCTCTACTCCGCAAACCAAATGAGTCCTTCACGTCAAGATACCCCAACATCAAGATTATCAAGGGAACTTTTGAAGACTTTGACATCATCCAGGATGCATCCGAGCAAGCCGATGTTGTCCTTCATGCCGGCAACACCGACCACATGGCGAGCGTCAAGGCCATTCTCGCTGGCCTAGCCAAGAAGACAACCCAGAGTCTCTTGCTTCATCTCACGGGAACATCTTCCATCTCTGATACCATTCAGGGTAACAAGTCGTTCGCAGGAAAGCTGAACCCACGCGTCTGGAATGACATCGATGACGTTGACGAAATTTATAACCTGTCAATTGACATTATCCACCGCGATGTCGACAGGCTTATTGCGGATGCGAACAGTGACTTGGTCAAGACCATCACAATCAGCCCACCTGATATCTATGGCCAAAAGACTGGTTCTGGTACTACGTCAAGCTTCCTGGTTCCCGAGTATGTCAAGGCCATCATCCAGGTGAAGAAGGCCTTTTATCTCGGAGAAGGCCAGAACATCCGAGGTGTTGTGCATATTAGCGACGTTGTGAGCCTATTCGTGCTCATCCTTGGCAAATATCTCCAAGGCGGTGAGGGTCTAGACTACGGCAAAGAGGTAATACGATTTCAACGGTCAATAAGCACTCGCTGACATTCGACAGGGATTCTACTTTGCGTCATCAGACGGAGTAAAGTGGAAAGACGCGGCCGAGGCCATCGCCAAGATTGGTCACGAGCAAGGTTGGCTCCCCAAAGAGACGCAACCCGTTTCGCTCAGTCTGGAAGAGTTTGTGAGCTTGAGATTGAAAAACCCCATCTTTCAGGACTTTCTCATCTTGTACATGTGGGGTTCCAACAGCAGAGCGGAATCTGCTCGGGCAAAGAGGTTGGGTTGGGAACCAAAGGGACCCAGTTTCTGGGACTGTCTTGCGGAGGATTGTAGGGTTGCTGCCGAGGAATACGCCAAGGCTTCCTCGTGATGTGGATGACAGTTGTTCACATATATAGCGGGTGCATTAACCCGAAACTGATATAGCTATTGGTCAAGACCTCTGAGTTCCGCCCATTCCTTCTCCAACATACCAAAGCTAATAGTATCATACCACTTCCGATCATACCAATGCGACTCGCGGCTTCGGCCCTCCTCCACAAACCCCAGTTTCTTGTAGAGATGCAGGCCTCTCTCGTTATAGCTCACAGTGCGTATGTTGACACGATGATAACCTCCATGACGAAACGCCCAGTCGAGAGCCCAGTTTATGGCTTCTGAACCGTAGCCATGGCCTTGATGTGATGTCGCAAGCGCAATTCCAATGCTGGTAGAGCTGTGGCGTGCGTGGTCGGGATTGACTCCGCCCCAGCCGATAACAATGAAGCCGATGGGAGTTGGCGCTTCGTCCTTGTTGAGCAAGCAGATCATGACGCCTAGGGTGGCCTTGCTGAGCCCCTCAATCAGATCCTCGGCTCGTTTCTCGCCCCTAGGTCGGATCAAAGTTATGTCGGAGAGAGCCGTGTTGATTGCGTCGTTTACGATCTCGGTGAGGAGAAAGTCCTTGTCATCTTTGTTGTTCTCTGCCGCGCGGTAGACCAGCCGCTCAGATTGGAAGGCGTTTCTGAGGTTGTCTGTGATCATCTTGCCCTGAAGTTGTGTTGTTGAGGATGACAAGAAACGGATTGCTTGGAGACGATTGCTGACATCGGATAATCTGACCATCTCCACATCTGGTTGCAATAGGAAGGTCGTTAGCCGTATGAGACGATCGGCATGGAGACAACATGGATCTCGCTTATATGCATTCATAATCGTCGCAATTCATGATTGCCATTTTTGAGAGGATTTGCTACTGCGCTTGAAGAACCACCATGACCGCCTGGACCCCAGCACCACGCCGATAGTCCTCCAATTCTACGCTCAAAAGCTTCAACTTCCCTGCCTTGTCGAGGGATTTGACTTTATCTTCATATCCATTCATTTTCCAAAAGGTGTCCCGAACAGTCGAGATGATGAATCCACCAGGTTTGATGATTCTGGCGAATTCATCAAAAGCTTCGGGTCCGACATGGCCTTGGGTCATTGTGCCGACACAGACAACCACGTCGTAGGTTTGATCGGGGATATCAAGGCGCTGGGATAGGTTTGCCACAGATAGAGTTTCGTAGGCACCGGATCTCTCAGCAACTTGCAGCATCCCGGGGCTAAGATCGATGCCATCAATGTGTTTCGCGCCCTTCTTTGCAAGACTCGCCCCAACAAGACCTGTTCCACATCCGGCGTCGAGAATCTTGACGTGTTCGATAGGGCGAGAACCAAGATATCGCTTGACGTAGTCGCTAGCAATTTCGGGCGCAACGTAGTCCTCCGATTCTCCCAGCATGTCATTGTCGTAATTCTCGGCCCAGTCATCATATGCGGCCTGCGCCTCGGCATTGCCGGAGAGATTCAAAACGCGCTGAATACCCGACATTTAAGATCGGTTACAAGTTATTTTTAAAATAGGTTATGAGATAGGTAGGATGATGTGACTCTGGAGTTCAACAAAGCAGAGCAAAGGAAGCCTCCTCGTCTTTTGGGTTTCTACCAACTTGCTGGCGTCTCACGTGATACCCATCCGCTAGGTCATTCCCCGCCTTGTCCACTCTCCAAGATCAAACTTCTTATCATTTGCTCGTTCACCTGGCCCCAGCTTCTACAGCTGCATCAAACCATCCAATGCCCGAACAGGCGCCCCCCACGCGACCTCGTCCTCGTCGGCCAAAGCCAGTCCTCAGGGTCAAGACGGGCTGTTTAACTTGTCGAAACCGCAAGAAAAAGTGCGACGAAGCACGGCCAGTCTGTGCGGGATGTCTTCGCAATAAGATAGACTGTCGATGGCCAGATTCTTCCTATCATTCTCCGCCAAGTGCAGATCACGGCAATGGGAGGAAGGCACTTGACTTGAGACCCTCGGCTCCGAGCCCAGAGAGAGATAGCCGGCGACAGCTCGACATTTTGCCCAACTCGGCAGACTTGGATCTTGACATGGGAATTGGAGAGCAGTTAGAGGAGTCTATCACGGTTGCCATCGATCAATCAAGAAGCAGCTCGGAAACTTCGCCGACGGGGTCTTCTCCTGTCACCACCATAGAGGCACCCACCGTATCGGATCAACTCGACCAAGTGGTCAATTGCCTTCCGGATGCAACGCAAGAAGCAGTGTCAATTGACACCGATGAAGCAGCCAAGGATGTTGGAGATGCCATCAGCAACGCACTAATAAGGCTATCCTGGGGCCACTCTGAACAGGCCTTAAACCTCGACCAGGCCTCGCTACCTTTGGCTCCATCCATCATGCCAGGATTAGACGCGCAGTCATTCGAGCTCATGAGCCATTACCTAGCTCGCACAGCCATAAGCATGGGAAATGGTTCGACGACAGCAAACCCATTCATCGTGCAGCTCATACCACTCTCCTTTGCCAACCCCGTCGTCCTCGAGCTTATGCTATCCCAGAGCGCGTCTCATCGCGCTGTCCTAGGCGGAGAGGACTGGGCAGAGACAGTAGCCCAGACATACTACACCAAATCTATTCGTCGCTTTCGCAGCGCAGTCACGGATTACCTGGCTGGCACCGAGGCGAGTCCACTATGGGTAACAATTGGTGCACTCATTATGTGCTTCACTGAGGTATACTCATCTCATGCTCAGAAAGCAACAATCCCATATCAAATTTCAGTTGACTAATCTTGGACATAGACAGCGAAAGGAGACACCAATGGCGTCATCTTTGACCACCTTCAAGCAGTCGGTCCTCTCGTCAAGGACTTGGTCTTGAGACATCGGCATCTGCTTCCAGAAGGGTTACATGCCTTTGTCATAGAGTACTATGTCTATACAGCAATCATCAGCATGATATCCATGGATCCGTCAGCGAGCACGGGACATCTCCTCGCCCCCGAGCTGGAGTATGAAGCACACTTTCTAGTCGAGAGTGGCTACGTTGGACAGCTCTGCGGCTCTTGGCTATCGTTACTCCTCCTTATCCCTCGCATCTTTGACTTTGGTCGTCGGAGGGTTGCAGCGGATGTTCAACCATCGTTCCCGACAGCAGACGACTTTCTCAATTTTTCCAGCCTACACGCAGAGATCACTTCTTTTACACCATCACCACTGGTAGATTCTGAAGTCGCCACTTGCAGCTACATCTTCCAACAGGCAGTACATTTATACCTTCTCACAGCCTTTGGGGTTGGCGATTCAGGGCAGGTCACTCAACAGCTGAGCCTAGAAAACGCGTTAGTGGCCGCGTTTCTTTACCTGGAGCAGCTTCCAGCATCAGCGCGCATCAATACCAGCATGTGCTGGGCCTTGGCCGTCATTGGGTCTTGCACAGCCGATGATGAGCGACGAGATGTACTTCGACAGCGTCTAAATACGATGTTTGTCACTATCGGTCTGGGAAACATCTCCTCAACACTGTCACTGCTGGAACACATCTGGGCACGACCACGAGAGGAACAGAGTCCATGGATTATCTGCAGGATTATGTACGAGCACGACATGTGGATCTCATTTGCCTGAATGATGCCAGATTGGGACTTTCATCCTTGTTTAGCCTTTCTTCTCATATTACAACTGGTGTGTCTATCAAGTTCTAGTGTCCTTGGTTCTTTGGTGGCTGAGTAGCAGGACCCTCGGCTGTCACGTATGCCTTGGTCAATCCACCATCCACTACAAAGTCATGCGCGTTGACGAAGCTACTCTCATCGCTAGCAAGGAAAAGTGCTGCTTGGGCCTGCTCAATGGCCTCACCAAACCGGCCGGTGGGGAAGTGGACTTCACGGCGGAATCGCTTTGCCTTGTCGTCACCGAGGAAGTCTTGGAGCATGGGGGTGCTGTGAAATGTCAGTAAGCAGAGCGCCGCGTGACTCTCGGATGGCAGGGCAGCTTACTTGAGAGGCGCGGGGCAGAGGGAGTTGAAGCGGAAGCCTGCAAGGGAAGATGATTAGTCAATGACTTTTGCTTGCAGCTCTGGATGCAAGCGGATGAGGAGTGACCTACCTTCGCGCGCATGGACTATAGCCATCTCGCGGGTAAAGGCAAGAACGGCACCCTTGCTAGCAGTATATGCGACCTGCGGTGTAGCAGCGCCAACAATAGCGACCATACTAGCTGTGTTGATGATGCTGCCCTTGGTCTTCCCATGCTTCCGCAGCGATCGGACAGCGTGCTTGGAGCCATACCAAACGCCCTTGACATTGATATTAAAAGTCAAGTCCCAGATAGCATCGGGGCACTCCTCCGAGTCTCCATCCTTGGGGTGCATGATGCCGGCGTTATTGAACATGACATCAACGCCGCCCCAGGAATCAAGATGTGCCACAGCTGCCTCCACTTGGTCTTCCTTGGATACATCGACGATCTTTGTCTCGACTTTGCCGGTGTGGTTGGGGACGACGCTCTTGACCTTGGAGAGAGCTTTATCGAGGGCGGCGTCGTTGACGTCTGTCATGAGGACAGAAGCGCCCTGCTGGAGGAAAAGGATTGTGGACTCGAGACCGACGCCGCTGTTAATGACATGTAATTAGCACTCTAATCCCCCGTTCACAATTTGACGTCGATGCTTGGCTAGAGTTCAATCGATCAACGTACCCAGCTGCGCCGGTGATGATAGCGTTCTTTCCTTCAAGTCGTCCGACCATTGTGATATATAGAGGGGGTTTTAGGGCGATGGTGTATTGCTAGCGAGAAGAGACAATGCTGGAGATACGAAAGTAGTAGAGGATGAACGTGATGTTCTTTATACATTCAGCCGCCATCTTGTAATAAGCAGATGCAGAACTCACAGCAGCACCCTTGGGAACACTGGACGCGCCGGTATCGTATCGGACGCAGGCTCATGTCTCAAGCCCATTGATACCTTTACCTGGTTTAGTTTGCTATTGACCCCGCCATCGGGAGCGCGGTCTTGATCGTGATTGGGCAAAGGAGGGAACAATAGCAACAGGAAGCATGTCGGCTGCACAAGATGCATCTCAACACTCACCCACCGACGTAATAAGGGTCCGTGAGAGGAGGGGAAGAATAGCTGAGTGCGGGGTATTGAGATACTCTCGAGTAATCGGCAATGCAGTGGCGCGTATTGTTTGCTAATGACCACAAGATGGTATCACGGCACGGGCCAATCATGTCCCATTCCGCTGGCTCTATCGGCATGCTCCATTAGGAGTGGAAAGCAACTGCCTGCTCATTCATTTCTGCCATCCTTCAATAGCTCAAGCATGGTAGTAAGTTGGTCGATAAGCGGACGCCTTCAAGGCATTTTTAATGGTATAACTTGATCGTCTGCTGCGGCATCCACCACATTATCCAACCTCCCTGTCTTCAACACCGTATCGATACACGCCAATCAACAACAATGACGTCCACCATCAAGACCATCTCCCCCTCGACGAACAATGTCGTCTGTGAAAGGCCAGAGACCTCCCTTGACGAAGCACGCGAGATCTCCCGGCGATCCGAAGCAGCCTTCCAGGCCTTCCGTCAGCTCCCATTTGCCCAGCGTCGAGCCATCGTCGAAAGGGGCCTCGCCGGCATCCAAGAGCGCAAGTTCGAACTCGGTCGTGAACTCGCCGAGCACATGGGACGCCCGATTTCAGCGAGCCATAAGGAGATTGAGACGATGCAAAAGCGCGCCGATTATCTTCTTGATACGGCTGAGGAGGCGTTGGCCAGCTTGCCGGGACGACCTGAGAATGGGTTCCGGAGGGAGACCAAGAAGATTCCTGTCGGGCCCACGCTCATTGTCTTTGCCTGGAATGTGAGCAGTCCTTTTGAATGGAATTACCATATGTGCTAATATTTTGGCCATGATAGTTCCCTTATCTCATCATTGTCAACGCCCTCATCCCAGCGCTACTGGCCGGTAACTCAGTCATCCTGAAGCCCTCGCCTCAGACACCGCTCATTGGCGAGCACCTCGTCGAAATCTTCAACAAGGCCGGCCTGCCCAAGGATGTTCTCCAGGTCATACAGTCCGGCGATCCACAAGCCCTCAAGGAGCTAGTGAAGCTTCCCGAGCTCGGCCTCATCAGCTTCACCGGCTCTACGGTTGGTGGCCTGGCCATCCGTGAAGCTGTGAGCGGACGCACCATCCCCGTCAATCTAGAGCTAGGTGGCAATGATCCGGCCTATGTCCGACCGGATGCCGATCTGAAATACGTTGCGGCTCAATTGGTCGATGGTGCTGTCTTCAATTCTGGTCAGAGCTGCTGCGCTGTTGAGCGGATCTATGTGCACCAAGATGTGCACGATGCCTTTGTTCATGAGCTTCAGGAAGAGCTGAAGACGTACGTATACATTAGCAATATTGATGTTTCCACCGCGATATATGATGAGTCCGGTTAACCAACCTCTTTTATGCAGATACAAGCTCGGCGATCCCCTCGAGAAGGACACCATGGTCGGTCCCGTCATTTCTCGCGCTGCCGAGAAGACCATCAAGGCGCAAATCCAAGACGCCCTGGACAAGGGCGCTGTAGACGTGACTCCAAAGAACGACAGTTTCACCAGTGCACCCTCCTCGGGCAACTACGTCGCTCCCATACTCTTGACCAACGTCTCACATGATATGGAGGTGATGCGTGAGGAGACATTCGGTCCAGTCATCCCCGTCGCCAAAGTCAAGAACGACGAGGAAGCTGTCCGTCTAATGAACGATAGCGACTACGGCTTGACTGCTAGTGTCTGGACCAAAGATATTGCCCGCGGGGAGGAGCTGATTGAGCAACTCGAAGCTGGCACCGTCTTTGTTAATCGATGCGATTACCCAAACCCTGTGAGTATTTGCCGCATTTGCTCGACAAGAGTAGCTACGCAAAACGTTTCACTGACAAAAGGTGCTATAGGATCTTGCTTGGACAGGATGGAAGAAGTCGGGATTGGGCTGCACCTTGGGACCTCGTGGCTTTGACGCTTTCGTCAAGCTAAAGAGCTTCCACGTAAAGGAGGCCCAGGCCTAAGTAGAATAGCAAAGCCGCTTTAAAATGGATGATCTGGCTCTATATACTTACAAGAACCATGTCGTTTATTGAGATTGTAGTTTTTATACACAGGATGTGAGAGTACATATTGCTATTGCACCTAAGTTGAGGGTCGTTGCCACGTACGCTCGATTAAGCACTCATTGCTGAGCATCAAGTCGCCCTAACGATGCCGAACAGGGAATACTCGTGCCACTATCACACCATAAAACTCTGTGCGGGCTTAGACGAAGAGCATTTGACTTGAAATATATAGGTTCTGTATCTCACAGGCTGGAGTTGTGCCGAGATTGACGGCTGCGAGACCAGGAGCACGGCATCACGATGCAGCTGATATAGAGTTTTGAAGTGCTCATCACTAGATTTAACAGCAGTCCGTTTAGAATGGTTCAGTAAAAAAGGCCAAGAATAACCAGCATCTACACCATAGAATCATCTAAAGATGGTCGTCGTACACTTGACAAGGCCTTTCGTTCTTCAGAAATCGTTCAAAGAGGTTATCATACGTGCTGTATTTCTCGATCAAGTATTCGATCGGAACATTGCATTCCAAGGCCGAGGCTATGCAGAGTTCCAAGGCCATGGATTGCTTGGAGCAAGAAACGCAGCGGGTGCGGATCGCGGCAATGTCGAGTGGTGGATGCCCGTGAATGGCGGCTCGAGCTGTCGGCCTCGGCGACACGCGATGCGCGGTCGTACAAAAGCTCCCGATAGTCCAACCGCGGAGAAAATAGAACGGCCCGAGTCACATCTTTAGTATCGTATACAAAGGGCTCGAGTGATAGTGGGATGATGGAAGTGTTGCTATCTTGGCCCGCATTAGATAGCCTCAACCTTGGACACCCACCCGGCGGAAAGAGTTCTGATTGGCCCTCATCGAGTCGCTCAAGTGCCCCCTTTGAGAGCAGTCGATGAACTGACGTGACTGAGGCAACATGTTTAACCGCGATGAACCAAAGTCGTGTGGAATCTTATCGATTTGAGACAAGGTACTTTCTGGACCATGAACCAGGCCCATCGCCGGGGCTACGCCCATGGCGCGTCGGGGAACGAGGTCCGCGCCAACCTGTTCGTGAACTGTTTGCATAAGATGACGGTGCCTTATCTATCCAGATGCCGACATCAGATCATCAGCCACAACCCCCCTGCAGACTGTCTCTTGCATAGGCGATACAACTCCCAAGTTTATCTTTATCCTGTTACTATCATCTTGTTCCATCACGCCCGCAACGCCATCGCAATAATGGCAAGCTCCAGCAAGGCATCGCATGAAGCGCCGTCAAACCAGGCATTGGCCAACGGAGTCAACGGCATCAATGGCAAAGAATCTCCAGTCGATCGCATCACAAGATTATTGGCCAACGACACCAAAGTCAAGGTAGCAGGCATAGACTGCGATGGCCTACTGCGTGGCAAGATCATCCACAAGGATAAGTTCCTGTCGAGTCTCGGATCCGGGTTTGGCATGAGCTCTGCTATCTTTGGCTGGGACATGCACGATGTCTTGTACACTGAAGAAACAAGCTTGACGGGCGCCGAGAGCGGCTACCAAGACTTTACCGCAATGATTGACCTAGACTCGTTTCGAAGACTGCCCTTTGAGGATAACATTGCCTTCTTCCTTCTTCACTTCTACATCCAGGAAAAGCCTGTCTTTGCAGATGGTCGTGGCCTGATCAAGTCATTGACGAATGATCTGGCCGCCAAAGGCTACGAAGCACTGGCCGGAGGTATGCTAACAATCCCACGGTCTAGATGTAAGACGTGTACAGACGCTAACCACAAGTCTGACCAGTGGAACTCGAGTTTATGAACTTTCAGACCCCTTCCGAAGATGGCTATAGCGATCCCAATGGCCGACCGAACCTCGCAGCATTCCTTGCCTCAAACGCACCCAAGGCTCTTCGTCCTGTAACAGCAGGAGCCTTTGGATACAGCGCGACGAGGCCCATCATGGCCAAAGAATACTTCCACGCTATCTTTGACAAGAGCTTGGAGATCGGCTGCCCTATTGAGGGATGGCATACAGAGAGCGGGCCATGCGTTTATGAAGCGGTACGGAAGAATATTTGCAGTTGAAGTGTACGAGAGGCCATCTTACTAACTACATCTGGACTATAGGCCCTCGCTGTTTCTCCCGTCTCGCGTATGGCCGACAATGTCGCACTCTTCAAGTTTGTCTTGCCCGATGAACCTTCTCGACGTTCTCGACTGACAGAATTTGGATAGGCTCGTTTGCAAATCGATCGGCGTCGAACATAATATTACTCCATGCTTCATGGCCAAGCCTATCCAGGGTCTCCCTGGCAACTCTGGCCATATTCACGTATCCCTCACGAGCGAGGGTCAGAATGCATTCGTTCGAGAGACACCTGATGCCGATGCGCCATGGTCCGACATGGCATATCTCTCTGATACCGGGCGCCATTTTCTCGCAGGAATCATCGAGGCGATGCCCGATATCATGCCATTACTTGCCCCAAACGTCAACTCGTTTAAGCGTCTGATCGAGAATTATTGGGCACCCGTCTCTGTTAGCTGGGGCTATGAGGATCGTCTCGCATCTATTCGACTGGTTGCACCTCCAAGCTGCAAGCCCTCAGCGACGCGCTTCGAGATCCGTGTGCCAGGCGCGGATATCCATCCACATTACGCTCTCAATGCCATCTTTCGCGCGGGACTACGCGGCATTGAGAACAGGAGTCAAGTCACCATCCCGCCTGAGTCGGCACGGCCCAAGGACAGTCCCGCTGAGCGGTTACCCAATAGCCTGGAGGCTGCCGTCGAGCGTTTTAGTTCCAAGGGCTCGGTAGCTCGCCAGATCTTTGGCGATGAGTTCGTTGACTTCTTTGCCGTCACGCGAAGACATGAGTTGAGGCAGTGGAGGGAAGCCGTGACTGATTGGTAAGTGATACCCTAATGGCATCAGCCGGAACATACTAACCGAGATTGCTTTTAGGGAATTTTCGCGCTATATTGAGACTATCTAGATAAGGTGGTGGGACAAGATGGTGGCATGCTACGTGGAAAGGGGGCGGCTTGAGTCGTTAGTGTATCAGCCATATAAAGAATGAAGACCTAGCAGTGCATTACCCCTTCTGACTTTAACTGCCTTATGAGCTTGCAAGAGGTCAATTATAATTGCCTGCAACGCAGTCTTGGTCCAAAAAAGCAAGTCCTGCCATCCTCATTTCTGAAAGATTGTTAAGTAGGGGCCAGGATGTTGAATTGCGAAGTTACAAGCGTCTCTAAGTGAAGCCAAAGAAGAAGCAGTCAAACGACCTTATGGCTCAGTTAACCATCAAGGGCCGAGTTTCAGCTAAAATAAAGAATACAGTGGGAGAAGTCAGACTATTTCGAGTTTTTGGTCAGCCTGCCCGCTGCTGTTTTGCTGCAATTGTTCGCACTTGGTATGGCGCGCACCATCCAGACACATTTCTGAAACACATTCACAGACATTTTGAATGTGAAGCATCTTGTCAAGTTATCAGTGTGGAGATTCAGCTATAGGTACAGTATCTAAACTTCCAGAGGTTGGCAGTTGATCAATGATTATTAACAAGGGGGTGGTAATCAACGCGAGCCCTAGCATACCACCACGCCATAAGAACAGCAAAGGTGATGGCGTAAACGACGCAGACATAATTCATATTATCGCCTTGGACCGGGTACTGGGGTGGGAAAGCATACATCTGCAGATAATGTTAGCGTCCGACAACCAAATCGAGGACAAGATGGTCAACTTACAACGGTGCAGAACACCAACCATAGCAGGAGGACAAAGTTACAGACCATACCAAACTTGCCCATCCAGAAAGGCCCATGGTTCAAATTGGAACGCCCTTTAACGAGGAGACAAACCACCGGAATGCTGTAGGATGCGTACAGAAGCACGACGCATGCAGTAACCATGCTATTGAAGGCAGTATAAGATGCCAGGTACAAGCAACCGAGGATGCTGACAATAGTGCAGCTTGCTACGTGCGCCCAGATTGGCGTACGGAGGCGTGGCTGCACCTGACTCAGATACTTGGAGCAAGGCAGGCCGTTGTCTCGAGCAAAAGACCAACAGAGGCGGGCCTGCCAGGTGTGTGAAGCGATGAGGCATCCACAGCCGGTGAGCACGATCAGCGAGCACAGTACGATGGCTCCAGCTTTGTTACTTAATGCCTGGTCGAAAAGCTCAAGGATGGGCACTCCAGTCGGCGTACTGCTAACAGCGTCAAAGTCCTTGATGCTAAACATCATGGCGATGCCAAAGAGCCAAGCCGTCACGAAACCGACTCCCACGGTGCCAAGAATAGCAATTGGGACGGTCCGCTCCGGATTGAGAACCTCTTCAGCCATGTGTGTGGCACAGTCGAGACCGTTGAATGCCCAATTGCAGTTGATCAGACCGACGATATACGCAATGCCGTCACTTGGCCACCCAGTGTTGTTGACGAACTGGGAAAAGACAAATTTGGCCGATTGATGTGTTTCGGCCTTACAGGGAACCGTCAGAATGATGACGAGGAATGAAATGATCGAAGTCCATAAGGTGAAAAACGTAACGCCTGGTAGCGCTGTGCTGGAGATGTTGAACAGGGCACAGACAATGTTGACAATCTGGTACGCGACAAAGTTCATCCACGGTTTGATAACTCTGTAATGTATTAGAGCCAACTCCATTCCGATACAATCTCGCCAAGTCCGGGGTGTACTCACAAAGTTGGGTGCGCCATCTGGATGCAGCCCATGATCAAGCCTCCAACACCCAAGGCAATACTAGCACACGTAAAGAGAGAGCCAGCCCAGGCAATCCACCCAGTCAGGTAAGACAGGAACCGGCTGTAGCGTCTGCTAGCAAGCTGACTTGTCCAAAAGTATTGTCCCCCAGCATCCGGCATAGCCGAAGCCAACTCGGAAAGCGACACGGCGATGGCGGCGCACACGATGGTGATGAGGATGATGCCGTAAACGAGCTGGACGGGTCCGCCAGAGTTGATGCCTGTGACGAGGGCCGTGGAGATGCCGAACCATGAGTTGGCGAGAGAGAAGCTGATACCGAGGACGGAGAAGACGGAAAAGTTCTTGCGCAGCACTTGCGTATGGCCAACTGGAGTGCATACCATTCACGTCAGCACGGGTCTTCCTCAACGCGGCTTTTGCTCTTGCCAAAGGGCAATTCCTACCTGTCACCGACTTACTACGGCCGAGACCTGCATCTTCCTCGAGAGGATAGTCTTTTTTCGAAGAGGTGTCTATAGTATCCGATGCCATGGTGAATGATTTGCCGGGTCAAAGGGTGTCTTCGAAGTGAATGAGGCAGGAGTAGGTAGGTAAACTGGTTCGGGTGGTTTGGGGAGGCGGCGCATCGCAGCCCAGCATCTAGATATATACGCAAGAGGACACCGTCGTTCCAGGTGTCGCAAACCAAGGCACTCGTCGCTGACCCGGCTCTCCCGTGCTCGCCACCGTGCTGAGATAGCACTTGCCGTGGTGACGGCCCCCCATTCCGTGCTCATCAACATTATCTGAGATATCTGATTGCGGTATCGTGCCAGCCATGCGAGCAGAGAGATAAGCCATTGCCCATGGGGAAGCGGAGCTAGGCCTGGGCTCGCACAAATCTGGGGATCGCGCAAACGAGTTCCATTGGCCGCGGATCATGAACTTAATGAACCGAGGCCATCAGTCACCTCGACAGAAATAGGGGGAGGGAAATGGTGGTTGTGGCCAGCCAATGGGATACAGTTCCGCGGTGGATCCGCCATCGTCAAGGGGCTGAGCTAGACATGGAGAGTCATGAAAACATCCATGATAACTAGGTAGGTAATCATGACAGAGCGAGTTCATATCTTAGACTCAGAAGTTAGATACCGTGGGCCAACCGACGCATGCGCCTGAAGCTGTTGACCCCCCTTTAGCCTACTGAGAGCTTGACATTGTCTCAGAGTTGTGGTTCATTTACGTTCATGGCTTGAGTGGATCAAGACAAGCACGTGACAGGGCACAGAGCTGGTAGATGACCCCAATATTTTCCCATCCAGCTTTCTGGGCCAACTTAGGGGCATTTATGTCGTTGTGTATAGAATTTCTCCTAAAAGCGACGGCTAGGTAAACCATTTAACTGGAGTTTTAGGCCGATTTGCCTGGGGTAATTCTTGAGGGCTTTCGTCGCTGATTAAATGTTAGTGATTAAGTGCGATCTTAAGAATGCAGCCTACCCTATAGCTCATGTTTGAAAATTTGGGGGAGCCACTTGTGGCTGATGACGAGACAAGAGGCGAGAAGACAAGATCTTGGTAGCCGAGATCGTTTGGTACTTAAAGTCCTTTGTCCGTTGGCTGCCTGATTCTTGTATTTTTCAGTGTTGATTTTGTCGATGCTCATGACACATTTCATTAGGAGCCCAAGTAAAGACAATGGCAAGCTAAGACACACAACACGTCGGAATGAGTTCCCGCTTCCTCGAATCATTCAATCTTTGATCATATCACTCGCCCGTTAGAAACATATATGAATTGCTCTCTAAATATTTAATAAGTTCGGATACAGGTTGTCACGGTCGAAAACTACGAGGTAGCTACCGAGAGCCGCAGCGCGCATTCTGGCTACAATGGGGTTCTCGTAAATTTAGTATACCACATGGCGGGGTTTGTTAAAACTGTCATGAACTACTGGATATCTTGGAGAATGTCCTCGACAACCCGTCGATGCATTTTTGGGTTCTATGGAAACACGGGGAAGGAGTCACGTCGAGGCTGAGCCTCTCACGTGTGCATCCCAGGCCCCTCCCGATATGCAGATTGCCAACGTCTCGTGGCTCAACCAATAGCCTCTGATGATTTAAACTCTCAACTTGCATCTACATCTCAACTCAATTTTAGGAAGACCACTGTGGAATCCCGAAGAGCTGTTGTTGTTTACATCTAGACTAGATACCGCCTGGCACAATAACAACAGAGAGAGTTCACAATGAGAGAGCTGGGCAATAAAAAGACCTGGAGATCATTCTTTCTCTCTTCAATACTCTTCTCTCCAACACCAACACTTGAAATTATCTTAGTCGCTTCACTCAACTAATTCTTTGAAAGACACTACAACACTCTATTAACACAATCACTACATCCTTCTACTACAACCTCCTTACACAATACGCAATGGACTCATCCAACATTCAGAAGTAAACCAATTCGACCAAGATACATTCCTGCATCCTAGCTAACATCTGACAGAATCATGGCCTCGCCAAATGTCAAGTTCCTCATCGGACCCAACAAGAACGAGTTCAATATCCACAGCGAAATCGTGGCGGTCCAGTCTTCCTCTCTTGCAAACATCATCAGAGAGCAAAACGGTCGATTCGAAGGTAGACCAATCATTTGGAAGCATGTCGACGTCGACACTTTCATTCGCTTCTGCGCATTTGCTCTCGCCGGGGACTACAATGGTGTCGAGCCCCGTCTCCGACAAATCCCCACCATGGTTTCCCAGCCTCGTCTTCTGCGCAAGACCATCAAGCTTCGCCTGACAAACCACGGGAGAACTCCGATGAGCGTTTACAATATCTTTTGCTGGCAGAGATTCAAGGAGCGATATTCCGGACATGAGTTCAGTCCGGATGACGCTGTCGACAGTCGAACTCACACGTGCGTAGAGGTCTTTCTCTGCCACGCCCGCATGTTCATTTTCGCGGACCAATACAAAATCGCCAAGCTGCGAGACGTCGCCATTCGCAAACTTTGGATCGCAATGGTCAATATTACCTTTACAGGTAATGCGATCCCCGACGTCACCCAGCTCGTAAAGTACGTTTACGACCACACCACTTGCGAGAATCCTGCAGGCAAGGAGATCCGAGATCTGGTTAGACGTTACTGCATCATCAGGCTGGAGAGAATGTGGCATCATGCTGAGTTTCGGGATTTTGCCTGCAATTCAGAGTTGCTTAACGCGATCAACTGAGTTCCTCTGGTAACTTGCCTATTCTTTGGTCTTGGTTTGGATACCTCTTCTGGATTCATGTTCTTTTTAGCACAGAGGGAGTTTTGGCATACGATAGAAGCCTTTAATAAATCGTTGTTTACTCCTACAATTGACGTACTGTCGTCTCCGTCCTTCTTCGCTCTCGAATCATCCTCAACTCCCAAGCACGACGTTCTCAGTTCGTCTTCCTGGCGACGTCCATGGTCTTTCTTAATGTCTGCCTAACTGCTCAACCATTGGTTTCCGCGGCAACAGAAACGACTGCGTAACACCTATCGGCGCTTTGTAACATTCAGTTCTCTTTGTTGTTACTGTTGAGAACTCAATTTCAGTATTCACTTTTTTACCCAGCATTCGCTTGACAGAAGTCCAGTCTGCTCCAAACAGAACACCATACACCACCATAAATCATGCTACCCCAAGGCCCCGCAGGAGGAAGCTCACTGTTTTGTCGATCAACCTGCTGCTGGTGCTGGCATGATCCTTACACCCAACACTATGGTGCTCATGACAGCGGTCAACTTCCTCAGCCCGGATGGAAAGTGCTTCACATTTGACGCCCGAGCGAACGGTTATGGAGAAGGCGAAGGCATCGGCGTCGTGGTTCAAAAACGACTTTAGCATGCTTTGGGGAATAAAGACCTCATTAGAGTGCGACGTCACTAGAAATTGCCAAGTGTAAGGTTATTGGATCCCTGGGAGTCTTGGCTGGGAATTACAAGTCCAAAAAACGGCATTTCCTCCATACACTATGAAACCATCTTCCTTCTCCATACCATACAGAAAATGAGACAAGGGAAAGATTAGATAAACCATCATTGAACCCTAATCCCTCTTGCCAGGCCTTGATAATCGAGATGTCGTCCTTCAAGAATGGCAACCCCAACCCTTTCATATAAACCGCTACCGGAACCATCGGCATTGGAGATACGGTTGACCAAAATGACCCAATGTCTCTGACAGTCTCCCGTAGAGCTTTGACTGCCGCTACCCAACACAACACACTGCATAGGCTGTGTCAAGTCTCGGCCTGGCTCGTCCAGGAACATGGACTCCTTGGGAGGGTCGTTGATGATTCTCCGAACTGGTGCCTCCAGGGCAAGACTCTCATCTCCATCGTGGCTTGACTCACTTGGCGCTCGAGAAAAGGGAGACTGAATGTTGCTGAACCACGAAACCTTTCCACCAGGAGCAGACACATAGTCGATAGCCCCATCGTAGGCCATCCACGACCAAGAAGGAACAGTCTCACCTCGTCTAGGTGCAATGCGTCTCAAGGTCTCTCCTTCACGCTTCCAGAGCAAGGACCGGTGTAGATAGCGGTCTATCAATCCATATCCGCCGGTGCTCTTGAAAGTACTGAGAAGTCTATTCTCGAGCCCCCTGATGGCGACTGGTCGATCCGAGGCAAACGAGAGGGCCAACTTGGAGTACCGCACGTAAAGGTCTTGGAAAAACTCGATCTTTAACCCCTTGACGTATTGCTCTGCTGAGTGGGGAAAGTTGGCGTCACCAAGGAATGAAGCCTTGCGACTGTGGTCTCGGATTAGCATCACGAATGGGAGTGTTCTTTATTGGGGTTGTGCATACTTGTTCATCTTGGTCATTGTCTCGCAGCGAACGCCACCACCGCATTCCCAATACGACTGATTCTCCACAAAGTAGATGGTCCGTCGTGACAACGCTCGCTCCTGCATGACCCAGCCTCTTTGGTTCAGTTCGCTCTGGTCAACATGGGTGCCAAAGTCGTCGATGTTCTCGCACGCGTAGTAGGTAGCATCGCCGAAAGTCATGGGGATGCACCGTCTCTCAGGCCGCACCTTGAGAAACCCGTCGTTTGTGCCCGAAGCACAGCTTGCAGCAAGGGTACAATATGCTGAGCTGAAGACCTGCTCCATGAGTTTGGACTCGATGTGCCAGTCTTCTGCGTCATCTTGGACAATGCAGACTGAGTCGATCCAGACGTACTCTAGTCCGAGCCCCTGGGTAACAGAAACGGCATCACGAAAGGTTTGCGGGAGACTGGATGCCTTGAAGCCATCCTTCAGCTCCTGGAAGTTGGTTGTTGTGGCGCAAAATCGTTCGTAGTGGTCAGGTGAGCCCCAGCGATGGGACAAGGCCACATACTTGACGGGTTGGATCAATCCGTCATCTCTTTCTACCACTCGAACAAGATCGGAGTCCAAGTTGCTGATGTGAATAAGTCGTGAGGGTATGAAATCAAGTCGCTTGGGCATGCAGTGATGGGTACTGTCGCAACCGCGAATCCACTCCCTCAAAACTTTGAAGTGCGCCTCACTGCCAGCACCCGGAAGTATCGAGAACCCAGTTTGGACATTCTGTAAAGACTTGACACCGGATACTAACTTGTGTTAGCCTTCAACAAGTACATCTAGCAGGGACCGATCAGCCGAGGTGGCTACGAACCCGGTGCTGTACAGAGATTGACAACAGGCTGCCCTTTACCGTCATCGACTGTAAGGTACGATCCCAAGCGAGCAAAATGAACTGTATCTGTGGGATGATACGACCGATCTCGAATGCAGTAAGATAGAAGACAGCAAAGCTCACAGTTATCCTCCTGAGCGTTGGTATCAAGACCCGCCCGAGAATCCGTGAAGTGGCACTGGATGGACCAAAGAGGAAGACCGCGACACCGCCTACAGAGCTGCGGCTCTGGTGCTGGCTGAATGTGAGTAGCTCGCTTGATATCATTGAAGAAGGCAGCCGCAAAGGCGTCGTCGGGTGTGTATATCCATTTGTCGGTCAGCTACGGCGAGTTAGCCATATCGGATAGATAACAGGACTTGTTAGGCCACACACCGGCTAAACGAAAAGGCGCTTAGTACCGTGACTTGCAATTAAGCGAAACACGAAGACTTAAGCTGATACGTACGGTCTCGAAGCGGTTAGCAAGGTTCACATAGTAGAGTGACTGTGATGGTGATGACGACAATAGTTAGGCCATATGGAGGGACTCACGAACTAGAGAAAGTGAACATTAGCATAAAGACGTCTGATAGAAAGACAGAAGCTGTAAATTAACATACGGTCTGATTGGTTGAGCCGTGCGTTAGCCTGTCGTGCTGTTGTCGTCCTATTGATGCTGCCGTTGCTCACATACTGAATAAGGAGTTAGTCCCAGTCCAGTCAACCTCAAGGAATGCGTGAGGGGGGTCAACTCACTTCCTTTTGTCCAAAAGCTTTGGTCAGCTATCAGCAAACTTATGAAGTATATTGTTGCGCAACACGCACATTCTATTGAAGTTCTAAGCGTCTCATCTTGCTATCATGGGAACGGAGCTCTCCTACCCGAGTGCTGGAAGTAGCAGGGGCAAGGTGACCGCCCTTTGTGATTGGAATGGCATGAGAGGGTCCTAAGGGAGCCGAAGAGTTGCTTGATGGCTTGTCTCCTACGGCTTTGATCTTATCAGCTTCCAGTTGTGTCAGAATGGTCTCCAACTCCCGTCTCATCTCAGGCGCGTAAATTCGAGCCTGAGATTGTCTTGTAGAGGTGATAGAAGAGGGCGGGCCGGGAGCCTCCTGGACGTTGACAACTAAGAGCTTTTCGGTAATCAGACGCAAAAGTAGCTCAATGGCAGTCCCCCTAGGACATCTCCAGTCCCTGCGGATGTATGACAGCCAGCCTTGGACTCTGAGATCGATCTCAGCTGACGTGATTTGACCACTGTCGTCTCTGATTGCCCTGTAAAAGGTTGAGTTGGCAGCATTGGTGCATTTTACCAGCTCGTCTCCGCCGTAGAGGATCCAGATCACAAACTCGAGGAGAATGCAACCCATGCTCCAAATGTCAAAACGCCTCGACAGTGGTGCCTTTGGGGCGATGTCCATCTCCGGACCCGCATACCGCTTAGTCGACACCTTGGTGTTTGTGCTTTCCCGAAGCTGCGTCCGTACTATGTGATCCTTGGCTAATCCGACGTCAGTAATCACCATTCTTACCGCAGGAGCTGGACCGCTATCCTTGCCGTCTCCCTGTCGAAAGCACAGAATGTTTTCGGGCTTCAGATCTCCGTGGCGGCAGTTCTTCGACTCGGACTGGTTGTGTAACTTCTCAATGGCATCGGCCAGTCCTGAGAGTTGCCTGAAAATCCAGACGAGGTAGGGCTTCTCCAGAGCTCGTGGGCTTTTGCCCTTGGCCCAAAACTCCCACAAATTCCCATACTCTGCCCAAGGAAACATGAAGTGATGTTTGTCCTCGCGGCGATAGTAGGCAATTGCTTTGATCACGTGGTCGGTTTGAAGGTTTCTCATCGTCTCAAGAACCTTGGCTTCTTGGTCGGCTGGATCCGAGTCCGAGCTCAGAAGCGTTTTGACGGCAACACGTGGGTTTCCAAACTCATCCATTGCGGGATTCTAATTGCTGATCAGCCAAACGTTTATCTCATGACGGAGGTTTCAGATACGCACCTGATCGGCCCAAAGCTCAACGTGGTCAACGTGAATGCTCTTTTCCTCGACGGTGCTGTAGTTCGAAGCACCGAGGGTTGCTTGTCTTCCAGTTGTTGTGAAGGGCAGGTGATGGCGATCATCAAAGACGTATCTGAACTTGTCCTTGGTGAATGTCGGCGATGTAAACCACCACTGCTTGTCACAGAAATCCGAGATGCTGCCACTGTCACCCCCGAGCATCGTGTGAACAGATTCCCTTTCGACGGGGAGCTTCTCCTGTCCAAACTCCTCGAGTTGGAATCTGGTGATAAGCTCTGGTTGTCGCATGGTGACGAGGATGGCAAATATCTTGCGTGCCTTTTTCAGAATGAAGTGGACTAGGTCTGGCGCTGGTTCCGTTCTGCATTTCCTCAAAGTCGCCTCGACCTCATTCATTTTCCAGAGCTCATCCCAGCTGGACTCGGGGAGAAATCGTCGAAGGTGGTCATTTTCGTGCTTCATGTTTCGCCATATCTTGTTACTGAGAGAAGATGCCAAGGCATCATCTTCAGAAGCCATCTTCAGGTGGTACTTGAATGATTTGATGCGTGATGAAACGGAGGAAACAGAGGAAACTTTGCTCACAGCAGTGGTAGCAGATGAAAAGGATGCAGTCGGCGAAGGGGGGGAAATGTATTCTTCACAATGCTGACTTCCTTCTTTACCAAAGGCTGGGCTTGCTGCACTTGCACAGCACTCAAGTGTCGTGGAGGCCTCCCTTTTCTCTCCCGATTCAACACAGCACCAGTAGCAGAGCCTCAGTGCCAACATGGGAGCCATGGTCGAACGGGAGGCGGCGAATGTGGCATTGACACCTCATCTCGCAGGGAGGCAATACACGTTCTTTAAAACACCCAATCCGAACCCTCAGTAGGTTTGCCGACCTGCAGTCTTTTCAAGATGACTGCATGTGCAAGAAAAGCGATAAAGATCGGCATTTAGCAATCCCCGAAAGGACAAAGATGAGGATGTACCTGTCATTGGACAAATTATATAAAATCTCATAAAGTAACTCAGACTTATCCCAAGAAGCGTACTGATATGCATTTTATCCCCCTTTCTTTTTTGAAATTCTTTTCATTAACCATACGCCATCGATTATCATTGGGAACACAGGCTGCAGTTTCTGTCATGGTGTCTCGTTTTCTCATGCATGATCGCCGGCATGGCCGGTCAAGGCATGAGGTGTGTCGGCTGTCCATTTTGGGATGTGTTCTTGGCACTTGCTAGTAAACAGGGCGAGAGCTGCCACCTAGAACGTCGTCATGGATGGTGTGCTTGGGTTGGAATATGCTCATCTCCTGCGAGTCTTTGGGTTGAATCACATCGGAGTGTGTGATTACGTCCAATGACGTGGGCAGGACAACAAATTGAGCCGTTACAACCAACATCACCACCCTCAACGCTTTGTGGCTTGCATATTGTTACTCTCGTGACAGAGATGGTCTGATTCCTCCCACCCACACCTTGATAAGAAGCGGCTCAGCTCTAGAGTGCAGCCTCAACGTCTCGCTTAGAGATTCCTCTTTGCTCTTCCATTCTTTCGGCCTAGAAGGTTCTCAGGTTGCCTTTCCTGCTTCCCATATGCGGCGGCTTGGCGGATGACATAGCCCGCAACATACCCAATCAGTCTTAGCATGTTAGATTGTAGTACACGAATGGAAGCCAAACCAGCCGCGCTTGTTTGAGACATATCGCGCAGGTCTCAATAGCTTTACCTAGCCAGCAGCCCGGTTCCTGGAATTTAGTCTACTGTAGGTACGCGTAAGTGCTCGCAGCGCGCCCCACGAGTTCGGCATATTTGTATCCACTAGCAATATGACGAGATGCCTGTCAGGAACGACAAGATTCAGATCAGGGGATCATTGAGCCTTAGTACTTGATCTGAGTGGATTCGACACGTCTACTGGGCATCGTCGTCGAGATGCTGACATGGAAAAGGCGACCCAATTCCGATCCATTTGGAGGCATTGAGGCCCCCCAAGCCCCCCCCCCCAAGGCCGCATCTGGGGAGGCCTGGTTCGCGCATTTCTGGGATTATGCCTCGCCGACCAACGCTTGGCGCAGCTGCCTGTCATCACACCACCATCTTGGCTTGAAATAAGGCTGTCTGCCCGTCATTTGAGGCCTCCATGGTACAGTATGTGGGTACCGTGAATGGAACTGTGCTTGCATGTCAATCTTCCACTTGTCGTTGTACCCCCGATAACTTCAATAATTAACATCTCGCATGCAGCTCGGTAAAGTCTGGCCTCATCACAATTCGAAACCAATCCTGTCTATTGTTGTTGATTTTTTGAGTCGAGCACTTTTCTCCTCACAGCCGTACGATTATCTTCGCCCAATCGGATCCCGAAAATGCCATCCTCGGCAGGGCAAACCTCCCAAACCTTGTACCAGGGGCTCTTGGACAAGACCAAGGAGTGCAAAATTACAGAAAACAAATACATCCCCGAAAAAGAGCTCTTCGAGATCGTGACGCTGCCTAGAGTCAAGTCCGACCTTCGCTCGACCTGGAGCTGGCTGCGCTTGTCACTCTTTAAACGGGGCTTTGAGACCAAACTCCTTCAGGCCAAGAAAGTGATTGCTATTCTCGCCATCCTTGGTCAGCTCAATGAGAGATCTCTCAACGCCCTGATCGCGAACTCCTTGACAGACGATGACCTCCCCTTCACCAAGGATCCCACTTTGCAAACCCGTCACGGAAGGGCCGTCACTTTCCCTGGCTGGGACGAGGCTGTAATAGATTCATTCCAGGAAAAGCAATGGATGATTGTCGCGCCAATGCTGGACCTCAAAGACGGCTCTCCCATTCAAGCGAAGCTGCACCAGCGATGCGCCCTGCAGTTGTTGATGCCCAACTGCGAAAACAAGGGAAACACACAATTCAGCCGCGTCTTTTTTGCTGAGATTCCTTCTCGAGTAAGTACTCATTTTCTCAAATCACTCGACGCTCGCTAACATCAACATCAAGAAGGAGGGGGTAGAGCCACGTCGTGTCGCTGTGAAGCATTTTCCATTCCTCACCAAAACTTACACCTATGAACATGAGAAGGCAAATCTTGACAAGATCAAAAATGTCAACAATGTTCATTTGATAAAGAATCTAGCTTCTTGTGATGGGATTCACTGCCTCATTTTTCCATGGGCTGAGCACGGAGACTTGAAGCAATACTGGGAAGATGAGTCTGACTCTGACCGATCACTACCCGTTTTCATCTGGTCCATTGAGCAGTTGGCCGGGCTTGCGTCTGCTTTGAGGGACCTTCATGGAGTCAACTGCCGTCACGGAGATCTGAAACCATCCAATATCTTCTACTTCAAAGATGACGGTGGCATCCTCAAGATTGCCGACCTGGGCGTATCCAAGGTACACAGCATCGCGACGGATCAACGCAGAGGCGAGACTGTTACGACTGCATCGACTAGAGCCTATGAAGGCCCAGAAGCTTACGCGCCGACCAACATTCCAAGGTCGCGCAAGTACGACTGCTGGTCAATGGCATGTGTCATCCTGGAGTTCGTCGTCTGGCTACTATACGACCATCGCGCACTTGAGGGGTTCCACTCATCACGGGACACACAGTGGAACAGCTTCTACCGCCCCAAGATTCCCCATCCCACTTCCGAAGACCAGAGCACAGAGTGGTGGGAGAATATGGAAAGACATCCCAAGGTCGACGAGGTCATCCAGCTGCTTCGCAAGGATGAACGAGTCATGGGCACCGCATTGGAAGAACTCGTGGATCTCGTTGATTCAAAGATACTTTTGATCAATCCAGAGAATCGACTCGAGGCTGCCAAAATTGCCAAAGAGCTTCACGACCTTGTTGAACGGTGCAAGATGGGACAGACACCATGGGTGAACAACGCTGATGCTCCATCGGAAGTTCCAGCAATTTTCAGGCAAGAAGCGCCAAAGACTCAAAGCGCCACTTATGAGTAGAGGAGGAAAGGGGATGAGAACAACATCAATGGTTTATTTTCATTCATTTTCTTCTTCATTCTTCTTACTAGGGAATATGCTACCGGCAGCCCGTTATCAGGGGCCAGCGAATCTGATTTTAATCTCTAAGGTTAACATCTAGCATCCAACAGTAGCTTTTGAGGGCTTGCGACGGCGCGAGGTCTGACTTCTCCTCTAAATATATTAAATAAACTATAATAAAAATACTCAAAGATTTCCTAATTATTATATTATTTTATAATATTATTTATAAATTTAATACTTATATTTATAAAGAGTTAGGTAATTCTCTTAATATTCTAGTATCCTTTTTATCTCTTTGTTCGAGTGTCTGGGTCGATATTAAAGAGCGAAGCTTCATCACTTGGGTCTGTAACGTAACCCTACACACTCTCTTCAACGTCAAGGAACATCCTGTCATAGGATATCTACCCTTGATTGTCAAATAGGGAATGTTACTAACTCTTCGTTTCAGAAAACTTGATATCCTCCATCCTCCATCCTCCATCCTCCCTCACTGCAAACGGTACTTGAAAAGGCACCTTGACTCCCTGGCCATTACGGGAGATATGATAGACAAAGCTGGGGTTTATACCCTGACAGATCTATCTTCCTATGTGATTTCCAATTTGGTGTTGAAGACATATCCCAAGGGAGACGCTGAGAGACATCAGGCAAAGGACCAAGGGCCTCAATTGGGAAAAGCCAGAATCCGATTGCTGGCTGAAGGGGCAGCTCAAGCCCCTGAAACGATTGCTCGATAGCATCCCCGTTCTCTTTCTCACGTATCCCGCGAAAGGTTTCGCTCCTTATCCCGTCTTGTTCTCGAACCCAACTGAGAGCGCTATCTCGGTCTGTTATTTCTGGGTTGAATCCTCCCTGTCCAGTGAACTCCTCTCCCCTCCATCCTCCCCATCCCCGGTCGACGTCAAAACTGCCCTTCTTGGCAGAAGGGTAATATTTCCGTCCCCCAAAGGCTACCAGGAAGCTGTATTCAACCTCATGGTCATGCTGTACAACATGCGAATTCAACATTCTGAACCAGCGATAAATCAACCTTCGAGGCTCAGCGGCATCTAAGTATACGCTTTTCAGACAGGTTTCGACAGACGATCTAGGATCGCATGGTAGCCGATCAAACTTAGGGGCAGCTGCCATGATAGGGCGAGAACGGTAGACCTCAGTTTTGTCCATAAGCTTGGTGGCTCTCCGTTCTACCGTCAACCGTTAGCTTGACAGGTAAGGGAGACGCATGCATTGGCTCACCTATAAACATTCGGTCAATCCCACCGCGGTATAAGAACACAACGCGCTTGAGCCGAGATAGTACTGTCTGTAGAGGCAGTTCGATGTGCCTGCTTCGTTCAATACGCAAGTTCTCGGTGCTCAGCGCGAGGTTGACAAGCCCGACACGGCGGGGATCGTGGGCCCAGAGATCCTCTGCAAATTTGGCAAAGGCGTAGTCTCGGATTTCCAACGTATCTAGCTCAGGATTGAAGTAGAAAGTCCCCTTTGCGTCCCGTCTACCCTTCCAACGGTACAGGCAAGGCAGTTGAACCCGATAGAAGCGGTGAGTGACTGCTCGAGATTCAGAGCAAACAAGGGCAAGCTTGCTGATCGGCTGACACTCTGTCAAGATGATTTTGTATGGTTTCTCGTTGTCATCCTCATCAGCTTGGGGGTGGGCTTCGACATGCAACAAACGCTCATGGTAGAGTTCAAAGCCCCAAATGATCTGGCGGACCTCAGGAGGGAGCCGATTAAAGTGGTGAAAGGAATCGGTCGCCTTGGACCCAGACGCAGGGTTGAGGATTCCCAGGCTATTGTTCACAGCGAGAGACATTATGGTGTAGGTGTGATAGATTTTGAAGAATTGTGCAGATTTGGGTGGAGGGGGGTCGGTTTATACCTCACGAGACATGTCTGGAAAAGAGACGTCGTCAACTTTAGCTTGGCGACGTCGTCAAACCTGAGTTCAAGATATCGTCGACGCCGAAGAAAAGCCGTCGCTTCAATGGAATCTAGCTTCAGACAATTGGACGATTCTTATCTTGGGTCGTACGGTGAACTATCTCTCATGATGTAGATTTCTCCAATAAGGACAATACATCCCACAGTCATCGAAATTGCGATGATAGGAAGGTTGACACGCGCAAACTCAAGCCTCCTGACATGTATGTGCTTCCGAGCTAGGATGTCCTGCCAGTCAAGGCCAGCAAATGATGCGCTCAAGACTGTGCCGCATGCCCCGTAGTTGACGCCGAGAGCCATGCTGTAAACGGTGGCCCAGAAGGTTCTATCACTAATAGCAGTCCCATTCTGTTCATGGATGTTCTGCCAGACTTGGATGATGCGGGATAAGAGAATGGTGGCGCCGATGTTGGTCCCCGCAAACTATTTGGGTCAGTCAACTCTTCAATAAATCGTCTACCAAAAGCTAGCTTACATTGCATAGGATCGTAGAGATGAATCCCATTCCTCCAGTACTGCCAATCGTACCGGTCTTGTTTGACCAGTGGTACCAACCAACTGCAAATAGTTCTATCCAACCAGTGTTTACCAAGGCTTGAACGAGGACAAACATGGACAAGGCAAAAGAAACTAGAGCAAACGGAAGATGCGGTATGACAGTCATGATGGTAGGGAATGTTTCCTGAAACCACTCACGTGCGGTGGAACACAATGACAGCAAGGTCGTATGCTCGTCCTCGTGTTGTGATCCGATCTGCCAGGATTCAAGGTCGACCGGTTTCATGGGATCGGGTAGTTGTGGCAAGGGCTCAGGTCCGGGAATGCTTAATCCGCCGGAAGGACTACTGGCGTAAGGGCTAACCGCTGGTATCGGTGGCTGGACAAACTCCAATGTTTCCATAGAGCCATTATCTCCAGGCTCAAAGACAAGCATCCTAGAAACCTGGCATGGTGCATCCGGAGCATTCTCAGCTGATGGGTCGGCAACGGTAATGCCCTTGGCTGTCTCTGTGCCCCTTGATGGATGACTACTAGCTGCATCATCGTTGGTCGTGGACTGTCCACCAGCTGCAGCTAATTCCTCGATTCTTTTTTGACGTGCACGCTCAATCATCCCTCGGTGAATGGCTGCTGTCTGGCGCACCTCTTCTCGTTGAAACCACCCCGACGCAAGATCCCAGCACACCATGACAAACGCCGCGGGTAAGGTGACCCAATAGGCAGCATGGTCGTTGCTGTCGGCACTTGCAGCGTTGATGCCGAAAAGGGTGATGAGGGTGCCTGCCATGACGACAGCGCCAAACGTTGCGCCCTTCTTATCCAAGAAGGGGTTTATAATCTCTTCAAGAGAAACAACCGTTTGGCGTCCTTCTCTTAAGTCCCCTTGTTCCTCTGCTTGACGACGGGCATATGGGATATTGGGGTTGACAGGGGCCCCGGTCTCGGGCCCGGCAGGCAGTACGTGCATCTTGATGAAGGATGGGATAAGGGACTCGTCCGCAAAGACAACGTAGAGAAGGAATGGAAACAAAAGAATGCCCGTGACGATGACCGGGACTATCATGTTGGCAGTGTATTCAATAAACTTGATCTTGAAGGCTCCAGCAATGACCAGATTGGTCGGATTCGAAGAGACAAGAATCGCGGACGGGATATTGGCGACGGCGAACTGGGTATAGATCCACGCTGTAGGGTTTTCGATATTCTTGGAGGCGCGCGTCATGTAGGCAAGGAACGGTGTCCCCGATAAGATGATGGGCTCGTTGCCGACAAAAGTGCCTAGAACGAAGAAGAAAGTGTAGAGATAGAAGAAGAGCTTGTGGCCAGCCTCGCCACACCGTTGCAGCACCTTGAAGGCGAGCCATCTAATGAGGCCCGAGGCGTCGATGGAGACGGCTATGTAAGCAAGAGTGATGAAAAAGATCATTGTATCAAGAGGCTCGATGTGGTCGGTTCCAATGGTACCATCGTGGACTTCTTGACGGCCTATTGCTGAAATGGCCAGTAGGAAAAGGTCCGCGATCAACGGGGCAGTGATGAAGTTAAGAGGGGCCCTGAAGCGCACAAAATGCTTTGAAAATGGCTTCTTTTTGGCGCCGTTGAATTCATTGTCAGATTCGTTTATATCATCGGCATCTCCAAGGATCTCATAGCGAAGTCGTGAGGAAATGATCCGCAGCCTGACGAGTGACCCAAGAAACAACCTGACGACAGCCCTTGGCACGTAGAGAGGAACGTGGAACGGAAATAGCACGATGATATCTACAAACGTCAGTAAGCAAGTACCCGGGCTCTGAGGACATACTCACTGGCGATGATAAAGGCGATCAGGGTCACAATAGCTCGCCATTGCCCGATGGCACTTGTGTCAACCAGGCCAGACATTCTTTCACCTTGAGGGGAATACGTATCCATTCCATGAGGGTAACGTCCTTCTTTTTTAAATCACAACAATTTCCGCGGCTGTAGCCCCCGCCTCAATGACAACTTCGCCTCCACCAGATAAATAGCTAAGCCTTCATCGTGTACGAGGCAAATAAGTTAGGCTCTCAACAATGACTTGACCGCCTCCCTGTAGCATGGTACATCTCGTTGGTGCCTAGTCATATGCACGTCTAGCCTATCAAAACATTCAACCTGAACATGGTGGCGTTGCCAGCCGAAGCAGGCCGTGTCTGTTATCACACAAATTACACCTGTTGTCTCACAAATTCCCAACATCTCGTCCAATTATCTACCAAACTCGGTGGCTATGCTCACTCGGGTGTGTCTAAACGATGCGAGACTTGCACATGATTCCCAACTCAGGCCCCAAGTAAGGAACAGCGTGACAGCGTTCGCGCGACTTCACACCAAAAATGAAAAGGAGCTTTATTTCAACCCCCCACCTGTCTATATGCCATGCATGTCTCCACCTGCGCTGTCATCATTTCCCGATTTCTTTGCCCACAAGATTCCGGCAGTCCTTATGCGAAGATGAGCTATGCAAGTGGCATCTCCTCAGATGTGTTACGACTGTATTATTTCTGTTGAGTTGCTCCGAGGCCCCCGCCCCCTGGCCTTGTGCAGCCTTTTGAACAAGCAAGTGGCATCTCAACATACCGCCGCTACCTAGCCGCCCTATGACTGACAAGGATCCCTTGCAGGTAGTTTGTGCTTGGTTTTTGTCAATTCCTGGTTACGGCTTTGATACTAGGACCCTGTCAGTCTTGTCATTCATGCCGCAGGCACTAATCACGCTGGGCAAACTACTGACTGGTGCTGCGCCGCGACTGCACAGCTACCACGTCCCCATTGTTATATGCTTTACAAGATGACGTGAGAAGTGGCCCGTGACTTCTTGTTCAGCCGCCGCATTTATTTTGCCAACCGTTGCTGCTCTCCACGGCATTGTCCTCACAGCACTCCACGATCCCCGTGAGAGACACTCCTCCACATGGCTGAGTCTATCGAATTTCTGACGATTCTAGATGATGTTGATATGGACGTATTTAGTGCCTTTCAGCTTTTCCCCATCAGAATTCTTGCTGTTCCAGTGACTGTCATGAATCATGGACGCAACACTACACTTGTCGGGCTTTTTCTTCAAGTAGTCCCCACCCCTGACTAGTTTCGATACAAGACTACTCTCCTTCCCTGTCGAGTTTTGCCAAATTGAAACATTTGACTGTATCCGGAGAAACTCTAAACCTCTCCCCGCTTCAGATCTCCCCGATTTCCCATTAAGGCCAGTGAGCTCCTGGAGTAGGTGCCAGTCTACCTTTGCTTGTCTCTCTGTACATACTGTTGGCGAACCATCTTGGCCCTGAGCAGCAAAGGGTCATTTCCAGCTCCAAACGACGTCGCACCAGCAGATTTTCTTCAGCAAATCGGTACAGACAAAGGTTTCAAGATATGCTTTATGCGGTAGGTGAGGCTCACGGTGCTCACTCCTGGCTCGACATTACGGAGCCGGTGAGTGAGCCGACAAGTTACAAGAGGCTATTGGCACCAGACGAGTAGTATTAAAATAACAGACTCTACCCGAACGATACCACGTATCGGAGGGCCAGTAGCTTTGTCAGTAGTCCTTGGTCAAGCTTGAGCGTGACACGCTCCCCAATGATGCCGCAAGCTGCTGTCCTGCTGACTGGTAGACGATCGAGGACGAGGTGAGTATCTCTGAACCCTAAGGCTCCTGCAGCTTATCGCTAGATACCATCTAAGCTTTTTCTTAACAATTATGCCCATTACATCGTATTACATCTTTCACATTAAAAATTAGACTTCTGTTAATGCGCCAAATAGTCTACATGACAAGAGCATTTTATCTGCAATATTTTATACAGAATATTTAATTCTAGCATTGTTGACAATCATGTGTCGAGTGAGATGTATTTGATATTTGCCGATGACCGAACGTCACTAGAGCACTGAAGTGAATCCAGTGACGCTTAGCGAGGGAGGCGTATCCTTTAAAAATAGGGGTTCAAAGACTCCCGTCACAAGTGCCGATGTCGCTTGGCGTAGATAACCTGTTTGTGTGACTTGGTCTAGTCGAGAGGCTAGGACAAAACCTCTGTAACCGACCTCTTTAGCGAAGATGCGATCGATCTGGCAGAACCTGCACGGGCTAGTGTGAGGTCCGAGAGCCCCTGACATGAGGCATAAACCCCGAAACCGAGACTTCCGTGACCACATCAGTGACACCACCACGTGGGCTAGGGGTGGAGTCTAACTTGGCTCCTCTCACGGAACATGCCGGCGCAGAAGTTGTCCGTGAAGGCGACTTGTCGACTGGGTTCCGGTTGGCCAACCCAGGCTCAGCAGGGTGCAATACCGAATTGACCAAGACATTACCATTAAATCCAATCCGTCGTCTGATATCCTTAACCAATCGTAAATACGTACATGAACTCCAAATCTCCTGTTAATTAATTACCACGAGTTCTTCCTCACTCTCATTTGATTGAGTCTTCCCCTGCTTAACCCACGAGGAATGATATTTTCCCATTTGTATGTCTTGGGCCCCTTCGTTGCCAGTCTCCATGACTTTGCCTAACTCACTCCGTCCCTTGACAGGTGTCAAGCTGAAAAGGTCTTCATCTTTCTTTCTGCCTCTGGTGCCTTCCGAGTCTCCTCTAAACCCTCTTGGTTGATGTTGATCCGAGTCCTGTAGAATCGAGGGTCCTCTCGTCGAGAGCCCAAATTTGGGACCGATGATGCGGAAAAGGGGACGGAGCGTAGCCAGACTTCCCGCTGTGATGCCGAGTCCTCCTTCAACCGTCGACCAGATTGCAATGTCCAGTGTCGCCCCTAGAGCCATGTTCGTAAAGTGATTCCTCGACACGCCATTATAGTTTGAGTACGTACAAAGAAAGTCCGGATTCTTGAAGTCTTTGACATAGCCAAAGCGAACGACAACGGCGGCGCTCGCGCTATAGAGAGACGGGTTAGCAATGTCATCGGGCTTCAAGTACGGGAAGAGAGTACGCACACGCATGCCATAAGCATAATGGGAATGAGGGCAATCTTGCTTCGCCTATTCATGTTCAACTTTAAGATCATGGCGATCGGCAGCAATGCAAACGTGAAGTCGCAGAGGACCGTAAACGAGCTGTATATATAGGTAATCGTGATGATTATGTCCACGTCGATGCAGGAGCCGGGCTGTTGTCGAGTCCAAAAGAAGGAGATGGGGCTGCACTGGAATAGCGTGATAAAGAAGAATGCGACACAAGTCAAGGCTGTGACTGTCATGGCGGTATAGATAAGGATGATGTCAACTCGGCGAACGGCAATTCGGAGGAGAAAGAGGCCAATCGAGATTTTGCAGGTAATCATGGTGATGCAGTACCACAGATAGCAATGCCACCAAAACTAAATTCTGTCAATTCCATGTACCACAGGATATTGGGGTCGTCTTACCTTCATTGCTAGCATGATATCGTTGTCTTCAAGATCCCAGTAGTGGCGGCCGGTGCCATAGCGGACGCCGAGAAGGGTGAATGCAATTAGAATAATAAACGAGACCTGGCCAGCAAATGATTAGAGTAACCTCAAGACAGCAGAAAGAAACGCTTACAAGAGCTCCGACCATGACCCCATCGTCGAGTCCAAAGTTCCGGACGATCCGTAGCCTCACATAGCATCTCAACGCAACAGCAATGACAGCCGTGGTGATGAAAGTTGCACAGACTGCTGTGAGCTCCGGTCCACGATTTTCGATAGCCATGACTCTTCAGCAAGATGCAACGATGTATGTCATATGCAATGTCATTTCACAAGAGCCAGATCGACGAGCATGACGTGCACCTAAATATGTACAATTCCAGGGGCAGACTTCACTAATAAGGACAAGACCATTGTCGTCTCCACTACAATGACTCGAGTTGACCACGGACTCGGGATGGCTTTCGCCACGACGTCCCACGGCTGAGGATTCGCTTAGTAGCGATCAAACTTTAAAGCGCCTCCAAGAGGTCTAAGCGCTGTCTGGCACCAAAGTGTGTCTGTCAATTTCCGCTCAACCCCGAGCCCATTCCGCGTGGCATGATGGAGGGGCCGGTGTCTTGGCACCTCGTGGCTCTCAGAGCCACAGCGGGTATCTATTTACCGTGGCCTACCTCCTGTCCCGGTTTAGGCCGGCCGTGATAGTCTCAAACTCTTGCTGTATCACCCCACCCACGTCTCGTCCGCCTGGTGTGGGTTGACCCGAACCATCAAACATGAAAGCTGGGCACTGCTTCCAACGGCTCACGAAGAGCAACCATATATCGGCATGATGCAGACTGATACCCGTCGCTGCACTGATTCGTTGGGACCTCGTTTCCACGTAAACATGGTTGTCCACATCGCACGTTTCTTATGCGACGACATGTCAGCCTTACATAGAAGGCTTCAACAAATGGCTTCAAGTCCCTGATGGCTCAGCAAGGGTGACAAGAAAACAGTTATTAATGCATGCCGGCAACAAAACCCAGTATCGGAAACACCGTAATCTAAGACCCCAAAGTATAAGCGGCGTCTCATACCCAGCCGCACGAACCCAGTGGTGATATACGACACGTCTCTATATAATAGCGATCTTAAATCCTTCTCCCGGACTGTAGTCTAGTCGTGATGGCCATTGATCTGTCAGCGGGGCCGTCTCGTTAGGCTTCTTTTTCGTATGCTTGTGAAACGTTGTTCCAGAGCATTTAAAGTAGCCAATACGTCGATAAACACCGACATCGCCCCCTGCAAACTCGAGAACGAGGCCATAGACGAACCCATTTCCTCTGCTCGAGGTAGGCGCGCTCGTTGAAAGAACTGGCAAGCAGCACATGTTGGTCAATTCCGGCGAGTGGAGTGCCAGTAGCCTTTGATGGTTGCGGAAGTAATTCTCCCGACTCGCGAAGGGTGGCGGCCTAGCTAGAGAAGTTGTCAGCAGCTGCGTTCTGATGTCTCTTAGGGTCGTACCAGACAACGGTATGCTTGAATCCACGACCTCGTCTTCAAGCAAGGGTGCGGGTTTCTTAATTTCACGCTTGCTTATATCATCCCAGTCCCAACGTATCCTCCAATTCTCGTCAGGCTGAGGCGGAGCCTCCATTCCCGGTGAATATCCAAATGCTGCACTTCTGTACATTGGGAATAGTGGCCCGGTGAGATCAATGCGCCCACCTTCGACTTCTCCAGTCACGTCGTGTCCGCTGAGGTTGACATTGACCTTTAGTATCTTGACATGTGTGGCCGCGCCGAGATCTAGCGGGCGGTCGAAAGGTCGGCTCTCGGCACAGGGGAAATTGTAGGTCTTCTCGTCCATGTATTTCGGCAGTACTGCCTTGCAGTCCAATGACGACCATGACCAGGATGGGCTATGATTCTGCCGAAAGTTGTGCTTTTTCTTACACTCGATGATACAGACATGGCGCCAAAGCAGCTGGCTGGGCATAAAGTTCTCCCATAAGCCTGCTGCGTAGTTTCCCAGCATTGGCTGCAATTGCCTTGCAACGGCAGACACAGCGGGTAGTCGATCTTGTGGGAAGGTTATGCCGAGTGAAGTGAAGAGACCAACAACCTGGCTCCATCTGTCAAGGTACAGTAACCTGGCATCCGAAAGGGTTGAAGGTTGCCTCAAGTCTGGAGGAGCCTGCTGAATATCCTTCCACACATCTTTCACCATACTTCCCCCACAGGTCATCACAGGGTGGCTTTCCGACCTCATCCCTCTCCGACACTCCCAGACAAACTCATCAGCAGTGCAGTGAAGGATTCGTGGAGCAAATAGACGCTCTTGAAGAACCCACGCGCGCTGGTTCAAAGGCGCCCTATCCACAGCCCACTCGGAGAGCGTGCGCATTCTGTTGCACCATTTCGGCTGTGTCATGTTCAAGCTTGTTTCTGCCATGTCAATGTCCGCAGATACGACGAGATTTCCGTAGACCAAAGGTTGTGGCCAGTCTGCGCTGTGCTTGTGGAGGAAGCCAACACTGTTGTCGATAGCTGCCGATGCAGCAATGCACAAATATGAGCCCTCGTAAATAGATCCCATCTTTGCTGACTCGCGGCGCCAGTCATCGACTGAGTCCTGGACAATGCACAGCGAGTCAATCCATATATAGGGAATCTGTAAATGACGAGCGACAATGACAGCGTCGTGATATAGTCGAGGAAGTTCTTGGAGAGAAAGTCCTTGTCTCAGAGTCATTGCCGTACTTTTGTTCAGTTGCGGCTCGTGAGTATTACCCCAGCAATGAGAAAGGGTAGCATATTTCAGCCGGCGAGTCTGTTCCTCGTCGGCAAGGGTGCTCGTTTCGACCAGTAATATACGATCTGCGGACTGAATGTCGATGAGTCGTGCCGGGGCTTGCTGTGATCGGTTGGCGGCGTCTCCTCTACATTCAGGATGGTCCTCCTCACAAGTGCGTAACCACATGCCAAATAGCTTCCAAGTTGCCGAAGAGGGCGTTTCCTGTTCCAGATCCATCAGAGCAGTCAATAGACTCTGGGATGATGGAGACGAAGGCATCACATCAATGAGAAGAGATGCGAGCTCATCACCTCTCAGAGACTGATACGGCCGTGGCTGCGGTGCCGAAGCTCGGACCAGTTTCCCGTTAACATCGAAAGTCATCACTCCCCCCATCTGGTGAGGTTCAGTAGACGGAGGCGGTGCGGGGCATCTGAGGTTCAAACGGTAATGATTGATGCACCGGTTGCTGAGATAGCTAGCCCACGAGTCGAGTTCTATCGTGGCAGGGCGCTTCAGCCATTGTTCAGCTAGACCATGGTTGGTCAGCTTTGATCGAGAGTGTAACGATTGAAGCAGCCAGGTGCACATGATACAGCCCTGCAGAGAGGATGCACGTAGTTCTGTGCGGACTGACTTGTGCGGTATGGAATTGTCTTCGGGCAGCTCAAGGAAAGCTGGCAAATCTTCGAATCTTGCCCCATTTTCGCGGGTGCTGACATCGGGAAGAATCCTCGTTGCTCGCTTGTCGCCTCGGTCTCGCTTCCTTTTAGACCCCTTGGGTTCTCCATCTCTCAGGTCCAAAACCCTTTGGAGTATATTCCGGCAGTCAGAGCACAAGTTTGACGCGGCCTTCATTTGAGCTGCTTCGCCGGACACGTTGGTGTATGTAATCTCGTTACCGCTTGAATCTTTCATCGCGCAAGGGGAAATGCCTTTCAGGCTTTACAATGTCCAATGACCGTGGACGGAAAGAGTATGGCAGATTCAATAGTCAGTTAGATGGGAGCTGATAAAGGTTGAATAAGCAACCCGGGCGGGAGGAATGGTTCTCGTCTAGAATGAGGGTGCAGGCAATATTTTCATCTCCCCATCAAAGGAGGCTATGCATGATGGCTATGTTAGGCAGCAATGGAATGACTTCATTGTTGCATGATGGGTTATAATTAACGAAATGAGGGTCCCTATTGGTTGATCCTGCAGGTAGGTCCCCAGTGAACCAATATGCTGCTATCTTACTGACCTCTTTGGGCCCTCAGGCTTTTACAGCTCGTCGCTAGACACCATATAGATTTTTTTCTAGTCCGAATTTGATAGTTGTAGATTTCTCTCAATAGTCTATGCCATCTGTACAAAAACAGCTTTTTTTGATGCAGTAGTTTACATAAAAGATTCAAAGCCATGATACTTGATCCAAATGAATTCCGAACGCCTTGGTAAGTCAATATACCATGCGAGTTGATGCGGACACCGGGTGTGTTTAAGAAGCGTGCTCAGTAGCCTTCTTGGCAGCTAATCGAGCCTCCTCGGCAGCAACCATATCTAAAGAAAGGTCAGTTGTCTGTTTTTGGTATGATATAAAGAAAGCTTACCCTTCCAGAGGTCCTGGCCCTCGTACTCCTCCTTGTGCACCTTCTTCTCAATGAGCTTCTTATGCTCAGGATCATTGGGATCAACCACCCAGATTGTCTGGAATCGGCTGTTGCCCTCCTTGAGATCATTCATCTCAAACATTGCCGAGATGATCAACACGGCGAGTGTGAGGCCTTGTGCGTAGACACGAGCTTGCACAACCTTGTTGGCCGTGTTCATTGGCGATCGGCTCACAATGGCGAACGCAACACCCATTGAAGCCAGCCATGATGCGAAAACAATGGTGTACCGTTTTTCCCGACCATACTCCAAGAATCGCTCATAGGCAGTCTGGTTTTGTCGAATCAGATCCGTGGCGCGGCTAGCCTCGTCCTTGTACTGGTATCTGGGATCCTGAGCCTTTTGGTGCGCAATGCTCCATCGTTCAGCGTTGACGATGGCGCCGAATGTGCTGCTAGAGGTGACGAGGAAGGACTTGAAGGGGAGAGTAAGACCGCGAACGGTCGCGTAGCGCTTGGAGCCGAAATAAACACCAGCGAGACCGAGGGTTGCGCCAAATACACCACCAATGACACCGCCCTTGAGGACCTCGGCGTAGTGGGCTTCCTCCTCTTCCTTGGTGAGAATCTTCATGATGATGGTTTGTTGTGTAGATGACTTGAAGTGGAGACAAAGAATGGAAAGAAAAGGTATGGAATTGGTCAAGTGGATGTTATGGTAGGGTATCTTGGCGTGTAATGATGAATTGTCGAGAAAAATGCGGGTAGAGGGCAAGACGTTTTAATATGAGACGAGATGACTGAAGAGGCGAAAACTGGAACCGGGAAAAAATCGTGCTGTATACAGTGTACGTAAGGCGCGATTCACGGGCTAGTTAAGGCGGTTGGCAGCTTATTCTAACCGTTCAAATCGTACGATGGTTGCGAGGGTGCGTGTTTGAAGCCTAAGTGGTTGCGGGATGAAGATATACCTACCGGTGTTATATGTGTCATTCAACGCGCACCTTTTAATCCTTCTTCTTTTTTACTTCTACTCCTTAACAGTACCCTTCTCTCCACCGTCATCATTCCTCTCGTCCGTTTGCGAAATGACTGATACACGGGCTTGACCGAACGATGCCGCAAAATCCTTTACTGTCGGCACTCGGGATGCGGCGATTGCGGCGTCTTTGCAGCGGCGTCTGCGGCATTGGATGCGGGTGCGGCATAAGCGGCAAGGTTTGTCGCCGCGGAGAGGGCCGCAGCCGCGGGTACCAACTTGTCGCCTGATCTATTGGTAATTTTTTAAAGTTTATTCATCTCATGTGTATTCATCAAAGTTTTCGTTGCTTGTGATTGCCATTTCCGATGTGCTTTGTTGAATTGATTGGTCAGATTGCCACGCTTCCGCCTCCAAGCCTTGCAACCAATGCGCACTCAAGTTTAGTCAGACTCTTTGTATTTTAGGTTTACTTGGGCTGGGCTTGTTACACCTCATCAGAGCCGGCTTATTCAACCTCGGATCTCTCGTCGCAAAGGCTCCTGTCTGGGCTTTATCTCAAATGTCAGAGTGCCCCAAGCAATACTGGTCTACTAATACTGATTTTGTGTCAACGCTTACCCTAAAGCTTTACAATAATCCCCTGCGTCACGTCGCCTCTTCCATTCCTGTTGATGCTTTCAGATTTTTGGGGTGCTCTTATACCCCTGAAAGATTAGAATAATTTGAGACGAGACAACGATACCCTTTATCTTGTAAGTTTGTTGATTTCGCCGGTGCGTGGCATGCAATTGTCTAACCCACATAAACTGATAACCAACGGTGCCACCTTGTGAAGGTCGCGTGAACCGCCTGCCAAGGGAGAGGCGCGTTTCTCAAACAAAAGGGCGCCTTAGGGCATATGAATGAAGTCAAAGTAGGCTCACTTGTAAAGCAGGTAGATATTTCAGTTGTGCCTTGCGCAGAGGTCCTGTGAAAGTGGTCCAGTTTGCCATGGAGGCAATGTTTCAAAAGTGGGTCCTCTGTAAAGTGGCTTACTTTACGAAGTCGTCTGGCTCAAGGGACCAGGCCACCTTGAGTAGTACCCTGGGATATCTCCTATGATTCCATTCGCATCCATGGAAAGAACCATGCCTCCTGCTGGCTCTAAGTTTCCGAGAACGGAGAACAAATAAGGCATCCAGTCCGCTAGCAGTTAGATAGGTACACGGGGCGCTTGAGGATTCCCCACCACTGGACAAGGTAGCTCGATAACTGTGGCTTGGCTCACCGCACCGCCACACCCCCTTACCCGGTTTTCTCTGGTTTCTTCGGGCGACGTCAGGCATCGATCAACCCCTCGGCTGCTGCACTGCATCCGACAAAGCCAGCCAACAGGCCGCAGCGAGGCAAGCCAGACATCAACGACTCGCATTAAGACTCCCAAGCTGACCTCTGAGAAAAGTCTGACTTTTCATGACTGGCAAACAACAATACACTTGGCGACGTATGCCTTGATCCCTCAGAGGTAGGAGGCGTTGCGATTTAGGTGTCAAACATAGAGACCATTATGGTAGGTTGCGCATGTAGCGTTGGCAACTGAGGCTGACAGCTCCTTAGGGGTGTACCATTGAGGATCTTGATCCACAGGCGGAATTCCCGGCAGACGAGACCCGGGACGCTCCGCATTACATCGAGGGGAAAGGGCAGCGGATATCTTGGCGCAATTGTTTTGTGACGGTATTTGAGAAGGATAAGAACGGTCAGATGCGCGTTACGAAGACGTATCCCAAGGGCGATGGGAAAACAACACTTCCCCCAGATGCTGATCTCTATCTCGTAGGCCCGGGAGGGAGGGTCAGGCAGGAGTCAGCATGAAGACTTGTTGATTCTTAAAACGGTATTAATAGACCAAGATCTATTGCAGCACGATATCCTACCCTCACCCCCAGCACTACGTTTATGGTAGCCCGGCCGTTAGTTCTCCACGGGATGACCATGGTAATGCATCCGGTCGAGGAGGCCCCTTCTTGTTGTTCACCGTGGTAAATACTACTGTCAACGATTCCCGCGTATATCTCGGGACCAAATAACTTTCTGACGGCCTCATCTTGAGCTCCTGATAGTGTGATTTCAGAGCTGAGCGTTAACCTCACCCCTCTTGGCAGGAGAATCTGTCGCCTCCCTCCTGAGCCAGCCTCCAGCTGCACGTCAAATAGCGTGCGTGCAATATACTCGACCTTGTTTTCCTTGACATCGAGACTCATGATGCAGTCGAGACGCCCGTCCTGAGGGAACATAACCTCGACTGCAGCTCTGCAAATGCAGTCCTCGCCTGTCTGAATGTAATCTCTGATTATGGCGCCAGCCATATACTCGGGAAACAGGCCCGGAATCTTCTGGGGAAGGGCAAGCGAGAGACGTTGCTGAGGATCCGGGAAAATGCTGGCGCGATGCTGCGAGGAATCGTTCGTTGTCGGTCCGGTTTGGTGAAGACTTGAGGGGAATGAATCCCGATGGGCGTTGATCATGTCACGAGCCTCATCACGTTTGTCCTGCGAGTCCAAGGCCGGGACATCGTGATGAGAGACATCGAGCGTTGCTGAGAGTGGCTGCGGTAGGCTCAAGCTGGGCTGGGTGCCTGTATGGGAGGCGTCGAGCGTGGCCAGAATTTGGTCAACATCAGAGCCCAGAGCCGACTCGTCACGCTGTGGGGTTTCAGTGGCTGTCAGGTTCATATCTTGAGGTAGAGACGGGCGTGAGTCGTCTTGATCCTCAGGCTGATTGGCTGTTGTTGGTGGTCTTGATTCTGTGGGATCTGCTTGCCCAGTAAGAAGGAGCTCGGAAGGCATACTTGGAAATACTGACAGTCCACTTCAAGCTTGCCCACGAAATCTCTAACAGAAGAGTGAACATTTAGAGCGGCCACACGCTGTGCAACCTCCTTTCGTGTGGCCTCGGGGAGTTGCACAAACTTCAAAAGTGTCGACTTGCCAGAGCGTCGCGTGTGTGCAAGATGGTAGGCAAGAAAGGCAAGCATTCCTGCCCGCCGGAAGATCTTGGCTGTCTCAGTCTGTGTCCGAGAGTCGAGTGCGGCGCGTAACCCATTCGGCACTCTCTTTCGTGTCCACTCGCCGGATACCTGTTTTTGGAATATCCTGACTGCGCGGGACGATGCCTCACCGGGAGGGCCTGCCACGTTGATTGATGTCGCCATCCCGTGTTGGATGCGGGCTACAAAGTGGCGGGTTTTTAAATGTGAAAGAGGGAGGCAGATTGTAAAGTGGCAGATGTTGAGTTATAAAGTGGTAGGCAGCAAAGCTGAAAGTGCGGGGAGTGGCAGTTAAGCGCCCACCCTTTCAACGAAATGCTTGATTTATTGGTGGGCATAGCCTGCCCACTCAGGGAACATTATAGCAAAGACGTCGATATGCAGCCTCACTTTTGCGAGTCCTTGGGGGCGGAAGAGAGAAGACCTGTATTGGACTTGTAGGGGGCCAACAGCAGTTGGAAGTTGTCTATAAATTCGCTGCCCGCCTCCACCCATGAAGCTCAACAGATCTCAAGTACACGCATTAATCACAACTACTGCATTTTTTGAACCATCCCCTTCACTATGAGCTTTGATTCTCGCTCCAGAAGCATCGTGCCCGTGGACGGACCCGTCAGGTACTTATACGAGCTGGCAAACAGTACCAACTACGAACACAAGTCGGTCAAGTTCTGGTCACTGTGGCTACAGTACGTGGGCTTCCCGGAGCACGATTGGCTCGTCACCACAGAGCAGCCACCTGACGGGTCGGAATCTCTGAGGCGCGTCGACATTGTCATCGACAAGTACAACCCGAACGAGAATACGCTCTCGTCTGTCGTGTGGGTGGAAGCCAAGAAGCCTGGCGGCGATTACAACACCGTCTATCGTCAAGCGCTCGATGCTGCCCAGCGTGCGATTTCCTACGAAGGTCTCTATCGCGTTTACGCCGTCACCACTGTTGGGACCGCTTTTTGCATGTGGTACTTGCAAGATGGAAAGCCAGACTTGACCCCTCTGAACCGTGCGCGGTACATCGATGCTGATTCTGAGGAATCCTATGTCATGGCAGAGGGGATTGCCACGATAAAGAGCAACCCCCCTTTGCGAGTAGCGCCAACCATCCCTAGCCAGCCTTTTCCCGCCCTCGATGCTCAAGAGACACCGGCTCACGGTGCTAGGATTGACGCTGACGTGGCATCTGACCAACAAATCTGGATTGCTCAGGACGACAACCAACAGGGGTCGGGCCATGACCACGGACAAAGCTACGGCCAGCTAGAGCCAGGGGAGAGCCATGCCCAGCAAGAGCCAGACCCGGTGCCCTCTGCGGGAAGCTCAGGAGCTCCTACGGTCTCCACCAAGTATCACAAGGTGCATGTCGTGAAGAAGGGGCTTCTGGGTGGCGATTATTGCTTCCAGGATCACCGCGGAAAGGAACGCAAGACGAAGAAGGGTGATTGGACGAAGGGGAAGTACAAGGGTCAGAGAGTGTGGCTTTACAAGGGCGGGCACAATGACTACTACACCAAGGAGTTGCCTTGATGGGTGTCATGGTCAGGTACATGGACACCGGCTCACTCCTTGAAGTGATTTACTATCAAAGCCACAGCGAAATGTTCCTGGTCTTTGCTCTCCGTAGAACGATCAAACGAGAAGTTGCCTCTGTCTTTCAAGATTACTAAGCCTGATGTGAAGACTCCGCGTTCAAGCCTGTAAATGCATGAAATAGAAATATAGCTAGGCCTGGGAAGATACTTTTACTACTTTATTGTGAATGACAAGATAGCAGTCATCTCGTCTTTTGTTGCGACAGACATCCACACACTCAGCTTGTCATGCTGTGTCTTGGTGGCGCTAAACCAATCAAACAGCTCTCACACTCGACCAATCAAACCCGTGCCAACCCGCTTGCGGCGGCTATTTAAGTCTCAGGCACCCCCTGATCATGGGTCGCCAATCCACACTTCAACCAGACCAAATGGCAGGGCATGGCTCGTTTCACTGCATCTCCGACAGGTGCCGACTTTGTCAGTTCCTCTTTCAGTCGGAAGACAAAGTGATTGCAGGTAAATTCGCCCACCAACATGCAGTGCGTAGTTTCCATGCTGACTGGGCCTGACCTGCAGATGTCGATGGCCGCTTGTCCAGTGAATTCCCTTTCGGGCCAAGCCACATAGACGAGGACCTCAAAGTCCTCCTCCGACCTTGCATCCCCGGTTGTATGTGGTATGGACGGCACACTAGTGGCCGAATCCTCGGCTACCATGCTGGGTGTCTTGCACTCACTGCGCTGCCCTCTGGCGCCTTTTTGCGCGCCACGGAATACTCGTTCGAACCGGATGTATCTGAAGAAGAGAGGCGCCGTGTGTGGGCTCTTTCTCTTCTCGCAGATAGGATGAGCAATATGCACTTGCGTCTGCCGATGGAACTTCGACTGCTTGTTGCACAGAACCTTGTTCGTGAATGTGCGATTGCTGCATCCCAGCAGGCGTGGGATGCACGATGGAGTCGAGACTGTGACGTCGACATTTCGTTGGAAATCTGGGCCGACTGTGTCTACATCGAGGGCCTACAGTACATTTCGTATGTGTCGAATCAAGCGAGTCAGACATCTACAGCCCGTCGGATTCGGAGTGCCGAATCGCCTCCTGCTACAGTCCTGCACGTCCTGGAGGATCACCTAGGCATTAGAGAGTTGGTATTTGGTGCAACACAAGAGTCTAGGCCAAGTATGCGACCCGCACGAGGCCTCTGGTGGCGGACTGTCCCTCTCGTTTCCGGAAGAGTCAAGATAGAATCCGACGTGAGTTCTTCTTCCCAAGAGCACGACTCGGCGATGGTTTTCACTGACATGTTGAAAAGGGTCTGAAGCTTCGCCGTGTCGTGTCGACAGCGGCCGTCTCCACCAAGTTATGGCGTCTACCGATGACAGAACCCGAGTTCCGGGACCTTACTTTTTTCAACCATGATCCGAATTCAGGCCCCAAACTGAACGCCTTTCGGATGGTCCCTCTAGACCTCAATGCCCCTGACGTGGTGGGGTACTCTGCATGCTGGTCCGGCAAACTGATGATGCTGCACGCACACAAGGCTGGTGAGAATTTGTCATTCTACAAAGACTTGTTGGCAGCCTATGGTCGCGCTGTCTGGATATATTTACCAATGAGTTCTGGGGAACGCATCTTGGAGATATGGGGTCGTCGTGGTAGGTTGGATGGCCATATGGGGCTATTGGTAAGCTTCAGTTGTTTACTTCCCACGCGTAGTCTTGCTGACAATTGGAAAGATGAGGACAAACAAGGCAAGACAGACCGTAATCGGTTTGTCTATATCAAACCATCTGCTAGTGCGAAATGGAGGTATTCACCTAGCTTGGACGCAGCTATGCGCACTTCCAGAAGGACCCAGCCGCCTTTTCCTCAGCCACTCACGTCTGGGGGTCCATCTGCTGGGTACCAAGGACGTGGGCAATCCGAATGCTACCTTGTCGATGCCTTCACCAATGTCATGTCCAAAAACGCATGGAATTGTCGAATACTTCTACTCTGCTGCGTCTCTCGAGGATGTAGTAGAGGTCACGCCATGCGAGATCAAGTTGGCGACCCATTCGCATATGAGCGGATTGATTTTTCAGTATGCAAATGGGGAGCGGGCATGCGTTGGTGAAATCCGACTGGATTGTCTTGGTGAACCTCTTCTGGTGCAACCTAAGAGCAGGCTTCACCTCGCCTTCAAACGGGATCGTTCCGTCGGGCCATATGCAACAAGGTTATGGCTCGACAACACTCTTGACGATGGGTCTCCTGAGTGGTTCTCTTTGCCCTGGACTGGCGTAATTGAGTGGTGGTTTTCTTATGGGCGGTATTCTCATGGACATTGCAAGGTATACTATCAAGGCAGAGAGAGCCCTTTATTGTTTAACATGTAGGTCCTGATCACGCGATGCCACCCGCTCATCATGCTTGGGCCGGACTGTGCCTAAACCTAGTTTATCATTCTACAGGAAGTGCATGACAGTGTGTGCGTAACAATCACAGCCGCGGTATTCCAACTTGTAATCGACCAAGTCGTTAAATTTCCTATGAGCCTATGTGTAGTAGTCAGGCAACAGCACACAGCCCTGTGCTATGTGTCAAGACATTTTTCCTATATCGCATTGAATTCAAGTCGCGTGCTCTTGTTCTTTTCCCTTGGAGAAGCTCGCGACTCAAAATGAGACTCAAGACATTTACCAACAGCCCTTCCACTTGCCCTGGTTGCACTGCTGGGCTACGACTCAGTTAGCAAACCTGTCTCTGTCCAACCAGAGAGAGAAAACCTACGGCAAATGGCGAAGCAGCTGCCACAGCGGCATCCAACAGCGCATCCCGTGTTACAAACGGCGATGCACAGGCTGAAACCCTTGCGGTCCTTGCAGGCACGAGCCTGGAGGGTGGACTCGTCACGGGCCTCAACAGCAGTGCTGCCCTCGGTGTAAGAGACACCAGCGTTCCAGGCGCCCTGAATGACGGGGTCGGTAGTGTCGACGACGCCCTCAAAGTCGGCGAGGCTGGCCTCCTCTGCCGCGGGGGCGGCGAAGGCGAGAGTGAGGAAAGAGAGGAAGTAGGTGACCTTCATTTTGTTGGAGGAGTTGATGTTTTTGTGTTTGCTTGGTTGTCGGTGTTATGCTGATGCTGGTGATGAGGGATGAAAAGCCAGCAGAGATGATGGCAGCTTATCAGCTTCTTATACTTCTCTTTTCCATCTAAATTGGAGATACTAATTGTCTCGTAAGACTTTGAAGCTCATGATGTCCATCTACGCGATCCTCATGTCCGGCAAGTGTGATCTGAATAGCTCCCAAGCACACTGAGCATGGGGTTCGGACTTGTTGATGGGTCTCAGCTAACTGTGCCACAAGTCTGCCTTTTAGAAGGAAGTAAATCCACTAATAAAAATGAAGCTCATCATCCCATAGGAGTGTAAACTTTCACTTTCACTGACCGAGCGTTTGTGTCGCTTCGTCGGCGTCTAGATGTTTGAGGCGACAGCCCGAAGCGCTTGATCTACGCCTGCAACTATTTGCCGCAGGACATATGTTTCCGGCATAATGCGCTTCAGCTCATAGGACCGCCTAATTGACCGGCAAGGGCCTGTGAGGCTGCGCCGCATCCAATACGCCGCTTCGTATAACATGCAAACTAATACATGGACTAGCTGGTTCCAGTAGTTTTTATGCTTCTTCGCCAGGACCCCCTACCATGTCGTAGCATCCCAAAAGTCCCCGTCGAACCAACAGACACTCGGATATGCGATCTAGAACTCGATGGTATCGCTAAGTCAGCTGACTGGAGCCCAGACCATTTTATGCTCGCATTTGACCCGCTTGTTAAATGCGTAGATGGAACCATTGTGGGATCTAAGCGATCCTTCGGCCCCCGCTGCCGAGATTGACTGGGGTATGGGGCGACCGTGGAGCATCACCCCGGGATGCGGACGAGCAGGAAGCTTAACAGGGATCAGAATTTGTGCAAGCCCAAGGGGAATATCTAGTACCCAGTGACTTTTTCAGCAGTCTGTTTTATGACTGGGAGTTGTTCCTGTCTCCCATTAAATACATTTCGCGTAAGGGAAGTGTACTTCTGTTCCAAGGACATCCTCTGATATTGCTGGAGAGTGGAAAGTCTTACGAGCCACTGGGTCCCGATGATCACTGGGTCGCCTGATGTGGCAGAGGCAAGACTGCTATGTCGCTTCGGCTGTGTAGCCGGAGAGGACTTAGTCGCGCATACACAGTAGAGTCGTATGATAAAATGGTCATAATATGTTGAACTCGTCTAAGATTAATGGGCACTTACTCTTGCACAGATGCTCGCCCAGGGGATCAGGTCCCTTCGTCGCCGGCCCGGTCCGCTAGTCTGGGAAATGCTTGGCCATGCTGTTTCCACCTACCATACTCTAATGGGTAGTTACGTTATGTATTTCTATTTGCTAGGATGCCGCTCCTTTGCCACTCCTCTGATTCACTCTCCTGGATGTGGTTAGCGAATCCACCACTCCCCTTCTAAGCGCAGACAACGTGACACCCTGTCTCTCCATCTGCGTTAACTTCCTCGGCTGCTTCCGCTTCAGTAGGATTCAACCTGCAGCAGGACTGGCCCACACATCTTGTCTAAGTCGGTATTGCCAGTTGCTAGACAGCAACTGAAGAGGATCAGCAAATCGCTCATTAAACTCGGCTCGAGCCTGACAACCACAGATCAGGGAGTGTGAAACTGAAAACATGGTCAGCCAAGTCATCGACATGATGGATAGGTGGAAAGTCTCGTATGTCAATGATCCTGGTCTTGCTAAGTTACAGGACGACGAGGCATGCCCTGGACCGAAGGATTCGGGTTCCACAAGGCGGCGGGTAACGTCGTAGAGGCGTGACGAACCGACTCAGGGTTAGTGGTGGATGATTAAGTCCAATGGGAACATTTACGTAAAGAAGTTTCCTGGAGACTTGATAACAAGCCTCGGAACGCCCTCAAACGTGTTTTCCCATCATCGAGATCTTGAAGGAGAGAGCAACACGCCACTCCTGTCTGCCAGAGATCATTAATCACTCGGCGGAAAAGGTTGTTCGAGAAGCCAGAGATGTTGACGTGTATCTGGTACATGAGCTCAGTGTGGCTGCCCAGTGTGGCTAACAGACCGACCGACCCAGACCGACCCCTCCGGTCTGTCGGTCTGGGTTTATCGGGGCCCCCGGTCTGTCGGTCTAGGTCTGCCTGGCTTCAGTGGCCCGGTCGGTCTAGGTCTAGCAGTCTGATCACGTATTGCTTAAAAAAAAGGGGGGCTTGTTAAATGACTACAAAATGAAACCCTTTTGCTCTTCGTACCCAAGCATTAACTCCTACACTACTAGCCCTCTCATCAACCAGTGCTTTTAGAGTTGATCTGCCTCGACTATATTAGGTGCTAGCCTATTGCGCTCATCCGTGATTATCTTCTTTATCTGGCTAAACACTCTCTCGCATTCAGCACTCATGCCAGGAATTGAGAACAGATCTAGCGCCATTCGATACAAGACTAGATATTCTAATTGATGTCGGCTCCACTATTCAAGAGGGTTTGCAACGTCTAGATCTTAGGGGTAGATTAGCCGTGCCTGGAATAAGTCAAGCTCGCTAACTGCCTTAGCCTTCTTTCGTTGTGTATGCAATGAGCGGATTGACCTCTTCCCAAATGAACTGTAGTCGTTAACATCAGCTTCGATCTCATCGGGTTCGTCTTCCCAAAGACCCGCTTAGGCTTAAGTTTCAACTTCATCCTGTCGAACGTATTCATCAAATAGGCCACCCACAGCGGACTCCATGTCGCTATACCACTGCGGTCTATTCATCGCGTTTTTCCAGTGCCGCTCAAAGTAGTCAAACCCATAAGATAGGTAAAGCGCTAGCGCTACTCGGTAGACGGGTATATAGTCCGTTTTGACGTAATAGTCTTCAAGCTTCGCCCATCCGCAGTCAATTCCTAACTTAAAGTAGGAGGCTTCCTCGAACCGAGTTTCCTCCGCGGCCTACTTAAATTTAACGAACAAATAGTCCATAGTCTTAAGAGTTTCCCATATAGCACCATGCCCGCCCTCTGCGCCCGGTTTACTGGCATTGCCCTCTATAGTCTTCGTAAGGATATAAAACGGCTTTAGGAAGTCGTAGAAGCGCTCCAGTTCAGCCCAGTCCGTGGCGTTCAGGAAATCTTTCGTCAAGTCACGGTGAATAGGATTACTTTTAGGCTTTTACCAGCGAGATTAATAGAGCTCGATAGCGCTGCGCAGTTCAAGTGCTAGGATAAGCCGGTCCTACGTCAGCAAAAACGTCCAGTAGAGGCGGATAACGGAAATTTACCGCGTCTAATTATAATATAAATAGAATTCCAGCGTGTCTTACCATTAACGACGACCTCTAATATAAATATCACATCGTCCCCTGCGAGCTCGGTCTATAAACGCCGCAGCGCCTATCGTCGCTGGTCCATCCGACGGATATAGGTAGCAAGGTTATGGAGCCGACCAATGGCCCCCTTCTTAGCCCAAATATCAAAACTGAATTCATCCGTAGCCCCACGAAGCTCCGCCTCGAATTTAGCGACGTTTAAGCCGAAGATAACAGCCCGGACAACCAGATTAATAATATGGCCTATGCAGCGTAAGCGACGGCGGCCGACGTCCATCGGGAACCATCTAGCCAGAGCCTCTAGGCAAGTATCATTACTTTCGGCGTTATCAAGCATAAAGTATCCAAGCTTTAACCCCATTTCATAGCGATCGATTACCTCCTTGACATACGGAGCCATATTCTCTCCAGAGTATAGACCAACGAGGCGTAGCAGTCCAAGAAAGACATCCCGCTTTTCGCCCTCGCTATCAACAAAGTGACCGACAATGCCGATATAGTAGAACCCGTTTAAAGCAGTCCAGAGATTAAAGCTTAGGTAAGTAGAGCTCTTTGCGCCCTAAACAAGATTGAAGATAATCTATTGTCTAGATTCAAAGGTTTAACAGATCCACGAGCAGACCGTTATGTGATACTCAGGAAGCAGCCGACTCGCAAGCTCCCCACCATTTACTATCAGCCACCGAAGCCGCTCGCTTAATGCTTACCGGAAGGTAATATCTTCGAGGATAACCCAATCCACGAAGCGAGATTTCCATAACCTTTCATCGAAGTAGGAGGCCAGCTAAAAGCCTAGGCTAGCCTATCGCGACAAAGGACGCACAGAAGAGGGCATTAACGTGGCTACCAAGGTAAACGGAGTTATCAAGCCGGGATTAATGCCACCAAATTCTATGATCTAGTGCTAACGGAGTAGGTGCCTCGCGGCGTGGGCTATCCCCGATAAGGCATACAGAGCCGTCGAATAGCTCCTCTTTTCATAGCAGAGTCTATAAAGCCAGTAACGTACCCCCTTATGCTCTAAATTTACACCATATTGATATATCTATGACTCCTTCATCTTTATGCCGACGACCCGTCTATAATAAGGTCTCTTTTTGACGCCCACAAGTCTTTTTCCATAGTGCCATATATTCTCCCAATCGATATTAAATTCACACTAGGAAGCATCGCCTGCCATGGTCCCCGGGGTAGTATCGGTCGAGGTTGAAGGCAAATAAGACGTAAGAGACTATGGTATAGACGGCACGGGGCTCGAATTCCTGCTAGAAGATATTATAATGCGGGTATAGATATAGATGCGCACATACAGAACATAAGCGAGAATATTTGCAATAGTTTATTCGCAAGTGCCGACGCGCCAGGTAAGTAAACAAAAACCTACCCCTAATTCCTAGGGGCATAGGGGGCCAATAGCGGCACTGAAACACACTAGCCCATTTCGGCCAACCCAGGCCGACTCAGACCACCCAGTCAGACCGGCCTATCCGGTCTGACGGTCTGACGAGAATTGGCCGGTCTATCGGTCTGCGGTCTATCAGACGGACTCAGACGGTCTGCCAGACAGTCTGTCTGTTAGCCACACTGTGGCTGCCCACGGTCTCCCTTTGAATTGGACCGTCTCGAAAGAGACAGAAATGCCTCAAAGCAGTCGAAAGTGAGATTGCGCAGTCTATGGTCCCTCAAAGAGTCGACAAACGGGTGATACTTTCACAGGCCTCGAATATGAATCCGGCTTAAAAGCGTAGCCCCACAACAGGCTTTGATCCAAAGGCACGATTCAGCTTGTTTTTGGCGAAACAACTGTGCTGTGATTCAACATGGGATGTTCAGAGACTACGCTTGACAACTTCCTGACAGCTGCTTGAGCATTCTTAGTGAATGGTCACCCATCGACCCCCCCTGAACCCACTCGCAAGCACTAGCAAAGTTTTAGCGAGAGGCGGTCTGCCTTGGCTCTATTCGTCTTCTACATCATAAACTACGTCCTCAATGCTCAGAAGCTGTTGTATATCGAAATTCCAAGTCTCAGACGGATTCAGCTCAGTACATGTTTTCTCTGAATGACTCTGAATATTAGGCGACGTGAAGTAAACATCGTCCAGTCCGTCGCCAAAATCCAAGCTGAAAGGGAGGTTCGGGAAGTGAACATCTTGTATGTGTGGACAATCCTGTGCCAAGTCCAGCAGGTCTGATTGGCAGTCTTGGTGCGACATCGTGCTGCCATCAGACGTCATGTGGACCTTGCTGAGTGATGCCGCGAACGATCTTGGCGTGAGGTCAAAATGCCTCTTGAACTGCCGGTGGAGATGTGCACCCGTGATGTTGAGTTCTTGAGCTACACTGTCCACCGTCCAAGGCGTTCCACTCTCGACGGCTGCAGTGATTATGGCTCGCGCGCGGTTACACAGCGTTCGGCCCAAGCTCTCCTTATCCCAGCCAAGAGTGCATGGTGACATCTCTTGCACGGTAGGTATGGTGCAGGTTGTCGAAAAAGATAACGTTGGATCGTCTGGCAACGCGGCCGGGACAGGTTGGACGGCAGAATATCTGGGTTGATCTGACTCCGTAGAGGAAGGACGAATTGGCGGCGGATCACGACGAGAGACGGCGAGCCATCTGGTCGCAGTGGAGGCGTCGGAAGGAGGAGGCATGTAGGTGCTGATGGATGGATGGGAGCGGAACAGGTACTTAACGAGAAAGGAGAGCGTAAGATTTGTTGCAGAAAAATAAAAGAAGGGAGCGTTCGACCGAAGTCAAGACAAAGTTGTTAGGGCCATGGCTCTCATTGGTCAGTTCCAACATCAGTCCCTGAGTGCTGCCCTGTGATTGGTTGGTTCGATATCATGGTGTTTCCAGCTTCATAAAAGAGGGCGCTGAACAAGAGATAAATCCTTTCACGGTCTTTAATATCACTCATGATCCTCTTGTATGATTTAGCTCTACTATCGTTCATCTTCACTGTTGTTAATCCAAGTACCATCCCTGACCGAGGCCACACCTCTGCCATGACAGCACCGACGGACTTCATCCTCTCATGTACCTCTCGTGGGCCTTTGCGGGCATACCACTTGGCGTCTACAACGTGGTCCAGGAACTCAAAGTGTCTCTTCAAGCCCAGCCTCACATTCTCATCTTCCTGAGTCTTACAACTTGGTACCAGTGCCCAGTGCAGGTACTACAGAGACAAATGGACACTCGCCAAGATTCTGCTTGTTTGCCTAGCTACTACGTCAATCATCAGCGACGCCGAGACTCGCCTGTACTTTGCTCTACAACTCGCGAGGGAGAGGGATATCGAATGGCCCGTGGCGTTGATGGCGGTTCTTACAGCAGTTCAACTGGGATATTGGGTTTCGAGATACTACTGGGAGATTTAAAAACCAAGATCCGTCATCGTATCTCGTTCTTGTTTGTTTCCATCGATGCGGGAGGTGACGCGGTATCGATACTGGCCCTTGTATTTTCAGCCAGGATTGACATATTGGGCCTGACCATCTACTCAGCCGAGGCGGCACCGTGGACTGGCATTGGAATTTTGGGCATCCATTTTCGATTCCGCGGTTGGTTGCTCGGAAAGATGTGTCGTAAGTGGGATGAATTGGATGGTTCGCCTTCAGAGAGCACTATGGACGCTGGGGTAGCGAGTCACATCGTGGAGCTATAAACTTTCAAAGGGAGGCGAAAGAGGGGAGTGATTGCAAAAAGTGCCTTGTTGTGTGACTACATGGAACTGGGTAAGCCCCAAGACTGTGGTGTTAAACAGGGGTAGGGGGCCTGGCCAGAACAAAATTTGACGGTATCTGACATATACGACTTTCAAAGCTGCAAGTTGGAACTTTGGATGAAGAAATGTAAATAAACCCAGGCTCACAAATACGTAATGGCTTTTAATTCAACTTCTTGGCTCCCGCTAAAATACCCTGGCAAGACGACCCCCCTTTCTCGCTTTTAATCTTCCTTGTTTGCCGTTGTTCCATAGTAGTATTTTGCATCTTTGTTTTGCCCATTGATCTGCAGGCCACCATCGCACTTGTTGATGTTGCCGCTTCCACCGTGATACAACTGACTCCCCGCACCGAAGTTATTCAGCGTGGTGACACCCTTCCGAGACTCAGTCTCCAGGGAAGAGTTGAATGTCTCGAACTCTCTCAGTGCGCTTTGTAGGAGCTCGGTCCTATATTCTGCCACGAAGGGGTGCACGGCTGGATCTGTAGCGGGCTTGAGGATATCCGCCATGACGACCTCCAATCTCTTGCCGTTGCCGTTTCTGACGGCCCTGCGATAGTCCTCAACCTTGTTTTGGCTCTCCTTGACTGCGTTGAAAAGCTCTTGGATATAAGTGATCTGGCTGTCGAGCCCTTCAACGGCCTGCCGGATGACAAGGCAGTTTTGGCTGTTCAGCTCCAGAGACTCCTTCTCTTCGTCCACGGAGCTCAAGCTCTGGAAGATGTCCCTAAAGACGTCACGCAAGAGTGGAAGGTGCTTGGCGACGAGACAAAATTCTGGGAGTTGATCTTTCGTTTTGCCAATCGGGCAGCACAGTTTGACCAAGGGGCCCAGCCCGTTGTCGAGTTGCTTGAGGGACTCAACAAGAGCCTGGGCTGTCTCGCTCTGTGTCATTGGGACGATGTGTGTTGGTTCAGTTGATCAAGAACAGGAGAAGAAACTTGTGGGAAAGAGGTTAAGCTGGAAGTGATCAGTTCAGATCGCGGACAATGCTGCCCTATTTGCAACTCGAGGGGGCCACTTTCTCTCAAGGCAACTGGGCGTCAAACGAGGCTCATTTACGAATAAGAAATGTATTATTGCAGTTTTTACACTTGTTGTAGCGGTGTGATTACGATAGTTGAAAGAAAATGCCTTGGCGTAAGATGTTGTTTGGGAACTTAGAAAAGCATCCATTCAGCAACATCTGCAACCATTGTGGTGGCTCAGCTTGTAGGCTGCGTTTCGTCTTTGGCCAAGGCTTAACGCAGCCTTGACCGGCCATTATGGGTTGAAATGGTTCGCATGGCCGCAGAAGCTTGAGTTCGCCTTTGGACTCTTCCTAGTGGTGTGCGGTTGCTGACGGACGGACCAGCCAGTATGGTCCTCGGAGAGCCACCGCGTAATTCTTTAAGCAGGCTATCGTTTCAAGTCCGTTGGCTGAGGCCTCTGTTCCTTTTTCAACTTGAGTTGCGTTGGCTGAATGCAGGGAGGCCTCAAACTGGCCTTTATCAGTCAATAGGGGCTCTAGTGAGGATGTTGTGTTACCACGAATGCTTACGGCTGGATTTGTAAGTTTCAAGTCGTGGCTGATATTTACAAGTGGCCTGATCTCCCAATGGACCAGCACAGCCTCAGATGTGGCGATATATGCGTCGGGCAAGCACCGTGTAACCACTTATGCTTGGCATACCGTCGGGCTGAAAATTTGGCTGGTGAAATTGGCTCATTCCCCCTCCGCTCACACTCGAGAAACGCACCTGAAGCAAATCCTGCTTCCTCTAGACAAGGATCATAATGCTAGCTGCAGACGTCACGGGGGTCATCTCGTCCATCATTACCATCATTGACACCTCCATCAAGATCTACCGCGCCGCCGTTAATGCCTCAGACCTCCCGCAGTCCTTCGGCGACGCCGCTGCGCGTCTCCCCCTCGTCCAAGACACCCTGAGACTGGCCACGGGCGGCCTCAACGAAGACGCGCTCGACGCCGAGTCCCACGCGACCCTCACACTGGCCCTCGAAAAGTGCACCAACAGGGCGGCGGTGCTTCTCGACATTTTCCAGATCGTCATCCCCTCCGAGCGGGCGTCAAGAAGGGAGAGATACCTCAGGGCCTTGAAAACGATCCCTCAAGCGGAAAAGGTCGAGTCCCTGATGTCAGGCATCCTGGTGGACCTGCAGCTCCTCGCAACCAACCACGCCGTCAGGGCCGCGACGAGGCAGCAGATGGAGAGGCTTATGAGCAAAATAATGATCCAAGATCAGCCAGCTCGTCGCCCGCCCATCATCTTGAACAATTCTGGGTCGGGGAGGCAGTATGTTCACTGCGGCACAGGGGATCAAAATGTTGTGAGCGGTACAGCCACGCAAATAAATGGGCCATTTAGCGGCGGAACTTGGAACTTTTATGAGAGATAAGGGGTTGGTAAGGGCGAGGTGTGCTTAGAGAGAGTGAATTACTGCATTCCGTTTCTCCACCCAAAAAGAAAACAACCGGCGCCTGCAACCTACCGCTTCAGTAAGCCTTGAATGAATCAAGATTCCTGATTTTACTCATGCTTTTCCTTACAAATGCCCCCATTACTCGTAGCATTCTAGCCTGTTGATTTGTATGCCGCCAGTTGCTTGGCAAAGTCTCCTTTCCTCACATGCCTTGCCAGCGTGCAGGGCGAGTACCCCCATTCCTGCTCCATGTCCAGGTCGGCGCCCGCGGCGCACAAAATATCCAGGGTATCGGCGTTGGCCTCCTTGCTAACCACAGCGCAATGGAGGGGGGTGTATCCCCTCTTGTTCGCCAGGTTAACGTTGCCGGCCTTGACCAGGAGCCTCAGTCCGTCGTTGAAGCCGCGGTTAGCGGCTATGTGCAGCGCCGTCAGTCCCTCTTCGTCCTGCACAGTGCATGAAGCTCCATAGCGTAGCAGCGACTCAACCATTGTTCGATTCTTAATGATAGTTGCCAACATGAGAGCCGTGTTGCTCTTTTCGTCTTGCTCGTCAAGGCCGCCTGAGTTCGGTGCCTTAGATGCAAGGAGATCGATCACATCCGTCCGCTGCCGTCTCACCGAGTGATGCAGCGGGGTAGAATATGTCAGATCCTGAGAGTTGATCATGGATCCCATATCTAGAAGACGTCGCACAAATGGTAGGTTGCCTTCGATGCAAGCCTGGTGAAGAGTCGTCCTTCCGTCTCCGTCGGTTGCGTGGATGTCGGCTCCATGCTCGTGTAGCAGCCAGGCAACAGAGACATCGTTAATAGAGAGAGCAAGGCTCAGAAAACTCGGAGCACCGTCACCGTGAAGCTGTAAATTTGCGCCTTTCGCCACCAGGAGCCAGATAACGTCCTTTCTCTTGGCCTTGATGGCATAATGGAGAGCAGACCACCCCTTGTCGTCTAGTGCGTTTGGCTGTGCTCCTTTTTCGAGCAGTAGCCACACAAGATCCTGGTCATTGTACTGAACGGCTTGAATGAGTGGTGTCTGGCCGTGGGCGTTCCTCTTGTTGACATCGGATCCAGCCTCAACCAGTTGTCGAACAATGATATTCTTCTTGTACACCAGGGCCAGACAGAGCGGAGACATCTTGCTGTTAGGATCCCGTACGTTTACATCGACTGGTTTGGTCTTGCTATCCAAAAGTCGCTGGACCGTCTTGGTCCGCCCCATCTTGACAGCGTAGATCAATGGTAGCCAACCATCTGTGGTGGGACGGTTGGGGTCTACACCTCTTTGAAGCAGAAGCTGCATCAATTGGTGGACATGGTCATCAATGGCGCGCTTCAAAGGGCTCCATCCATTCGTAGAAGAATGGCCGGTGGGCTCGGAGCTTTCCTCGAACTCACTGGCCATTTCATGGCCATGATTGAGCAGCTCTCTCAGCGGTGTCCACCCTGGTGTGATGACCTCAGCATTGACATCCTCCATCTTCCTGATGAGAAGCTTGGCAATCGGCGTATGCCCATACTTGATCACCAACGACAGAGGTGTCAAAAACTTGGCGCCTTTTAGGTCAATCCTCGCCTTACCATCCACCAAGGCTTGCACGATCTCAAGGCTGCCCATAGTTGGCTCCGCCAGACACTTGTGAATCGGCGTATCCCTAGAGGTATCGGCTACGTTGGGGTCCGCAAGATTGTCAAGAAGGTACCTGACAAGTTGATGTCGACCCAACGTCACGGCCCAATGTAGCGGGGTCTGACCGTCAGAGCACCGGGCATTGACATCAATACCGTCCTTGATGAGCGTGGTGACCCAGTCCCCAAGGTCGTAGAACACAGCAGCGTGTAGACCAGTGATGTCGTTGAGCTTGCAACTAGGGACGCCAGGGGTCAACTTGAATGCCCTCGCCAGCTTTCCTTCGCTGCAAAGAAACTTTTTGACATCAGCCTCCACCTGAGGGTTCCTATCCTGGCCATCGTGACAATGGTGCGTCCAGTAATTGGATGCGTACTCGAGTAATGGTGTCTCGACGTTGGCACTGGAGTCATCGGCCAGTAGACACGAGAGGCAAACTTTGGCGATCTCGAGGTCGGCATTCTCATAGAGAACATTTCTACCTTCAAGATGGTGTTTTACCGACTCATGGACGAGCCGAAGGGTACGCTTGTCATCTTCAACCACTAAGCCGGCGCAAACACGGACCAACGAGTCTCTTGACGGTCGACGACGCTGCCAAGAACCTCCATTGCCTTCCAGAAAGGCACAGCTATCCTGAATCTGGTCAATGGTCAAGTCGACCTTGGCATGCACGAGCCAAGTTAGGACATGCTTCGCCAGGTCGCTATCGCAGCGGTTTTTAGCGGCAATCTTTTTTATCGCTCCTTCAAACATCTTGTGCAGGTTGTCTGGAAGTTGGTTGAGTTCATCCTCGATCTTCTTCGGCGTGTTGCATTCGCGCAGGGCGTCCAAGTAGAGCTTGGCAAGAAGAAATCTGGACGCTGTTAGTGCCGAGCCAAACAATCTTTAAGGAGATACTGACATTCCACTGTCCAGTGTTTGATCGATGACCGATTTAGTCACCTGATCAACCATCTGATGTTCTTGCAGCAACCGATGGAAGCTCGCATGATCTTCGATCTGGGCTTTGACGAATGCGGTTACGTCAGCTTCATGCGGCCTGAGGCACAGTGTTTGGTTGGCTTCCGTATCCTGAATGTCGAGCTCTGTGCTTGAAGTGATGAGGGTCTTGACTTTGCTCGGTAGGCCCTTGATTGCTTTCAGGATATCTTGTTGCTTTTTCTCATTTCCCGAGTTGTCCAGCCCATCAATGATAAGGTAGACTGTGTCGAAGGTCTCAGCCTGCGCCTTGAAGAGTTCGAGGCATTTGGAAGGATGAGGGGCGCATGGTTCCCCGAGGCGGTTGTCAACCTCAGACTTCAGCGCCTTCGAAATGCCTCTGCGACCTGGATCCCGCAGCAGCTGCAGCAGCAGGCCTGCCCAGATGGCGTCTGCCAAAGGCATCTCGGCATCTCCTTCATCAAAAAACAGGTAGACACAGATTATGTCCCTGTTATCGTGATACTGCTTCTGCAGGGAATCGATGATGATGGCACTTCAGAGAATGCATCAGTACAGGCTACTGACTCATGTTTCGGGCGTTGTTCGGCTGGCTTACCTCAGGATGCTCTTTCCGGACCCGACTGGAGCAATTCTGATTAGCAGAGTCAATATAGGAAAGGGATAGTAGCTTCTTACTGTTTCCATGCACGAAAAGAAGCCGACAAAGGCTTGAGCTGCCCTCCCAGTTGCGAAATTCCTCCTTAGATAGCACCCATTCTCCAGTCCCCGGCGTCGCCTGTCGGAGGAGATCGGCGTGGCGGTAGCTAGGGTCTACAGAAGGCTGAGCCAACTTCTGCGTGAACGTCCTGGCTAAGATTACATCTTGGCCAAATATTAGCGTTCAATGGGTAGCTTGGTGTCACGACCCAGAGGCCGACTTACAATCTGGCTCGCCATCACGTATCTGAGAGTTCACCACTTCTTGCAGTAATGTCCCTAAACTGGTCGTATCGCCTGTAATAGGGGTCAGCGATCTGGTGGAGTAAAGGCGTGATGGGTATTGAGCTTGCCGGTCGGAGAACAAATGTTGAGCTGCACGCCAGAGCCACTGGTCGAGAAGATATGACCGCTGCCATTGGCCACCTGTTGGCTACCGGTTGAGTAATTGTTCGCGGTCGTGGTCGGCGAGAACATTTTTGGCAAGCCGCTCACGGGGAGCGATAGCCGACGATTGTGGCCCATCTGCGCGTAGATACTCTAAAGACTGCCAATGATGGCTTGTTGACACTCACAGAGCAGCTGTAGATGGCCAACTTAAGTATGTCTTATCACATTCAGACGAAGGCGGGGTCTCCTAACCGCCCGCCAGAGAAGACCCCCCTTCCAGGTTGAAATCATACAAATCAGGCTCTGAATACGAACGTAAAGTTGGCCTCATGCCGGCTGTCGCTCACTATGCAGCAAAGTGCAAGGCGACCAGTCATCCGACACATCGGCCACACACACGGGGCATTGTTTATTTGACTCGGCCACACACACGCGAGGCATTGTTGATTTGCCACACATGCGCGGGGCATGGTCGCCTTTACTCGGCCACGTATGCTGGCCAAGTCTTGAGAGTAATAGGGCAGTGTTGAGGGCGCCTGATCTCGTGCTTCAGCAAGGCACTCAGCTGCCTGGCGCGAAGTTATGCCTTGGTTTTTCTATTTCTTTCGTCACCTTAGGTGCCATTAGAGCATGGTATAAAGCTTCTTGAAAAGTCTCCATAAAGATTATCCTTCATTTTGAAAATGACTCCAATTCTTGCCAGAACAACCATTCGTCCATTCATATCGTTTTCTCAACCCTACCATCATTGAGTTTACAGCAGCAGTGGGTGTGATGAGCCCACAACTGAGGGTATATCCGTAGCCAAGAAGAAGCCCAGTGCGGCATACCTGCCATGGCTCAACACGACGGCTACTACTCTGATGGTTACCCAGATGATAGTGAACCGGGCCCGTCAAACCGCACACGACGATTTATCCCTGAGGAGTTTGCGGCCCAACCTGTGGCGCACTGGCAGAATGGAGCCGGTCAGCCTCGTGCCCAATCGAGACACCGTCCTGACCCACGTCATCTACAACCTAGTCAAGGGACGGCCGCCGAGTCTTATGATGCCCCTTATCCCCCGCATCACATCAACTACCCCCCTACCGACATAAGGCAAGAGACTTTTCCACCACCCGGACTTCAACCTACCTATCCGCACAACATACCCCCTCAGCAGCAACAACAGATGCCCCCCTTTTACGGGCAGCAGCCTAACCCTCCCTATATGCATCCCCTGGGTCTGCCGCCCTTTCACCATCCAGGTCCATTTTATCCCCCCGCTCCACAACCACAGCCACTACAACAGCCACTACAACAGCCATCACCACCCCCTACAGAACCCTCTGAGGCCGAATCCAGCATACGCCAACTACGAGACCTAGTTTCTTTGTACAGAGCCAAAGACGAGAGACAAAGAATAGAAAAGGAAGTTCGTGAAGAATGTGAAGCCCAAATCCGGCAACTGAAAGAACAGCTGGGAAAGGCCGAGCAGGACGTTTCCAGAGCACTGGCGCAAGGAAAGAAGGAAGGGGAAATGGTTGCCTGGGAAAGGTTCAAGAGTGAACGCCTAGCCGAGCTTGAAGAGGGAAAACGGCAGAAAAAGCTGGAAGCTGAACGACCGGCCAGCACCACCAGACCAGAGGCTAGAGAAAGGCGCCGCCAACAGTCACAGAGGCAAGAGATGGATTTTCGACTGGAGAGGCTGGAAGATTCTATGAGAATCTTACAAGAGAGGCTCCTTCGAGATCCCCGGCCGAAGAAGAGAGCACCGGCTGCCACCGAGGACGCCAGGCATGGCTTGGAGTCGGTAATGGCCGAGCTGAGAGCTTTGAGGTCTGATTTCAGACAAGTCATTGTGATGTCGGATACGAGTCAACAGAACACCTCCGTTTCATCAGGAGGACGAAATTCGACGTTTAGCTCAGATTCACAATCGCGTCGCCGCCAATGGAAGGGCGTATCCGACTCCGATACTTCTCCACCACGATCACGAAGCCCGTTACCACGAGACGGTAACCAAGCCGGTTTGAGCGAACCCCCTCCTCCTGCACCTGATGCGCCGAGGAGGACTTATCGTCGCGACGAAGATGAAGAGGATATGACAAACCGTCGCCGGTACCACGATGGCGGTTGGTCGCAAACCGAGCATGATCACCGGTACTCAGGCCCAGATAGGCCGCACGATTCGAGCCATAAAAGGGGATCGTTCACCCCCGATGCCCACCCTCATTCATCTTACGGCAGGGGTCGTTCAGGTGCTGCCCGAGGTGAACAATATGAGCAGAAAGACCATCGCCACGGTCGACGGACCCGTCATTCTTTCCAGGAATCTGAACATCCTATTGAAGAAAGTATGGGTAACTCCTCGCCCTCCTCCTATAGGAACTCCCTTGGCTCATACTCCTCACCCAATACGGAGGACTCATCTGCACTTGGCGGGGATCATGGGGACGTCAAACCAACTGCCTTTCCATAGGCCTTTGGGTTCGACAACAGCGCTGAGGAGGATATGGGCACTGTTTCTGAGCTACGAAAGCGCTGCTAGCTTGGGGTCGTTGTATGAAGCCTTTGAGGAGATGGATATGGTTGAGTGCTCGACGTCCGAGGACTTCATTGGAAAGCTTCCAAGGAAGGGGATGGGCGTGAGAAATTGATCAAAAAGGAGGGTCGGTAAATTTAGATAACCAAGACATATGAGGCTGGATAAGGAGAAGAAGCAATTCAACAATTAGACTGAGAGACCATAGAATGAAAGAAGAGCATATGCTGGGAGTGGCCAAGACCCTCTCCCCAAGCGATTTTTATCTTTAATAACAAGCCCGAATGAGAGTTCAACCACGACGGTCAAAGATACCGCTTACAAAAAAAAGAAATGATTTTATTAGCTCATTTTAAAACTATATTTTGAATACTCTTGCTTATTACTTCAACTAAAACCCGCCGCCCTCACTCTGACGATTTTTTGGCCTCAACCGGAACAGCAGCTTCGGTCTGCACCCAAAGTCTCAGCAAGTCAGGCCGCGAGTAATGTCCCACCAAGTCGAGATTCTGCTGCATCATGGCTCGCATCTTCAGATCAACGTCGGCGTAGAGAATGCCCTCTTCTCCTGGCTGCAGAGGCTTGCACAACTCAGAGCCGTCAGGTCCATAAATCATGCTAAAACCACCACCAGGACATCGAGCATAGTCAAAGTTTTCCAACCTCGTGTTAGCCTTACTGGCTTCGGTTAGGACCTGAGAGCAGACCAAGACGAAACAAGCTCCTTCCATCGCCATCACCCGGGAAAACCCGTTGCAGGCCGGAGGGGTCAAGTGATATGGCCACGGCTGACCCTCCAGAGGATCCCAGCATAATGGCCAGCTAGACACCTGAATATCGAGGTTTTGAGAGTACTGGTAGTAGCGTAGTAGAGGCTGAGTATGCTCCCAACAATTCAGAGCGCCAATGTTACCAAAGGATGAAGGCACGACAGCTTTAATTGAGTCTGCTTGACCGTCGCCCCAGTATGCCCTCTCAACGTGAGTTGGCTTGATTTTCCGTCGATGGCCAACAATAGTGCCGGTCTCATCAATGAAGGACTATAGCCGAGTTAGTGTCTCGAGTTGCTGCAGTATACTCGGATTGTTTGGCCCACCTGAGAAATGTACAGGGATCCGTTATATCGTTCGCTGTAGCCGAGCACAACAAAGACGCCGGCTTCACGAACGGCGGTCTTGATCTCCTCCATTTCTTCAGAGTCCTTTTCAAGGGAATTGTGAAAGTACTCGTTCATGAAACCAGCATTGCTAACAGGCGAGTTGGCCCAAATTGTCCTAGCAAATTATTATTGGAAAATGGTAACACAAGTATGGCAGGTTAACTCACCATGGATATCCTGGGATGAAAATCTCAGGAAAGCCAACGACCTTGGCACCGTTGCTCGCAGCCTCTTGAATCAGTCGTGTCGTTTTGGCAACACTGCCTTTCAAGTCGTTCCAGCATGGCTCGGCCTGGATAGCAGCGACTTTTATGGGAGATGACATTGTGTAGATGTTGTTGAAAAACCAAGAATCGTCGTTTCGATGCTGTTTTGAACACTTTTCGGCTGCATTATGGTTTTTATGTTAAATCACCCCCCTCTCTTATCTGTCCCATCAACGGATTCGTAGACTGCCCCGCAATTTGTCACGAAGATCTCGGAATCGACGTTTCTTATCTTATTCCGATGACAAGTTCTAATCGCTATCAAGGATAGGGGCCATTTTAGTCTGGAAATAAGGTTTCGGACCCTTGCTTGTCCCCAGACCCGATAGACTGGTCGTCGGGTAATGCACCTATCAATGCAGCTATCGTTGCCGCTCACACGTGCCATAGGATAAATACACGAGATTTAATTTAGTGTCATGTTAATCTATGATCGGAATAAGCTTTCGTGGGTAAGGTGATTCCGATTCCGTAGCTGATCACGGCAGATAAGCAAAATCATTTGTCGTGGTATTGGTTCGATTTATGAGGCCAAATGGCTAGTGTGAGGCTCTCTTTGTATGAACATGATGCTTGGCGGTCAACAGTTGGAGTAAAACATGTTACACATGACTTGATTTGTCTCTAGTCTATAAATATCACACTCTTTCCCGCAGTCGTCTTCGTCTCATGACAATTATCATTCATTGAACCAAAGGTTTCTACCTTGTGACAGACAATCTAGTCGCGATTGATCTACTTCATCATGTTTTACCGAGCAAGCTTCAAACCTGAAGATAGGTTTCTCTACGGAATATACGGTATCCAGTATCAAGGCCAGAGTCCTTCCGGCCGACAGCTGGATCTCATTCAAAAGTTCGACGAGCTCATCTCTGGGCAAGCCCATCTTGATCGAATCACTGTTCCTGGAAACGATGGATTTGCCACTCAGATCTGGCTTTCATATTGGTGGCCGGATTCTCACACAGGATGGTGGTCCAAGCCTGCTGTTAAAGACTTTTGGGACAATCTTCCAGAAGACGCAGGCATGTGGCGAGAAGTTCTTACAGTGTCGCCCAGCAGAGTGCAGAACGCATGCACCGCCGAGTTGAAGAATGGATTGAATGGCCTTGGAAACATGGAGCCGTTCAGTGACAAGATTGGATATTGGGGATGCATTCGACATCGCATCCCGGACGCCAATTTGGATGACAAGCTTGCGTCTTCGCTTGAGGAGATGCCTTCCCGAGTTCCAGAGACGTCAGATATTCGTCCTGGGAGGACACTTGTCACCGATTTTCCAGACAACATTTGCTTTCTTGTCGAAGGGCAAGACCACACACGCATGTCGACAAGAGAGAAGGATTTATGGTTTGAAGAGTTTGACGAGCTCGTCACGGGATGGATGGAACATTTAGGAAAGGATACCACTGCCAACGGGTTGTTCGACGTGAGGATGGGCCACGTCTCAGACTGTGGAACATTCAAGGATACAGGCCCAATCAACCTGAACCACAACAGAAAGATTGAAATGTTTTACTGGATGGATATCAGCAAGTTCGAGAGGGTTGGTCGAGTTCACAGAGGTCATGTCAAGCTACGCAAACGTTGGATGGAGACGTACGGACCAGGAGGAGAGATGGGGGATGGCGTGGGCAAGATAAACCTATGGGAGGAAACTTCCATTATGAAGGGTTCAGATATCGTCGCCGAGTATGTTGGCTGTCGAGAGGGCACTGGCTTCATGGCTTATGACAAGTCGGGTGTGGTCCATAGCGAGATAGCAGTCTAAGTCGAACCATCGCTTGCAGTGTAATTGTAGTCACTGATTCATGCAAAGAGTAGCATCCAAGTACTCTGTTGAATTGCCAAATCAATGTGGATCTTCGACTTGCATTGGGACCTGATTGTCACTACCTCACCCTCGCTGTTGGGTGAGCTTAGCCCGTTCAGATCCCCTTAACTTAATCAATCTGGGAGTCGTTATGCCTGGCTAGCAGGAGCTGCAACCCAGGATCGTTTTGGTAGCGTTGCAGCGCGACGGCTTTCCACTCACTCCATTCCAAACCCCCGTCCACGTCCACAGCATCTCGAAGCCCTCGAAACAGGCCCAGGAATCCGTCCCAGTCGGCAAGATCATATCCGCAGCAGAAAGCGAACCTATGTTGTAACCGACCATTTCGAACAAAACGGGCCAAGTCCTGATGGCCCTTCTCCTCAAGCAGGCGTGCAAAAATGACCTCGTCGCTACCCAGGTTGTTTTCACCACGGTAGAAGTCTGCAACTGGTAAAAAGCCAATGGGAGAGTTAAAGGCATGTGCAGGCGAAGCAGTGTGAGCCCACTCCCAGTCGATAATGCCAGTAATGTTGAAACTCTCATCGACCAGAATATGATCGCCTTTGTCGTCTCCGTGTTTCAGATAGAACTTGTTGTCATCAAAGGCTGATGGTAATACCCGCGGGACCAAGTCGAGGAGATATCGGTGGATCAAGTAAGCATCCACTGCTTGCTGGGAGTACATTTCCTCTTGGATGATTAAATCCAAGATGAGTTGAATTGAGGCGATGTGATATTCTTGGAGAGAAGAAAAGGGCCCAATGGCTCGCATTTCGGAATCCACTAGGTTGGTGAGCGATTCCCGAGCAAATGCGCCGACATGGGATTCGCCAGGACTATCAAGCGAGCCAAGAAGATCGAAGGGGGATTTATGAAGCTCTATAAATGTGTCGGCAAGCTGATCCATGACCTTGTTCCTCTGTTCTTGAGTTGCAATGGACCACCTCAGGGACCTGCCGGGTAACTTATCCATTAGAATAAAGCCAACCCCAACAGGGTTGCTAGGATGCTCGAGTGCAAAATCGTAAACCTTTGGGGCGGGAACAGCAGTCTGTTCCAAAAACCTAAGAGTTGCAACCTCACTCTGAATGATGTAATCTCGTAACGCTGCTGGGGGAGACGTGGCATTGAACCTGCGGATACGGGCGATCCATGTGATTCCATCGTCAAAGCGAACTTGAATATGATAGTTCATGCCGCCCATCACAGAGCTTTGTGTCGATCTATCATACCGGAGGGGAGGGATAGAGCAGGGTACGCCTTCGCGTAAATGACTGGCTCGTTCCTCAAGGGCGTGGGTATTGATCATCCCGATCAACTTTGTGAGCTCACGCCTCTCGGCATCCCGGGTTACAGGATCGTAAGAGTCCGCGTCCTGACAATTGACGAGTTAGCGAGTAAGGAGGCGGAGCGAGGGGCAAACTGACCTCCCACCTAGGGCAGGTGTGAAATTTGGGTTCAAGATGGATGGAGCATAAATGGCGGTTGCAGAGCACGCAATCGCCAAAAGTGCGGACAGCAGGTCTATGGCAGCTCTCAAAATCGCACGTCCACAACGGCATTGTTGTGTGCAACCGTTAGAAGAGGAGTTATGCCAGGGTAGGGAAATGTCTGGATGTAGACTGAGCAAGACGTTGTGAAGGAGGTGGGTATGCGTGAGGAAATGGTGGGGACCAGAGAGAACACGTGAATACTACCTCTTGTTTGTTTTCTGGCCCGGCCAAGGAGAATGTGTTGTGATTGGCGGATGGGTGACACGTCTGCCTGGTGGGACAAGATCAGCGACTTCTGTATTTGTCCCGCGTTGTTCCTCCAACCAACGACCCAATCATAGCGCCAAATAATACCAGAAGCTGCAGACGTAATTCTGATCCAAGGTTCCTTGCTCGGCGTGATAAGGGGAATGCGATATTTGCTAGGTTGACGCTTCTACTGGTTGGAGAGATTAGGCCTAAATAGTTCTTAAGGACAACGCTGACTTTAGTATGCTATTTATGAAGTTATATGAAAGCTTAATCCCTTCTTACTGAAGTTTGAGGGTGTTGACAGTGTTCATTATGTTCAGCAATAGGACTTCTTCTGACCGCTGGCTCAGCTATTAAAGGGAAAGCCATGTTCCTAAACAATGACATGTGCATTTCCGTCTATCTACAGATTCGAGCGTCTTTTTACCAACTCCGTTTATCCTCTCCCCAGGATCAACTAGCTCTCCTCCTATTCTAACTCATTTCTTACCGTCTCCTCCAGAAAAATACCAATATCAAGACATTATACACCAACTTGAGAGCTCCGGCCACAATAAAGGCAAGCCAGAACTGGTCCAACCCCGCAAACAAGCCTGTCACGTACAGACCCAAACAGCTACCAACCGTCTTGACGATGTTGATAACACCCATGGCCGATGTACGTTCATGATCGAGAACCCCGGCGGATATGAACGATTGCCGAGGTGCGTTGTCAATCTCGCGAGTTACAATGCGGAAGATGAAGATGACCAACGCAACATATTTATTCCCTGGTACGGAGACCATGAGTAAGGAAATAGAGTTGATGGTGTGGCAGAGCACCATGGTCTGTACTTGACCGATTGCTCTGGATAGGGGAGAGGAGGCCAGGTTGAGCACCGATGAGATGATGCCGGCAGTGAAGGTTGCAGAGCCCAGGGCTCCTTCGGGTATGTCGTACTCTCGTTTGAAAAAGTAGGTCATCCAAGAGATCTGCGCGAGGCCCGAACCGACAAAGTCAAACGCCATGGCGACTGAGAGCTTCCAGATGAAGCTAAAGGACGAAGGGGTAAACAACCGCTTCTCCTGAGAAGCCGTGCTACTAGAAGATATGGTCCTGGAACTAGCAGCGCCATAATCAGGGGAATTGCCGCTGAGAAGAGGCTCCGTCTCGCTCTGCTCCTCGTCGTCACCTTCGTACTGACTAGAAGCCGGGGACGAGCAGCTCTCTTTCTCGATCGCTACGTGCTCAACTTCCGAGCTAAGCAGCAGAGAGCAGAACAGCTTCAGGACGCCAATGCCAGCGTATCCGAGAAATATGATACGGAAGCAGTCAATCTTTTCAACGCCTGAGACTTCCAGCGCATCGATGACCCAGCCGGTGAGGAGGTTGCTAGCGGCAGTGCCAAACATGCCCAGCATGGACCACCAGGCAAACATGTCATTGCATGTCTCTGGTGTGCTGAGACGGGCGATGGCTGACTCTTCAACAGCCTTGAATGGATCAATCTCGTTTGCGCTGCTCTCGTTAGCTCGTTTCTTAGGAACAGAGATGTATTGAACTCACCTCGGATTGATAACTGCAACAATACTGGCCAGCAACAGGAGCCAGAAGTTGTCCAAAAAGACAAAGGCACCACCGCCAGCACACATCAACATTGCGCCGATAGCGGCAGTGACTCTCACGCCCATGCGATCGCCAACATACGTGAGCACAAAACTGATGGCAAGATCACCCACGAGCGTGAGAGTCATAAACAGCCCAATCTGCGTGTCCTCAAAGCCGAGAGCGTTGAGGTACAACGCGAGCACAAAAGTTGTGCCCCCATAGCCAAGCAGCCTCACGAAGCGCAACAAGATGAGAATCTTGAGGTCTCGGCTAGACCGCCAAAGGGCACCAGCTCCTATACTGGAGAAGAAACCCGTTGCAAGGTTCCACAGCCCCATCGTGACCGAGAGTGTCAGGATCAAGGAATGAAAAGAGGAGGATCGGGCCGTGCCGGCAAACGATTGCAAAGTGTAAAGAGAAGAAAAGACCTTGACCGTAAAGTGAATGGCAACGCACGCTAGGGAGACCAAAACTTTTGCATATTTAAGCATCCAGACCCTCCACGGGACCGGAGTAACTGCCGGCAGTTGACCGATCTCTCCGCCAAGCCGATCCAGTACGTGCAACATTATGCGGGCCCGCGGGTCACTCAGGAGGGGAATTCAAGCAGAGGCGGTCTGTCTCAGTTGGCGTAAGCCGGGAGGGTCCCAAGAAAGGTTGGTATCCTTGAACAGGCAAGGCGCGACAGCCGAGGGCTTGGGATTCAAACCCCCTTTGGCTTGGTCAAAGACACGGTTAAAGGGGCGGGATCGCTTAGCATCCAATGAAACATGTTGAGCTACAGTGGCTTACTTCTAGAGTCAGTCTTCTCAGCAGAGGGAGGGCCGTGGGGCCACCATTTTCAAGGAGCTGCCCATCTCTCCTCCCTCTGGGAAATGCCCTCATCTGCGTCAACATTTCCGTCATGCACCCTGCGCCAGTCCCAATACTCTGCGAGCCGCTTCTCGGCGTATCCGGCATAGTCAAAGTCGATAGCCCCGGTCGATGTCTCAGCCTGGATGAGGGCGCAAAGACCCCTTGGCGGGCGGGTCAGCCCGATCTTCAGATCTAGGTACATCTTCCCTGTCGGAGAGAAACTCACCAGTAAAAGCCGGGGAATCCTCTAAACGAGTCCACTTGGGCCATTAAATGATCCACTTGGGCTTCGCTAACGGACGGGATATCTGCATGATCCCCGTCTTGCTGCAGCCGAGCGATTTCGGCGAGATATTCATGGATGAAGTCTCGCCGGGTTAACCTTGTCGGCAGGAGAGAATAGTCGCATTCGAAGCCTGTCCATTCTGCAAAGTGGTTGGCCAGCTCGAATGCCCTTGGACAGTAGGTAGCATGTCTGGCAGACGCCACAAGCGCTGCGCTCAGCAATGCACGACGAGATGTGGAAATGGGATGTATCACTTACTCATAGTCGATGAATCGGACAGATGCAGCCTCAGTGGGTTCGGTCAGATCCTGGACGATGATGTTGCCGCACAAGAGATCGCCATGTCCGAGCACCTGGAGGATGGACCCTTAGTTTGGAAGGGACCGGTGAGATGAGGGAATTGTACCAAAGGTTCAGGTTTGTCGTCATTTAGGAGCAACTTTCCGGTAACGTAGTGAAACTGTTCGCGGAGCAGGGCCTTGTCCGCCTTGGACCGCTTCGGTTGACTCGGGATAGCGTCAAGCCACTTCTTTGCCGTTGCCCAAACGCTGGGCTCATGCTCAAGACCCTTCTGTGGATCCTTGGGCTCGACGATTGGGAGTGTCGCGTGCCACCGAGCAAGTTCTCTCGCGACTCCGCGATAGATGACCGGGTTTGCCATGTCAGAGACGGAGCATGTTCTCCCGTGGATGAACTGGTAGGCGTGGCCATTGGCGAACCGGACCAGGGGAGACGAGGAGAGCTTGTTCTCTGCAAGGAGCTGGTGTACTTTGAGCTCCTCTTCGAATTGTCAGACATGCTTCAAGGAGATGCAAGCGATGGACACAAACTATTGCGATCAATGGTGATATCCGTCCCGTCTCCATAGACCTTGACCAAGACTGCATCATGAGCTGATGCATCACCGGCATCAACGGGCCGATACGTCACCTTGTAAAGCTGCGAGATTCAGCGCTTGCTCATGCGATAGTCAAGTCCACTTACTCCATTCGTAGTTCCCTGCGTCAAGGGCTTAACCTCGAGTCTCTCCTCAACCTGCAAGGCATCGGGGAACAGGAACTCCGAAAGACGGAGGCTTGAGCCCTTGGCGTCGTCCTTGTCAAAGACCTGGTTCACAAAAGGGACTTGCATCTCCACAGCTTTGGGTAGCGAATAGGAGGTGAAAGAGGGAAGATGTTGAAGAGGTGAAAGCTCAACGGACAAGGATAGGCGTCTTGTATTAGAAAGAGAGAAGAGGGAAATGGATGACGCGCAACTTTTTTGCGTGCCTAGGCGATGCATGCAGGACGGGAATGGTGGATCTTTATGTCTCACCCGGCATCTTCCAGGGCGGGACAATCCCATCAGCGGCAAAGATCGACTCTGTAGCGTGGCGCTGAAGTGAGACACTGACTCTCCCGCAACACGACATTCCGCCTCTGTTTGATGACACAGGCGTCATGTTACACCAGTAGAATCTTCTATCGCCATCTGCTCTGGCCTCGCCACTAGACACGGCTGGCTTGGCTGCTGTCCAAGCTGCCGCAGCCGCTACATTCCCGAGATCGCGCAACGCCTGGGATCTGAGGTGGTGCTTGACCGAAAGTCTTGTAAGCGAGCAAGATCTTAAGCCATGGCTTTGTAAAGGAGTCTTGGAGATATAAAAGGCGTCTTCTCACCAGACAAAGCCACAAAAAACCATCTCATACCTTTCATCTATTCACAATGGACTCCAAGAACAGCCTCCTCTACAAGAACTTTCACAAGCATCCCGCGGCCTTGGTCGAATCGGCTTCTGGCATCTACCTTCACACGAGCGATGGTAGAAAGATTCTCGATGCCACCAGCGGTGCAGCAGTTGCATGTCTAGGCTACGACAACAAGGAGGTTCAGAAGGCGGTTGTTGACCAGCTTGTCAGCGTGCCGTACTGTCATCCGGGCTTTTACAAGACCAAGTCTGCCGAGGATCTTGCCGATTTCCTCGTCGACTCTACTCATGGACAAATGTCCAAGGCTGTTCTGTGCGGATCAGGTATGACGAGTGACTTCACGTCATGTGCAAGCGGCGTTAACACAAACCTTCAGGTTCTGAGGCTGTTGAGGTTGCTCTTAAGCTGGCCAAGACACACTTTTCTCATCTCGCTATCCCTCAAACCGAGAGATGCCACTTCATTGCCAGAGTTGGTGCATGGCACGGAGCTACCTTGGGTGCCTTGACGCTTGGTGACTTCAAGGTCCGTAAGGATCCCTTTGTTCAACTCATTTCTCAAAACTCGTCTCGCATCTCAGCTTGCAGTACCTACCGTGGCCTGCAAAAGGGTGAGACTGAGGAAGCGTATGTGCAACGTCTGGCGCAGGAGCTCGACGATGAGTTCCAAAGAGTAGGGCCTAACAAGGTCTGCGCTTTTGTGGCTGAGACTGTTGGTGGAAGTGTAAGCTCGCTGCTCCATGTTGGTGATCAAAGTACTCACTTTCTATAGGCCAGTGGTTGTGCCATGCCGGTCAAGGGCTACTTCCCCGCCATGAAGGCCGTATGCGAAAAGTACGGTGCCCTCCTCATTCTCGACGAAGTCATGTGTGGTATGGGCCGCACTGGATCTCTTCACGCTTTTGAGCAGGAAGATGTGGTCCCAGATATTCTCGTGGTTGGAAAGGGTCTTGGAGCTGGCTACGCTCCCATCTCAGCCGTCATGCTCAACACCAAGCTCGTCGAGTCGTTCCAAAAGTCGGGCAAGGGCTTCGCTCACGGCCAGACATACATGGCTCACCCTCAAGCTGCCGCTGCTGGATTGAAGGTGCAGCAGGTAATTCGCGACACGAACATGGTTGCTCATGTTCAGCGTATGGGAGACTACCTGGGATCAAAGCTTAAGGAGAGGCTGCTCCCCCTCCCCTGGGTTGGAGACATTCGTGGAAGGGGGCTATTCTGGGCTGTGGAGTTCGTCATTGACAAAAAGTCCAAGGAGCCGTTCCCTTACAGCCTCGGACTCCATGGCATGCTTCACTCCAAGGGAATGAGCGAGGGCTATGAGATTTCTCTCTTCAACGCCAACGGTGGCTATGACGGTTACAGCGGCGATCACTTCCTAATCTGCCCTCCTTTCATCGTCAACGAGACTGATGTCGATGAGATTGTGGACCGAACCGCACGTGTTATTGAGGATACCTTCTCAGAGTTGGTCAACTCAGCGGTCTGGGAGAAGATTGCCATCCAGATGGATATTGCTGCCGAGACTCCAGTGGCGGGCATCGCAGTTGGAGAGACACTGGTGTCTGTCAGCTAGGGTAGGTATAAGACTAGCTTTTGGGGTGTTGTAAATAGTTATATAGTATAAATAGTCAAAGCTACATTACATTTCATTGCGCCCATACAGAAAGCTGTCGACCTCACAAGATGGCACATTGATCGTCACGACCTGTTCATAGTCAAGATGTTCAAAATTGTTTATGTACCAAAAGAGCAAGGACTAAGTCCCACTGAAAGGTGGTTGATTCCAGAGTGAGACTATTCTAATCTTGGCGGTAGAGGCTAATGAATGATAGAGAAGATAAAACGGCGCACTCTTGCTCCCCAGAAGCGTATTTCCCATCTAGAAACGCTTCGCGTCCTTCTCAAGCACCGGAATATGTTTCTTGAGCAACGCAATAATCTCCCCGATGCTTGACAAATCCTTCCCTGGGACGTAAATCTCGCTCAACTCCACTATTAGGTCCCTCACCATGCTGCATGTCCACAGGAGCATTCCTGCCTTGAACACAAGTTCCTTCTGTCGTTCACCCTCGGGGTAATCTGAACGAGTTTTCCCACTGAGCACGACGGTGCTATCAGGATGGCTGAGATCCCGGTTGAGCCCAAAAGTTGTAACTCGCAGGAATTCCAAGACCCGCCAGAGAGCTTCCTCTGGTGCTCCTGATCTCGTAGCCACAGGAGGCAGTTTGAGCGCCTCGAAATCCTCGGCCTCCTTCAGGAGGACCGCAGCTCGGTTAAGCTCAGAGTAGGTGTCAGACTCATCGTCTCCAGTGGTTCGGGGATTGTGAGACATAGCTGCAATGGGTGTTTCTTTCAAAAACAGTGGTGTAGTTTGCTGGGTTAAAGAGTCAAATTCCGGTTTCAGTAGGAGTAGTATTGTTGATGTACTGATGATACTGAGAAAGGGGCAGCGGATTGGTCAAGGCAAGAGCAAGTATATATATCTTATTGGATCCCTCAAGCCCAGGAACACATATGCATGCAATTCACTGCAAGGGGGGTATTTCAAATATTCACTACTGTGTTTAACTGTTCTGAATATGCGTGCCCATCGAGGAGAGTAACAGAACATCACAGAGCGCATTTCCAGTGGCAGTGAAGCAGCGAAAAAGCCATACTACAATGAGCGAGTGCACGAGACTTCCCAACGCGTAGCTTATTTAGTTATACTTCATTGGTCATTGTTAACTGTTGATCAACAGAACAAAGGCTCAAGTACGTAAGCGTTCCAGGTGGTCTACCTAGGCTACTAGTTATATGGTATAAATAGTCAAAGCTACATATTACCTTGGACATTGCGTATATGCTTGCTACAAATCTGGCAGTGCGTGACATTATGAATCACTATTTACAAATGAAAGACATATAAAATATTCATACACACATTGCAAAAGAGAAGCCATTATTAAACTACCATAATCTCAACCAAAGTAAGGAGTAAGTGGCAGTGAAAATTGCACGACCAACCTTTAACCTCATCTGGTTCATATCCGATTTAGAAACGGCTACAAACATCTTCAAGCAGCTGAATCTGCGCCTTAAGGTTTACAATAAGCCTCCCAAGCCCATCCGAATCCACCCCGGGGAGGTACGATTCCGACAGCTCCCGGACATCATCCTTGGCCATCTGAAGCGCCTGCCGCAGAGTTTCAACCCTTTCCATGGTTTTGATATAGTCACTCTGACGCTGTTCCAGTGATCCCTGCGGAGAAAAAAGGCGGATGGTCTCTGGTTTCTTGAGAAAGTCGTCCATATCCGAGGTCGTAGCCTTAATACGAGCCAGGATACGTTTGTTATTATCCTTCTTCCAGAGTGCTGGTAGAGACTCGTCCAAGGTTGGCTCCTCTAGCGGAGCCCTGAGTCTGTCGAGCTGGTCTCGGATGGCCTGCATGTCCACAAGCTTGTTTTGGTTGTCGGTGTTGCCGTCGGTGTTGCCAGTCTGAAGGTCAAACTGACCATCTTCAACGGAACGGGGAATCCGATCAGACATTATGCTGACCAGTATTATCTGTGAAATTTGGTGTAATCTGTCGGGCTGGTGAAAGCGTCGTGTTAGTGATGCTACTTTTCAGGACGCAGAGAGAAAGCATACCAACCAAGGCAATGATGAGTATTTATGTCTTATTGGGCCGCCCAAGTCCAAGATCACACACGTATACGATTCATTGCAAGTGAGATGTTTCGAATATTCATCACTGTGTTTAATTGTTCTCTGAATGCCCAACGCGGAGAGTAGGAGAACATCAGAGACCGTTGCCAAGGCAGTGCAAAAGTTAGAAAATTGCTATGCAGCGAACGAACGCACAAAACCTTCAGATCTGTGACTCATTCTTATTCGTCTTTGTTAGTTGTCGGTCTCTGATCCACAGAACAAAGGCCCAACCACATGAGTGTTCCAGCGTGCCTATTGAACAATGATTCGAGCCCCAGGAAGCCTTTGCATCACACAAGAATTCTCAGGGGCTCGATAAGACCGTTGGGCAAGTTCTAGAGGAGTCACACGCTTAATTTCTACCAGGGTTAGTTAGTAACTACAGATCGAGGTCCGTCATCAGTCCTACTTCAACAGCCAGTTAACCCATGAAGGGCCGGGCTTCGATCATAATAAAGAACACGCTATCAACACATCATAGCATCATATCCCAATGAACACAGTGGCCTTTTTTAGCCTTTATGCTGCCTGGGGTAGAATATTCGTACCTATCTGCATCATGGAAGCTTAAACATCTCACAGGGTACAAATTCAACAGCATTGTAGGCCACCCCGCCTGAGGTTCGGACCTGAACGCACTGGAAAGATCAAGTCAATGACACGGCTGTGGAATACAAATGATACTATTAGACCAATTCTGCTACCTATAAATTGGGAACCCCGGTGCAATGGTGTTTCTCCCTACAGTGTGAATTAAAAGAAAGGAAAGTCTGTCTTGTCGACGCCTAAGCATTCTCCCTGCTCAACCAGTGTTGGTCAGAAGTCAAAGTGACTTTTGGCTTGTCATGTCCTCACAGTATGTCGCTTACACAGCTTCAACCACATTCTCAAAAAGTGCGCCGTTAAGGCAGTCGACGATGGAGTCGCCATTCGTCAACCCCGAAGTCAGACAAGTCAACGCCGCTCCCGCAGCAAAAGGACCGAGGGCAGCCGTGCAAAGTGGCACATTAACAGCGAGTTCAAGAACTGAGTTGCCAGCAAGGTCAAGGCATGGCTCGGGGAGTGACGTGATGCAAGTCTCAGAGAGGGCGTCTTCAAGACATCCAACAACAGTCTCACCCAGGGTGTTTTCCGTAATGAGATCGGTACCCAAGCAAGTGGCGACATTGCCGACAGCAAAACCTCCAAGCGCAACCGTGCATACAGGGATGGCTGCGATAAGAGCAAGACCATCTGTATCGGCAAGGTCCTGGCAGGGTTCAGGTACCGTCGCACAGACTGGCTCTGGGGTGGGAGTTGGTGTAGGTTCCACACAGAGAACGCCGTCAGTGATGGTACCTGTACCAGAGTCGAAGCCAAAAGCAATACGCAGGCATTCAACGATGCTAGCGCCCTCGGTTGATGCGGTGATGGATCCAGTGGCAAGACAAGTTGCTGCGCTTCCAACCGCAAAGGGACCGAGAGCAACAGCACAAACAGCGACATCTGCGACAAGTTCCAGGCCGTTGGATTCTTCGAGGCTGACACATGCATCCGGAAGAGTCGTGATGCACCTACCCTCCAGAGCTGTCAAGATGCAATCCGCAATGTCCGACCCAACTGTAAAGATTGAGAGGGACGTCGCGAGACAGGTGGCGATGTTTCCAGCTGCGAATGGACCAAGGGCCGCAGTGCAAGTCAGGATCACGGGAGCGAGAAGAAGACCGTTGGTTGTCTCAAGATCCTCGCAGCCTGCTGGGAGAGCGACGTCACAGAAGGAGGTGGTAGAAGTAGGAACTGGGATGCACTCAGATGCCGAAGTCTCAACGGGCTCGGGTGTTGTTGAACTGGGAGCGATAGATGTGGTGGCTTCCTCCGAAGTGGCTGCAGCGGTCGTCGTGGGCTCCTCTGAGGAAATGGCAGTAGTCTCAGCAGCTGTGGTGGTGTCGATGTCAGTGCTGGAAGCGATGTCCGATGTAGCCGGCTCTGAGGAAGACTCCGTGGTCTCGGCAGCCGAAGAGGTATCGATGTCGGTGCTAGAAACCACGTCTGAAGTGGCGGTCTCTGAGGAAGCCTTGGTGGTCTCGGCAGCCGAAGAAGTGTCAGCATCAGTGCTAGTAGCGGGCACGGTGGAAGAATCCGAAGAGTCAGAGGTTTCTGCATCGGTCGAGGTTGCAATGGCTGTTGAAGACTCGATCGCATCATCCGAAGTAGTCTCAGCGGTTGTTGAGACTGCATCTTCTGAGGTGGCGGTTGTCTCAGCGGCAGCTGTCGAAGCCTCGGAGGTATCAGTGGAGGCCAATGCAGTCGAGTCGCTGCTTTCCGACGCGTCGCTGGTGGCCACTTCTGTGGAAGCCTCTGACACGGTAGAAGAAGCCTCCTCGGACACCGCTGATGTAGAGGCGGCAGTGACATCTGAAGTGCTGGTGGCAGCATCTGTGGAAGGCTCAGAGGCGGTAGAAGAGGCTTCCAGGCTAGATGAGGGGGCCTCTGAAGACTCTTCGGGCGCTGTTGATGTAGAAGCGGTAGCGATGTCTGAAGTGCTGGTAGTAACTTCTGCAGAAGGCTCTGGCGCGGTGGAAGAGGCTTGAGGACCAGAAGACGAAGTCTCTGAGGACTCTTCGGATGACGATGCGGATGTAACGGCGCTAGCAGTCTCTGAGGTGCTGGTTGCTGAAACTGACTCGCTTCCTGAAGCCTCAGATGATACTGGCGCTGCGGAAGATGTTCCCAGAGCATCACTGGTTCCAGCCGCGCCAGAAGACGTAGTAGCTGCAGAGGAAGGCTCCAACACAATCACAGTACCAGTAGGATCAGTTCCAGATGGTGGCAGGGTCAAGGTCGTGGTCGCAGTGCCAGTGTTGATGCCGGTGATGGTGGTAAATGGACCAGTGAAGGTGGTGCTGGGAGCAGAAGACGAGGGCTCCAGGACAATTACAGTACCAGTTGGATCAGTTCCGGAAGGAGGCATGGTAATCGTTGAAGCTCCGGTAGCAGTACCAGTGTTGACGCCCGTGATAGTAGTGAATGGCCCAGTAAACGTTGTGCTAGGGGCTGAGGTGGAAGGCTCCAATACAATCACGGTACCGGTAGAATCAGTTCCAGATGGGGGCAGAGTAAGAGTTGAAGTGCCGGTACCAGTGCCGGTGTTAACACCAGTGATAGTGGTAAAAGGCCCAGTGAAAGTAGTGACAGGTGCCGAGGAAGAGGGCTCCAGAATGATCACTGTTCCAGTAGGATCGGTTCCAGACGGTGGCAAAGTGAGAGTTTGGGTGCCAGTCGCTGTCCCGGTGTTGACACCGGTAATGGTGGTGAAAGGCCCAGTGAATGTAGTAGCGGGGGATGAGGATGAAGGCTCCAATACAATGACTGTGCCAGTAGGATCAGTTCCAGAAGGGGGCAGGGTGACTGTCACAGGTCCAGCGGCAGTTCCAGTGTTGACGCCAGTGAGAGTGGTGAATGGCCCCGTAAAGGTTGTGACGGGTGCCGAAGAGCCAGGCTCCAGAACAATGACGGTGCCTGTGGTGTCGGTACCAGATGGGGGCATGGTGAGAGTTGTGCTAGCGGTGCCAGTTCCGGAAATGGTGGTGAAGGGACCGGTGAAGCTAGAAGCGGGGGAGGAAGAAGAGGGTTCGAGAATGATGACTGTGCCCGTGGGATCCGTCCCAGATGGAGGAAGAGTCAACGTTGCGGTGGCGGTCCCGGTGTTAATGCCAGTGACGGTTGTGAAAGGACCAGTAAAGGTAGATGCCGAAGTTGGTTCCAAGATGACAACAGTTCCGACGGTATCAGTTCCCGAGGGGGGCATCGTCAGCGTTGCTGTAGCAGTCCCAGTGTTGATGCCGGTTATCGTAGTGAAAGGGCCGGTGAAGGTAGACGTCACAGTTGGCTCTAGGACAATAACGGTGCCGACTGTGTCAGTTCCAGAAGGAGGCAAGGTCATTGTCGTCGTCTCACTTCCCGTGTTGGCACCGGTAATGGTAGTGAACGGACCGGTGAAAGTGGACGCTGAGGTCGGTTCCAGGATCACAACGGTACCAACCGTGTCGGTTCCGGAAGGAGGCATAGTCAGGGTCGCTGTGGCAGTTCCAGTATTGATACCAGTGATGGTGGTGAACGGACCAGTAAAGGTTATGGCCGAGGATGGCTCCAAGATGACAACAGTACCAACCGTGTCAGTGCCAGAAGGGGGCATAGTAAGCGTTGCTGTGTTCGTTCCAGTGTTCATTCCGGTGATTGTAGTGAAAGGTCCCGTGAAACTGCTCCCTTGCGAGGTAAGGGTGGGCTCAAGAATAATGACCGTTCCGGTAGAGTCGGTGCCAGATGGAGGTAGCGTCAGCGTGCCAGTGGCGGTTCCCGTATTGACTCCGGTAATGGTGGTGAAGGGGCCAGTGAATGATGAAGACTGAGCGCCGGAACTGGGTTCGAGAACAATGACGGTCCCAGTAGAGTCAGTGCCCGAAGGGGGCATGGTAAGCGTGGCGGTACCAGTGCCAGTGTTGATGCCAGTGATGGTAGTGAAGGGGCCTGTAAAGGTCGTGGGATTGGCTGAGGTCGGGTTGACAACAATGACTGTTCCAGTAGAATCGGTTCCCGAAGGAGGAAGTGTCATGGTTGTGGGCCGAGTGGCTGATCCATCGGAGCTGGTGATGGTGGTGAAAGGGCCAGTAAAGCTCCCTCCAGAACTGGTACCTGGGGTCACGACAATGACAGTTCCGGTGAGATCCGTACCGGATGGAGCAAGAGTTAGAGTCGCGGGCCGAGTAGCGGATCCATCAGAACTCGTGATTGTGGTAAAGGGTCCCGTGAAAGTCAAGGAGCTAGAGGGCTGCACAACGATGACGGTTCCGGTGCCGTCTGTTCCAGAGGGTGGAAGAGTCAGGGTGGATGGTTGAGAGCCTCCAGCGCCAATGCTTGTAAGAGTCGTGTAGGGACCGGTGAAAGTATTTCCGAGGCTGTTGGAAGGATTGACCACAATGACTGTTCCGGTAGGGTCTTGGCCAGAGGGGGCTTGGGTGAGGGTTGTCGGTCGAGATCCGGGACCATCGCTGGTGATCGTGGTGTATGGGCCAGTGAACAGGGACTCGGGGTTACTGATAAAAGCAAGACAGTTAGTCCAGGTTACAAGTAATTCTTCATGATCCATACCCAGTCGAGAATCTCGTAGATGTTCCCGTAAGAGTAAACGAGGTCACAAGAGTCGTTGGCGCATTCGTGATGGGGATCGTGGTTCCGCCAATCGTGAGAACCGTGTTGGACGGAAGAAATGTACTGATGTACACAGGCTGAAGACCAACAACAACTTCAGGCTGTACTTCCACGACGTGTATCCCATCAGGGCAGTCTGGGTCACCCTGAGCCTGAGCTGCTACACTGAGGCCGTGTAAAAGCAGCAGTTGGGGAAGGAGGTGAAGGAAACGCATTGTAGCAACGAGTGAGAAGCTGAAGTGAGCTTATGATTTGGAAAAGATCTGAAAAGAGTGAGAGAGTGTGATGATTGATGCTAGATGCTTCAACTCTCGACGCAGAGTGTGATATTTATGGTTAACAGAACTCAGGTCAGATCATCTTTTACAAACAGACTCAAAGAGGGAAACTTGCAAGCAATGCAACTCTAAAGGCTCATTTCATGATCATTACCTTTCGAGAGACATCTGAGCCCCCTCAACAAGAGGTAGAAGCCGTGTCCGGAATGGAAAGGGGGAGAATGGTCCATGTGAAGCTGCTCTCAACTGTGATGTCTCTCAGGCCAAGAGCATTGAGTTGTCATTTCAGCTCATGTTGCCATCTTCAGACTCTTCTCTGGAATTCAGTTGGAACTTTATGTTTGAGTTCAATAGAGATGTGCCAAATCCCATCTGGTGTGGTCCGCTCGAATCTTGGCCCGTCTTTCGCGGGCGGGCAGCATCACCATCGCTTTCGTGGCCCAACTCGGTGATCCTTCTGCCTCCCCAAGCGTGTTCAATCCAATACTCATTGCCCTGATATTTGACATTTCAAGTCATCATAAAAAGAAAATGGCTGAGTGAGTAGAACGGAGTGGTGACGATGAAGGCGGACTGTTTGTGAAAGGAGACTGCGATTGCCCTCTCAAGCCCCTTTACAGAGAGGAGAAAGAGTTTACTCCTAGAAACTAGTGCAATCACACCGCTTGCATCATTTTTCTTTGTGTTTCTGTTCAGCTCTGATGGTCATCCAGCCGCTGAAAAGGAGTCTCTATTCATGATCGAGACCTACGAGCACCATGAGTTAGATACCCAATGCGGAACAGCGTTAAGCAGAGTAATTACACAACATCCATTTCCCGTGCCCTTTAAGTTTAAGCGAGGTCTGAAGCGCCGAATCACGGAATTCCGATCTGGTCTTGGGATATCAGTGTGGTGCCGAGGGGGGACACTTGGCATCACACAGCCGCAACTTTGGAAGAAACATCAGCTTCACTACTTGAATGTGTCGTTTAAAAAAACGTTCATTCTTCATTCCTCACTTGAATTGGTGTGTTGATGTATTGATGAGCAACAGGAAGCAGCAGCTAACAAGAGGACCATAAATACTCCCCACGGCACCTTGCCTCTACAGCATTACACCAGCACAGCTCCCCACGCACCCACACCCACTCGTTAATCGTCCACTCGTTTAAACATGCTCTTCTCACTCGTTCTCGTTTTCCCTGCCGCTACCCTGGCGTCTTGGCTCCCAATTAGACCAAGACAAGCGTCGACTCCTGATGATTGCACCCTCACGAGCACTCTTCCCCCTGTAACGCTGACCAGCGTCTACCCCGTGTCGACTATTGCCGACTCGGGACAGGGTCAAGCCACTGGGGGAGGGTCCCTTATTTACACCACTGCCTTGCCAACACTCGGTCCGAGTGGCCCCGGCCTGCACACCTACACCATCACTGCGCCCTGCCCCTCGGCAGAGTGCCAGCCACCCGCCGCTACTGCATGCCCTCCCGGGTTCACTACAGCTGTCGTGGTCTGCCATGTTTGTGGAGAGAGCCCGGTAACTACAGTTTTGACTCTCCCTGGGAAAGCCACGGCATCGCCCAACACGGATGGCTCTACGAATGGCTCCGCGGATGTTCCCGGGCATGGCTCCGACAGTGGGGTAAACGGTTACCCGGCATGCAAAGGCGGCTCTTGCGTCCTTGGCTCAGCTCCTACCGTGTCTGGGTTTGTCAAGACTACTCGCCCAACATCGTTGGATCATGCCAGACCAACCGGACCCTTGTCTTTGCCCGAGATTCCGGCTGCCAACAACGCCGGAGCTTCTGTCCCGTTGCCGCAGAGCCCCTCTTCGCCTAGTGCTCTCCATCCCCAGGATCAGCCTCAGGGTGATCGCCAGGGTGCTCCCGGAGCCGCAGACATCCCTGAACACCAGCCAATCCCTGGATCTCCCAAGCCTCTTAGTGCGCCACCACCAGCGGGCTCAGGATCGTCCCCGGGATCCTCTGAAACTGTCGAAAAGCCAGCCACAGTTGGAAACCCGGGTACTGGATCCTCAGACAGTTCTAAGAAACCAGAGGCTCATACTCCCAATGTCCCAGAATCGTCAGACTCTGAGTCTTCGGCCTCGTCTTCATCACCCTCAACGCTCCCTGAGTCCTCCACTAGTCAACATCCCGAAAACCCTAAGCTGCCAGAGTCCCCCGAGGCGCCTGTTTCTCCTACCGTGCCCAACGCCCAGCTACCGGCGACGAACTCCCAGGGTGGTACTGTTGGAGGAGGAGCGGCACCAGAAGTTGTCTCGTCTCCTGAAGCCACACCAGGCGCCCCGACAGCTGTTGTTATTACAGGGTCTGCCCCTGGAAGCAGGGTGGCCAAGACTACTACCCTCGGGACCGTCGTGGTTGCTTTTCTTTTCTGGCTCCCTCTTTATGCCCACTAAGTGGGTATGGAGAGGTCTCGGCGATGTTTGCCGAGCAGAATAGCATCTCGGCGGTTAGTCACCGGAGCCCCAATATGTGCCCCAATATATCTTTCTTGGTGTAGCCTCTAGGAGCATAAACTCAATACAATGCGAGTCATTATTGGCCCATGCTCTGTTAGTTCAAGTAGCTGTAGCATGGTAATAGACTCTTTATAGCTGAAAACGTACTGCATTGACTCAGATGACGCGCCGTTAGATGATGTATCAACAACGGCTGCTCTCGCTTAAGCACCGTCCACTTTTTAAGCATTTTTGTTAGACATTGGCAGTTCCGCTATTGGTTATTGTGTGTGATCGCCAGCTGAACAGGGGTGCGGCCCGAGGACGCGGGCAGGGTATTGAATATCCATCGAATCATATTTTTTGGTCAATTTCGCGTATGGGTCTCGTTAAAAGAAAGTAAGCTATTACTAAGGATTAGCGTGGTCCCAGTTATGCATTTATCCGTAGTGTCTCGGCAGACGAAGTCATGATGGCGGCAGGGGCATTATGACTTCTAAGACTTCTGCCACTCCCGATGGGAGGGAGGGCGGTCGAGACCAAACCTGCCAAGGCCGAAAATGAAAAGCCTGAAACAGCCGAGAATTCGGTCTCTAAGCGCGAAAATGAGGAGCTGAGCGTATCGACATCTAGAGAAGCGCATGGTACAGATTTTCCGGATACCGACGGTGTTGTCATGGGTAATCACAAGGACAGATGCATTAACACATTTTCTTCCTATACAGCTTATGCAGCCAATTTTCAACACTCTCTCGTAATTATGAGGCAAATAAAATAAAATTAAAGGATTAATTAATAATAATAGCAATTATCCTAAGAAAAGAGCTCTGAAAACTTTTACTTCCTCTTAGGATTGTCAACGAAGCGCATGAGGGTGAAGCTACCCTGTAGCTCGGGATGACTCAACCCGCGTTTCCCCCCAACACAGTACCAGACCTCAGCTTACAAACAATCTGCAAAAGGCCACGTGTGTTAACTTGATCCTCGAAGCTGAATGGTGCCGCTGAAGACAATCGCCCCTGGCCACCTCCCATTGCGCTTCCTACCACAAGTTACTTATTTGGTCATCAACTCCGGTGGGGGCTTCGCGCCTGTCATGATCACGTTGTCAGATCACTCATGATAGCCCCAACAAGGCTCACTTATTTTCATGTAATGCAGGCCAAGCACATTCATCAATACAAGACAGTTCCTTTTGACCATGATTGGTTTTTAACGCGGTGGTCCAAGCCAGCCCACACACGTATCTGGGTTATGTACAGTTAAATAATATTTCCAGAATCGAAACACCCAGTTGGCAGCGTTCCTTGACCCACAAAATGCCTCCTTAAATCCTTCCCATACCATAGTTATCATTCACATAACCCTTAACCTCTCCGTACCGAATAGGGGTGACCAGGTTAGACTTGTACTTGCCCAGCTCAGACAGAACAACAGTATCCTTGCGGCTAGGCACAGCACCCGAAGAAGTGTAGGCATTCATCTCACAGTTACGTCCAAGCAACGAAGCACAACTAGTGCGTGATCCGCTATCAGGAACGTTGAAGATCTTGCCCACCTTGCTCGCATCGGTGATGGGGGTCTTGGAGTTCTCGAAGCGATTATCTTCCACGAGCACGCGCCCACTGGAGGAAATGTCAAAGTTGTGGCCGGTGTTGTAGTTGAAGTAGTTGTTGACGGCTTGCACGGTCTGGGTGCCCTCAGAGGAGCCGATCTTAGGGGCGCGGCCGGAGCGGTCGTGGAGGTAGTTCTTGTCGAGAGTGATCTTGTCGCCCTTGCCACCGATGATGATGGTCCAGTAGTGATCGTTGTTGCAGGAGTTGGAGAAGTCGGTGCGGCCGTCAAATTCGGTGTTGGAGATGGTGACGTGGGAAGCCTCGTAGCTGCGTGTGTTAGTGTGAATCGACATTGGTGAAAAGGGATACGTACTGAGAGACAAACATGTGTCGGCCGGTGCGGCTGATCTACAGAGGGTGAGTGTTGTTCAGTCCCTGACCATCGTGGGGCCATACCTTGCAGTGGCCAATCCAGACACCGTCGTTGCTAGATAGGCTGATAGCATCACCACCCAGACATACTGAGGGTTGAGGTTCTGCAAAAGTCAGTAATAGCTCCGTAATGCTCCGGGATAACCTACATCAATGTGAATGTTCTGAATAATAATGTTCTTGGCGCCAGTGTTGAAGCGAAGACCCTTGCCAAGCAAGACACCCTTGTTTCCAACACCAACAAGACTCTTGTTGCTACCAACCGGCATACCGATGTAGCTAGCCTTGCCGTACTTGACCTGAACAGGCTTCTCGTTGCTGCCGTAGCCGCTCATCTTGACGGTGCTTTGGCCTCCGTTGGCAGCGGTACATCCACTCGTCAGACGACAGCCCGTCTCGGTGACGTTCCCTTCAGAACCAAGGAAGTTGAAGGTCTTGTCAATCATGATGACGCGCGGGGTGTTGTCGGACAGCCACTATTTGAGTCTACCATAGTTAGTAGGTAATGTTATTCGCAACCTGGAGAATATACTGGGCAATGTCCTTGGGCTTCTGAGGAGTAGCATTGCCACCACCGGTGACGCCCTTGGCAAAACCATAAGAACTTCCAACGACCTGGCATAGAGAGGATGAGACGCCTCCAAGGAGAACGAGAAAGGGAGCGAAATGCATGATAAACTTGATGCCGCTTTGATACCAAGCTGGAATTGACTACGGACTTGATTAGAAGCCGAAGCAAGACGGCTACTTGCCTTCGGTTTTATAGCCAAACATCTTCACTTCTCATACAGCCAAGACTCTCCATACGTATGATTCTCTACAAATATTCCATCGCGGACATGAATTCTCCGGGTCAGGTAGGGCGTGGTGACTGGGATATCAGTCCTCGATTCTCGCAAGGCGTGGTTACCAGGATGTCGATAACGATTCGATAACGATAAACCCGCTTAGCCATCCGATAAGGATATCGGTCCGAGGACTTGTGAACGCTACCGAGGGACGGGTGCCACCCTGAAGCGAGTGTGGATATTCTCCATGCCTCGGTATGAGTCCAAATGAGCAGCAAAGGGACGACGCTGCACAGATTTGAGTAGTCAAACAAAGTAATGTACTACATCTGATGAACTATGCGGTCAAGCGAACTAAAAAATTAGCCTTATTTTGAAGCTTAAACATTGGACGAACCCCTACTAAACGCGTATAGCACACACCGTTTCAACAGCTCGTATTTCGCTCCTCATTTCTCACTTGACTAACCCCCTACAACGCGTAGAATTTCCCAAATCCCAAGGTTGAAACACGCCTTGCGGGCTGCGAGCCTTCCGAACCAAGACCCCTGAAACACGGCGAGTAGAATTGGCTAGGACCTTCAGGTGAAGCAACCACTGGCTCCAACTCAATTCCACCAATCACGTCACACGTCTTGAAGAATAATTTAAAACCCTTTCAACTCTCTCGCCAAGATTTTTAATATTTTCCTGCTTATTATCCTTTCTTTTGAGTTTCATCTTGTTATTCTACAATCGTTTCTTATCCATCATTCATTCGTTTTTTCTTATCAACAAAACCTACCTTCGTTTCAACCAACATGAAGTCTGTCTCAACTCTCCTAGTTGCTCTAGCTGGTCTGGCGCAGCTAGGCGCCTCTCAGAGCGTCGTCGGAAAGGCTGAAGGCTTCGCCAAGGGCGTCACGGGCGGTGGCAAGGCGACTCCCGATCACCCGCAGACCATCCAGGAGTTGACCAAGCTGCTCACCGACAAGCAGCCTCGCGTCATTGTGCTTTCCAAGGAGTTTGACTACACCACCTCTGAGGGTACCGAGTCTGGAAATGTCTGCGCCAGCTGGGGCACAGGTGACAAGTTCCAGAAGATTATTCAGGATGATTGTGGTGGCAAGCCTGCTTCGCGGGAGACGTGGAACAAGGCTGCTAGGACTCCTATTGACGTTGCCTCTGACAAGACCATTCTGGGTGTGGGTGACAAGGCTGGTATCAAGGGCAAGGGTTTGAGAATGCGTGGTGGTGTCAAGAACATCATCATCCAGAACATCCACGTTACCGATCTCAACCCCAAGTACGTCTGGGGTGGTGATGCCATCTCTTTCGATGGCGCCGACCAAGTCTGGGTTGATCACGTCACGGTAACCCATCCGCTTTCCTCACTTCAAATACCTTTCTAACAGTGATAGACTGCGCGCCCCGGCCGCCAGCACTACGTCTTCGGCTTCAACCCCAGCAAGCGCATCACGCTATCCAACAACTTCATTGACGGCCAGTCTCCCTACTCTACTGGAGGTGACGGCTACCACTACTGGACTTTTGAGATGGTTGGCAAGGACGACCAGATCACCATGCAAAACAACTACATCAAGCGTACCGCTGGCCGCAGCCCTGCCCTCAGCGGCAAGACTCTTCTTCACGCCGTCAACAACGTCTGGGAGGACAACAACGGCCACGCCATCGAGGGAGGCGAAGCTACCGCCCGCGGCATCTTTGAGGGTAATGTCTTTATCAACGTAAAGACGATGGTTTCCGACTACAAGGGTCGTCTCTTCACTGCCCCCAGCTCCAACACGGACTGCCAGCTTGCCCTCGGCCGAGCCTGCCAGACCAACCTCCTCCAGAACTCACAGGGTGGCTTTGACTACAAGGACACTTCCTTCTTCTCCGAGTACTCCAGCTTGAACATTGCACCCGCTGTTTCCGCTAACAAGGCCAAGACCTCTGTGCCTCAGAACGCCGGTGCCGGCAAGGTCGATACCGCCGGAAGCTCCGCCGCTGCCGTCGATAGCAAGGCCACCGCTTCAACCACCAAGGCCCAAGAGGCCAAGCCGGCCGCGACTCAGGCTTCCAAGCCCGCTACGGAGCAGCCCAAGACCTCTGGTACTGTTGCTCTTTATGGTCAGTGTGGCGGACAGGGATACACTGGCGCTACTACTTGCGCCCAGGGCAAGTGTGTCAAGTCCAACGACTGGTACTCCCAGTGCCTGTAAAAGCCAGCATATCTATCTTTGCCCTGAAGATAGAGTGCATGGTTTTCTTCCATTCTGTATTTAATATTCTAAACAAATTTAATCCCAATGTTCTGGACACAGCCTCTTCTGAGAGGTGACCACAACACCAGAAGAACCCAGCTAATATCCAACCTGCCTCATCCGCCGTCCTTCTCAGTCTCTTACAGTCTCTTACATTCGTAAACGCTGATTGGCCTCTCCCTCCACTATTTGAGATACCCCCTCGTTCGGCAGCGACCCCATTGGCACTACCTTTGGTGGTGCTCACGTCAATGACAAGAGTCTAGTCTCGCCTCTTGTTACTGTATCTCATGTTAGATGGCTGCGCCCCTTTGTTACAGCTCTCTCACCTTGGTCTTACTTTTGAAGCCAATCAAGAATAGATCTCTGTGGTACTTTTTGGACGGTATCTGGACGCCACTGCTCTCCTCGTTCCTCAACACTTTTGCACAGCTCATCAAATGCCATGCAGACAAGCCGCGTCTGCTGACAGTCCACGAGCGCTTGGTGGTTGAGACCAATCAATGAATGCCGAGGAAACATGATGGGGAATAGATTTTCGAGGCTCAAACAGATCCTCTGATCTGCAGGCTTCCCTTTGGAAAGGTTCTGGCGAAGAGGTTGGAGCATAGGTACGCAGTTCTCATCTGGTGGTAGGATGCCAAAATAACCCGAGGACTCTAAGAGCTCCCTGAGCAGTCTTAGATCTGTTGTCGCTGCCTGGTAAACTAGGACTATCGTGTCCTGTGTGATCCCGACTTGCTTGAGCTTGGATGCAACCTGGTGCACAGTCATGCGGTCAATGCTTGGTAGGCGAGATGGTGAAAAAACGGCCGAAGCTTTTGACCGACTTAACCATTTCATGAAAGGATACGGTTTTAGCTCATTATGATCGATTCCAGTCTGATGCTCGATGGTGGTGTTGATGAGAGTACGCCCAGAAACTCGTTCAATGACGGCAAATTCCCATAACTGTTGCGAGGAAGGCGAGTATTCATCATCGAGAATAACGAGTTCTGAACCATGGCGATGTCCCTGCTGAATTTCGTCTATCCGACGAAGCACTTTTCTGTAATTCGACGGAAAGGTCCACGTTTTCCGAGTCGCAGAATTGAATATCTCCATGGCCCGTCTCGGATCAGCGACCCTCTTCGCTTGGTACGTCCTTGCCATGAAGTGGCTTATGTGCTGAGGACATTTCCCCACGCCATAAAATGACGGCTCCTTGCAGTCTCGCTCCGTGCATTCCTCGCTTACACTGTCGGACATTAGACCATAGCTGCCAAGGAGTTTAGACATGGCATTATAGTAATGACATGGAACGCATCGGCAGTCCAGTTTGAGTCTAGAAGTAGGACGAGACTTCTCCTCTAGCCAGAGACGCGCCGTATCCAAATCCACAACGATACTCTCTGGGCATCGATTAACGCAAAGGTGGTCCGGACAAGAGCTTGGGCCGACACATGTAAGGCCTAGGTTTCTGAGTGACACCTTGCAATACTTTCTGCAATCTGTTCGATACCACGGTCAGCAAGTCAGGTAAAGGAGACTAGAGGAGTAAAACGTACCCTCCCACCGAATCGTGTTCTGTTGAAGAATATGGAGTCGATGCTCCTTTGAGAGTACACCACAATCAAAATCGTATGAAGCTGCTTGTTCCAGAAACTGCAGCACGCCTTCGTCTCGCTGCTTGTCATCGCTCCCGCTTGCAGTGGGTTCGTCATCATCATATAGCTCTGCGTCCAGTAGCCTGGTATTTTTCACCAACATCTCCGAAGAGTCGTTGCATTCGTCTTCATCCACTAGGTCGACCCGCATGCACTGGATAATTTCCAAGAACAAGAGCAAGCTACTGCGGAATGTCAATGATTCCAATTGCTGAGGAACAAGCTCGTCAGCGACGCCAATGTGGTCACGCCTGATATGCATATCAAAGTGTGTCGTTATTGTGCGGGCATTGAACGGCTTGCGAGCTACAGAGCTCCGGCATATGGAGATAGGACACAAGAACAGCCCCTGAGTCGAGTGATTGACATCAGCTGCATGCTGCGAAGCATCTGTGCTAGTTTCGAATCGCTTATAGCAATTTGGGTGCGGGCAGAAAAAAGGATGGGTATGCAGTTTCGCGTGGGTAGTAGCTTGCGCTGCGGTCGTGAAAGCCGATCCGCATGTGTACTCTTCTGCAACAGGGCATGGGAACTGGATTCCAAGATGGAGCTCCGCATGAGCTCGAGCATTCGGTTTGTTTGTGAATACTGCATGACAGTCGAACTGTTTGGCGACAGGGCAAGAATATAATACTCCGATATGTGCAGTATTTGCGTGTATGCGAGCGCCGTCTGTGCCAGCGAAAGTAGCACTACAGTTTTCTTGCTCTGCGAGAGGGCACGGGAACCGTTTTTTTTTCATGCTGTGATCTGGCATGTCGGTCTGCCGAAGTGGTTTCAGTAAACATCTTTGCGCAACTGTACTCATCGGCGAGCGGACAAGGGTGCCGCATCCCCTCGTGCGCTACCTGGGAGTGCCTGCGAGCAGTGGAGAGATTACTGAAAACTTTATTGCAACCGTATTCTTTCGCCAAGGGACAGAAGTACTCTCGTGTTTCGTGAGTTCGGCCATGTTGGTTTGCGGAATCTTGACACTTGAAGACAGAAGTGCAGCTCTCTCTCTCCGCATAAGGGCATGGATATATGACTGTCTCGTGCTTCCGTTGGGCATGCTGTCGTGCACCGTTGCGAGTGGTGAAGGTCATTGTGCAGCTTTCCTCCTTTGCAAAAGGACATGGGAACTGGCTGTTTCTGTGCTTGGTCTCAACATGCGGCCGTGCCCCTCCAAAAGAAGAGAACCTCGATGTACAGGAGCTTGCTTCTGCAAGCGGACAAAGAAATGTCTTTCCTGCATGTTCAGAGCGAAGATGCTCCCCCAGACGTAGAATTGACGAGGCTGTCACCGTACAGCCGAGCTCTTCGGCGAAGAGGCATTTGAACCTACCATCTTCAGTCTTGTGAACCGGTGCTACATTGTGGCTGAGGAGGGCATGGCAGGATGCCTCCGACTGACTGCTGAAAGTCTCACTGCAGTCATGTTTCTTGGCGTAGGTGCATGGGAATGACTGCAAGGTAGAGCAAGGTTAGCACACAGTACAGGTTGCAATGGAGGCATTTCTACCATGGACTCTCGGTTCGGCAAAGGATATGTGAGTCGCGTAGCAGACGTGGTCTGCCTTCTGGTTCGTCTATTTCGTGCCATGGTGACAAGCAAGCATCGAGATGAAGAGCGTGTTGCTGGGCTGTACCTGGTCCAAGGTTGGTGTCAATTGAGCCAGCATGAGGGCGTCAGAGACAAAATGGGAAGAGGCTGGCCTAGCAGATAGTTTGCTGATAGTGTGATGATGAGTCTGTTGAGTCTTGCTCTTCCATTCTCTGAATATTCCAATGCTTCTTATACTGGTCTCCCGGCCTCGTTTCCGCTCAGCACCGGCCAAAAGTCCCTGTCTCCTTCCGCTCCTCCGTAGCCATCTCGCCGCGTGTGCTCGTCATCGTCCTTCCTATGACAAGCAGATAGCTGGTGGCCCGATTGGGTCTGCAGCCTCGCTGCACTCTTACATCGCTCGTGACAAGGAGAAGGTGATGACTTTTATCCCTTGTGATAGGAGAGGTAGTCAGTCGAGAAAATAGATGTGTTGTTGAAGCTATCGCGAGCTCATTCTAACACGCTAGGTACTTGATTAACAGCTAGGTCACGGTGTTTTGCAACTTCGCCATGGCATGCTGATAACTATATTCTTCGATGCGTGTTTTAGTCGGCGTCATGAGTAACTACTCCCTTATTTTACCGTATTGGGGTTTAATGCCGTCATGTATTGATAACTGTATCCTTTGCTGTAGCGGCTGGCGGTCTACTGTGGACTCGTCATTAGACAACGATGACAGGGATGTTGATGCCGTGTTGTTCTTATCGGCAAAAGGATCATGGTCCAATGAAGAGCTTTCTAAAACAACTGATACCCCATACTA